TATGCCTTCTCTGTGTAATGGGGGCAGAATTTGTCTGTATGCTCAATCTGTTGACGCTGTTGAAGAACAGAGGTGTCTCTGGTGAAACAATGAAGTGTTTGTTGATGAAAGTTTAAAGCAGAATGTATAATTTACTGTTTTGAGAGCGGATGCGATGTTTGTTTCTCGTTTTAAAATTGCCGTGGTGTAGGAGTGCCTCATTGAGATCTTACACCTTTGTAAGTCTTTATTTACACCATATGCTTAATTTACAAATATACAGCAAAGCATTTGAGTGCGTGTGTGTGTTTGTGTGTGTGTGTGTGTGTGTGAGATAGACAGACAGACTACAGCAAAATGTCGACAACGGACACCTGAATTGTTGGTTGTTTAACGCTGAGCTCTGCAATATTCCAGCTATATTACGGCGGCCTGTAAATAATGGAGCCTGGACCAGCCAATCCTGTGATTGACATCATGAGCATCTATGGATCCGATGTCATGTATCAACCAAGACAGCAACCTCACCGCCCGATCCCGTTAGTCGCTGGTTATGACAAACATGGGTTCCTGAAACCCTATTTTAACCCGAAACAGACAGCGGGTTAGTGAGTGAATGAGTGAGTGTGTTTGTACACCGTTTCCGTAAGATTAGCGCAGATGACACCAATGTGAGTGAGTGTAATTTGAAGTGGTTTCGGCAGCAGATCAGCAATATTGAAGCAGGAAACACCAGATGGTTTTCAGCCGAGATGATATATACATCGTATTTTTAAAAAAGCATGAGATGGGGTATTTATAGCATAAATTGTGATGCCTGTGGTAGAAGTGAGTGGGGATGTTTTGTATGCCCTTTGAGAAAACATTACGACAGGAGATACCAGGGTGAGTGAGGGAGAGTGGTCATTTGTGCCGTTTTAGCACGCTTGGGAGCTTTTACTCCCACTGAAAGAGTTTGGGCAGGTACTCGCGATTGATTCTTCTCAAATGTTGTGGTTTTATATATTACTAGTACTTCGATATACACCAATCAGATTTACCTTATAATAAAATAAGGCCCGAAGACAATGTTCTCATGACAAGTATCTGTCTCAAAGGGCATTTCCCTTCATCTATAAAGATTTAGGAAGAGAAACCAGAAATTTTGGAATTAAGATTCACCAATTTTCCAAAATATATCACGGCTGTTCTAATGTAAGGAGTCGAACAGGGTCCTTGGTGTGAAGAGTGAATGATTCACCCGCTAGACCATCATAACTTATCTTCTTTACCCTTCCTACTGTACTGTACTGTACTGTACTGTGTTGTGCCACCGGAAGTGAAGTTATCTGTCTCATCATCTCATTCTCCCCAAGAACGCTCAGAAATTTCCCCTTTTCGACATATACATGTACTTGCAAGTTGATAGCACGTCGATTTTATGGCGTTGTGTCATTCGAATTAGACTCAACGTATTTCTTATGAAGTATATGCGAAATGAAACAGTGATGCGTTATTGTCCTACATGGCAGAAGAAAGTACCTGTAACTGTAAAATCATTTTAAAGAAAGTCTTCAATTTGGGCATTTTTTAAGAATTGTAACGTCTCAGTTACTGGATGATGTTTCAGATTCGCGGTTATATAAAAAAAAATTGATCTCCTGTAATGTAATGTGGAATCGTCAGAGTTAGCGGAGTCGGGAGAATCTTGCGAAGACGAGGGACAATAAAGAGAACCAAAGTTTACATTATCGAGATGGTGCCCTCTCCACACTATCATCATCTGCTTTGGCATAGTTGCTTAGAATAGTTGCCTAGCAACCTAGTTTGTGGATTGGATGGTCATGATCATTGCCGTGCCATTGCTCATTAAATCAATCACTGGTATGTCTGCTTCATTATATCTAGGCCACCTTTATACAGCTGGAATGTTGCCGAAAGCAGTCTTCAACAAAACTAACAAAACTTAGTGGAGATGGTTCTTGACAATTTCAACTCAGTCATATATATTCAAGTCGCTATTTCAGGTCGAAAAGTTTGAAATCCGGTTCGTATCGGTACCATTTGTACTTTACACATGTGATAGTTGAAAGATAGTACTTCTCCAGTACAACGGACGAAGACTGAAATGTTTCGCGTTATCAGACACAGTTCAATGACAAACCCTCACATCTGAGGGATTCCAGGCGTACGAGCACCTCACCACAGAGAGAAACAGGGGTGGCAAAAAGAACATTCTGGCGAGACAGACTAATTCCAGACAAACCTTTGATCATTTCTAGAAAGTCTAGCTTGGTTTGTACTGCAGGTAAATAGACTGTAGATCTGCAGTGTATGTTTGGGTTTGGACAGCCAACCTAAGTTAAAGGCCCATTCATGTCTTCAGACAGAGCGATTGGCTTATTTAATGCATGCGCTATGTGTGAAAGTAATCTTTATGTAAATTTGTATATGTGTGCAAGTAAGTCTAAGTCACGTGGGATAAACTCGGTGGTCTAAATAGGGACGCTATGGATTACTTAATATTACGCCATTGCAATATGTGGAGGCAAGTCTATCTTTCCTTTCCTCGTTGGATGTGCGAGGGCAAATTTTAATTTTGTTGCGTGGATGTATAATATTATGAAAATGTGCTATCAACTACCAGACCATATATCGGTTTTGCCAGTAGAATCAATTGTTGGGGCCTGGGGACCCAGTCGTGCGCCGTGGATGTACTCATTTGCATCGCATCGACACGACAGACATCTATAATAATGGGTTCGAATCCCTGAGTCGTCCTGACTATGACGATTGTCATCCCTATACCCTTGTCCACACATGAAATGCTGCATCCCATCAGGTATCCCAGCAGCATCCAGCTGGGGGGAGGTAGACTAATGCTTAGTATGAATATATATAATTTTGATAGTAACAAACAAACCTATTTAAATTGAAAAGGAGACCAGAGATTCAGAACCTGGGGAAATCTAGACTTGCTTTATTTAGGGCTTTGCAGAGAGGGCTTGGCAGTAGGGAAAATAGTGTGGTTCAGGGACTGTGAGACAGACTAGGGGTGAGGCTGCATTACTGATATACTGTTCCATGTATATTAACCAAACACACTCAGTAATTATCTGCGTTCATTGTGATCATTAGTTTTCTAAATAGACTGCTTCTCAAGGGAAAGTATACATTTGAAAATTATATATGACAAAAGAAATTATAAACTCGTCAGAGACGATATACCGATATATGGTCACTGATGTCATGAACACGTTTATAGGCTGAACAGTCCGCGAAACACTGCAAACTAATGGTTTACACGTAACTATGAAACTCATGCACATACCTATACAAGAACCATTTTAGTTTATTTATGGCGTTGGTTCGTGGGTGGGTCAGAATTGGTTGGCACCAACAAATGGATCGGAAGATGTTATTTGATCAGTTGGAGATATCAGAAATATATGTGTTTTCAATACTGTATTCAACATTACTCAAGCTTAATGACATAGGACAGTAGGTTATCGAATCTGGCCCAGACAAACCAGTGATGTATTTGATAAGTGTAGGCTGAAAGGACAGAATAGTGTGGAATAGAATATGGGTGATATGTTTGAAATATATATGCTCTTGGGTCAGCAAGAGAGACTAAGGCAATAACGTGGATCAATGTGTTGAGACAGGTCACATGTCGTCCATTTCCGTTTATAGTATACTGAAGTACTGATCTAACAGGGTGAAACCAACCTCACCCACTCACTCACTCACTCAGATGCTGTTGTTAAAGCCCAAAACAGGTTCATCTCAAACTGTAGAGGAATGACCGTAGGATTCTGTGATTATGCAATGAGGATCGAGTAATCGGCAGGGTGACCTGGTTAATCGTGTGCTATCTACTACCCCCACCACACCGAACTTGTTCTCAGTACGTTCTTGAAAAATGTTCGGATCCGGCTCGAACAGCGTGCGAACGGACTGGGCGTAATGACACCTTTTTACAGTCTGTTTAAGAACTTAAACACGGGCTCGTTCGGACTAGGGACCGGGGGGTGCTCCAGAACGTTGAACGTGTCCAACATTCTACCCGTTCTAAAATGGGACGGAGTGACAAGGTACTTAGAACGAGACTGCCGTACTTAGAAACTTCAGTCTTACCGGGGACGTGTGCGGACGTAGTGCAGCCGGGCATCAGTTGCAATATACGTTTGTAGTTTCCACCACGTCCAACCCGTTCGCAGACATACCTAACTCGACCCCATTAAGTCCTTAGTTAGTTGCTATTCTGTGCAAATGTGTTGAAAACAAGATGAATGAATTGTTCTGAAGAAGTTCGTACTACGTTTCTACACGGTTTTTAAAGTTCGCGATGGGTTCTCATTACGTTCTACCCCTTGTTAGTACGTTTATGTAGTTCTCACGCAGTTCTTACTACGTCAACACCGTATGCCGTACGATATGACAGGGTAGGGTATAAATACATGCGTCTTTTACATGCGTCTTTAACAAGTTCGTCATTTGGGATAGAGATTTCTACCCGTGAAACAAGTTTGTAACTGTCAATATGCTGGATGCTGGTTTCCTGTAATTTTTATTGGAAGCAGAGCAAGAGTACGAGTTGGTAGAGCAAGAAAGGAGGAAGAGAACAAGAACTTGTTGGGTGAGAAACTGGCTCAAACCTGAGAGGCGAATAGCTATGGGAACAGGAATGAGAACATGCTGGGTACTTATAGAAATCTGGCCAGGACGTGATTGCTACTACTATTGTGCCTCTGGAAAGGGAGTGAGACATGCTCAACGTTCTGGAGCACCTTCCGTCCCTAGTCCGACCCAGCCGATCCATACAGTTCTTAAACAGACTGTAAACAGGTGTCACTACGTTGTTCGCACACAGTTCGAGCGGGTTGAACATACTGAGAACGAGTTTGGTGTGATGGGGGTATTATGCCTTCACTGTTTTCTCAATCACTGCTCCATGGGTTGAGATGATTATTTACTGTCTGCTGTGACTCCACTGCATGGAGATATATGGACACAATAACGAGAGAAAATACACATTCAAAGTAATAACATCATTTATTCAGAGATTACTTACATCCAAACACTTGCAGATGTATTCATCTTGGAGTTGGACACAGTGCTGCTACTGGCACAGGCATGTATCAAACACAAGACAAAATACAACCAAACAAATAATAGTAGTTAAAAAGTTTATAAATATCTCTATACATAATATTTACTCCAAAGAAGTCAAAGAACGTGTGACTCTTTAACATTACCATGGTAATTAGTAAGTCATGATGAATTTACTATAGAATATGAAGGAATCAGCTGTTCTAAAACTCTGTAGAGTAGCATAACTCTATTCTGTGCTATACAATGTGCTATCTTATAGTAATGCCCAGGAATACCATTTTTTGCTAAAAGATCATACATAATTTTTTTGGTTTCAATGAAATGGATTGTATACATGAGGTTGCAATTTAGACCTATGCCAAACTTGCTTTACTCACTTAAAAGACATTTGTAGTTATAAATAATAAAACCAGCATACCCCAACCTCTTAAAGATCCACTTGAAACTACTGTGTATTGTTCACAAACCCACACAGTTTCTGTGTAAGTCTGCACATGGTAATTCTCAGGGCTTAATGAATGGACGGAATTATGGGATGAAAAAGTGAAAAAATATATACAACTTGTCTATGAAACAATCATACATCAATGTGTAATATAATAAAATACATATATACAACTAAAATTATATATTACAACTGGAATGGAAGGATTTCTGATATCCATGATTATGTTTTAAAGTGAGGACTCACAAATGCAAAACAATTTATTACATAGGCAGTGATCTCTTCACAATGTCATTTATAATTAAATAAGATCAGGGTATGAAGCTCCCAAAAAATTCAGCCTGACCATAGGGCTGGTTAGATGTAAAACTTGCCAGCCCTCACCAAAACTTACCTGCCCACAAAATATATTCATATACATGTCTAAATTTTAACCCGACCGGCTGGCAGGTGAATTTAAGAATCTGGCAGTCTGTGTTGAAAATAACCAGTCCAGGGCGGTCGGGCAGGTAGGTATTTCGAACGCTGATAAAGAGATTAAACTGTCGTTCTACATTCATTATATACTACTCAACTCCGGATAAGGGGTTTATAAGTTTTCATTTCTTCATTCTAAGCATATGATGCCCATACCCATATTAACATCTCATGAGATTTCAAACATTTTTTTCAAACACTGCCTGCGAAGTATGAATTCATGAGAGCATCAAACAATATTACCAGTGTTCAATTATATACATCCTTAAGGTTCATAAATGTTACAATTTTATGTATAACCTCCAAACTAATACACTAACAAAACAATACGCTAACAACGTGATATCCCCCTGATGTCTCGGTGATGCGCTGTCCAGGAACGGGTAGAAGAAGTCGTACGGCACTTTGGCCAGGAAGACAGGCCTCTCTGCTTCGTAGGGGATAGCAGGCTGGGAGACGTCAATGAACGAAACGGAACTAGAGATCTCGATCTTCTGGGTGAGTGTGGACCCGGGCTGGCAGTAGGGTCCCTCACACTGCAGGGCAAATACAGGTCAGATTACAGTGACAGAAGTGAATTGTTTTGAGCGCCACTGCTCACACAGTGGAATTTTCGGAGAGCCCAGAACAATAATGAACAGCCTCTGTGTCCCGCTGGAACTGATGGGACTGTTTTCAGTCTCTGATTTCCCAGAATCACTGTATGCTACTGTCCATTTTGGAGTACACGTTTTGTTTTTGGACTTTAATACCCAAGCAGGATTTACACTATCCCTCAGTGCTTGACCTGATGGCCATTGTCAGCAGGTTTAGCCAAAATTTAAAGCAAACTGTTCTATGACTCAGAGAAAAGTAGTAACATGAGTATTTGTAATAAACATATTGTCAAAAACTGAATAAGCCAAAACAAACTATTTGATGGATTTTTATCCACTACCCCACTACCAAATACAACCCCCTTGCATTATCCTATTGTCTATTAGGGGTGTCACGATACACCAATCTCACGATACGATACTTATCACGATTTTAAAATCACGATACGATACGTATCGCGATACATAATTTTCGAGCCTTTTCATAGCATTACCTTACCGGCAACGTACGTGCTCGCTGATTGGTCCATCAAAATAGTCTAGCCAATCACAAAAGCTGCTAGTTTCCAACCTATTTTTTAAGTAAAGCTAGCTACATCTATTTATCGGAGCGATCTCGTATAATTTTACTATCAAGACTTTGAAGGAGATGGATATAGCATAAAAATTTGAATCGATAAAGTTTTAAAATAGGAATCGATACACGCAAGCATGTATCGCGTATCGTATCGTCGGTAAAAATGTATCGATGCATCGATGCATTCGCGTATCGCGACACCCCTATTGTCTATAGTACCAACAGACATCAAAGGAGACTCAGAACTCACCCTGAAGAACACACTCTGAGGGGCATCATACAGGAAGGAGATGCCAATGATCTTGGGCTGTGGGTTGACAAGGGAGCCGACGTAGGCGTACAACACCTGGATGTGCATCCCCAGAGACAGGAAGCAGTTGGAGCCTGTAGCCTGGGTAGGATCAGTCAAGCATCAGTAGAAGTAACAAACTAGCTTCTTTACCCATGAACATCTGGGTTACGATTGGTCTTTAGTTACCCATGCTTGTTTTAAGTGGTGACTAACAGGTCAGGATTGCTGACCTGATTGACACATGTCATTGTATCCCAAAAAGAATGATGCTCGAGATGTTGATCACTGGAATATCTGGCCCAGACTCGAATATTTACAGATGTCTACCACATAGCTGGAATATTGCTGATTGTGGCGTAAAACTAAAACTTACTCATTCACTATTTGCCCAATCCTACTGATTGTCAAACTTACCTGCAGTTCCTATACATATAGCTTCAGTGGTGTCAGATTCTGGCATGTATGGGAATGGGACATCAACATAAACTGTGTTACAACAACATTCTTTTGTTGCTAAACGCCACAGTCAGCAATATTGCAGCTGCAGGATGCTTGCTTGGAAAAACGTAGAGCCAACAATACAAACACTGATATTATAAGCCATGCACCAACCAAGTCACAATGCCACATTCATTTATTTGCCTCCTATGACCAATACCAGTTCCTTGGGAAATATTTTAATTTATATCCTGGAATCTCCACAGGGTTCCAAGAATACATTAAAATGCCTAGACGCTTGAGGAGTCCCTGAGATGCAAGCAACTTACTGCACTGAGAGTAGGTCGGTTCTGTACCAAGATGGGGGGTCCAGTCACCCACTTTCTTTACGTCTGAGTTGCCGAAGATGGCCACGTAACGGTCAGTGGCGGGGTAGGCGCCTGTAGCAGGGTCATACACCGGCGCCGTGCTGCCCTCCATGGCATTGATGATGGCTTGCTGTATCATCTCACAGTTGTTCGTCACATTCTCCATGGAAATCCTGGAACAAAGAACAGTGTCTGCTAACAGAACACAAGAATTTAATCGGCTTGTATCTTACAAGACACTTTAATTATGAGTTCTCGAGGGATTCTGCAGTCGATGAGACATTTCTTCTTGCCCACAGCTAAACGAAATTGCATTTTGTATTGTTTTGACAGACCAGTAACATTTCAGCGTTTTGGGGTTCTACCTGAGAATCTCAGTGAAATCTATCAACATATTGTGACCAACATACAGCTGTTGTAATTTACTGATATCAAACAAGATTTATCCCATTTCTGATGTTTCATACATTTGTTGCATAGTTAAAAAAGAAATAGTGTACAAAGGCTGATGAGATTTGGGCAATGGTACTTAAATCAATGTCCTACAATATTTAACAAAAACAGTAAGGGCAGCTTTATCTCTACTCCTTTACTGCATCAAGGAATCTCTGAATTAAAGATGCTTATTCTCGTGGATGAAGAATGACTCACTGGATGAAGCATCCCGAACGTGCATCATCCTTGAACTGGACGGAGACCCTGTCCCGACTGGTGTCTGTGATACAGTTGCCGTTTGCTGATGCTCGCACCAAGGTCAGCCACTCGTCACGATTGGAGTTCAGGAGAATTTCCTGTCTAGATCGGTCAAGGTAGGTAACTGGGATGTGACTGATTTAGGGTGCATCTACCTCGCTAAAATTAGCTCATTTACTCTGATGCAATACCTCTGAGGATCTGAGACACATCTGACTTTTGAACCTCAAGAATATATTGTGCAGTTCCAAATGCAAAAACAGAGAAAAATTCCTTGAGATGTTATATTATCCTAGATACTTTCTACATCATGTCATTTCTGAGCACCATGGTACCATAAAGGTTGTACTACTAACAGTCCATTTGTGTTCTATGGCACGTCTTTTGCTTACATCAAAACGTCTGAACCAGTTTGGTAAACTGAAACCAAACTGGTTTAGATGACATCTGATTGACCCATGCATCCTTCATTTTAATGGTGTGGTCAGTGTTTGCTCTGGGTTCACCTGATGCAACTTTCATGTAGATAGGTATTCATGTGAGTAAAAGATGACTTTGTAATTATTAAATTCTCAACCAGACAATTCAGTGATTGATATTATGACTGTCTATCCTTATCTGCTGTTCGGGAGGCAGTGTTATCTGCTGTGCAGCTATTAAGACAATTGGGTGATGTTACCATGTTATGGAGTCTGACGACCTCACCCATTTGATTACAGCGACACTTTGTTATCCCAAGCTTTGGTTTAACTCTGTAATTTTAAGCAACTGCAAACTTATTCTAACTGTACATTATGACTTTAATGATACACAATGTATTTCAAAACCAGGCAAGGATACACCACATTTCCCTCCGTGTCAAGTGTTTCATTCAGCACTCCAGCCATGAGTGGCGCCCCCTGGATATAGCCTGGATTGCCACTCCGGACAAAGGGGGGGGATCGGCTTCACTCAACTGACAAGAAAAGGAAGACATATATCAAGGAACCAAGCTGGAGGTATGAAGTTATGGAATCCAGATATCATTGATCTTTTTGCTCTTGTTTAATGTACTGTAAAATAACATGCAGAGGTGCCATATCACCATCATCATCATCATCATCATCATCGTCATCATCATCAGGACCTATTGAAAACAGGAGTCTCCATGGGAACTTTGATGGAGAAAGCAAGCATTCTTGATCATACCATTAGTACACGTTTTGCTCTGCCTCATGTCACAAATCATGGCACTGTTTACCTACCCCTCTGAAGGAGCTTGAGAAGCGCTGAGTGAAACGCTGGTTTGCAGCGGGAATGTTGGCCAAAGTCAACTGAGCGAAGACAGAAACGATGCCCGATGTTCCATTATGGATGATCCGATAACTGACCTAGAGAAAACAAATACATAGTTAATCTAAAACTGCCAGGATCACTATAAAGTGTTCGGTATCCAGTGTTGCCGGGCACAGGGTTTAAATAAGAAGTGGAACATTTGTTGCCGACAGAAATATGAGAATCTCAGTTACACTAGAATGTAGGTCATGAAAGCCTTTTCACCACATTTCGAGTCTCTCATCCTTGCTATTCCATGTTAAAACCTCAATCACTGTTTGGTGATAAGACATCATTGGATAAGGTATGTAAGAACGAACCCCAGCTACAGTGTTGTTACACTGCAATCCTACTGCATCCCAGGCAGGAACAGGTGGGGTGGTGACACCACAAGGGGAGACAACTCCATCAGGCCCCTCACACAGGACAGGGTCCAGTTCGACTGCCACAGTGTAGGTGTTGTTATACACATCAGTCACCCCGGACAGGTCCACCGCAGCTGGAAGCAGAACAACCTAGGAGGTGAGGTGAGGTGAAGTGAGGGGTCAAGTGAGGTGAGGTGTGAGGTGTGGAGAGGTGAGGTGAGGGGTCAAGTGAGGTGAGATGTGGAGAGGTGAGGTGAGGTAAAGTGTTGAGAAGCAGGGTAAGGTAAGGTGAGGTGAGGTGAGGTACAGTGTTGAGAAGCAGGGTAAGGTAAGGTGAGGTGAGGTACAGTGTTGAGAAGTTGGGTAAGGTAAGGTGAGGTGAGGTGAGGTACAGAGTTGAGAAGCAGGGTAAGGTAAGTTAAGGTGAGGTGCGGTGAGGTGCAGTGAGTTAAGGTGTTGAGAAGCAGGGTAAGGTAAGGTAGGGTGAGGTGAGGTAAAGTGTTGAGAAGCAGGGTAAGGTAAGGTGAGGTGAGGTGAGGTACAGTGTTGAGAAGCAGGGTAAGGTAAGGTGAGGTGAGGTACAGTGTTGAGAAGCAGGGTAAGGTAAGGTAATGTGAGGTGTGGTGAGATGCGGTGAGGTAAGGTGTTGTGAAGCAGGGTAAGGTAAAGTAAGGTGAGGTGAGGTAAAGTGTTGAGAAGAAGGGTAAGGTGAGGTGAGGTGAGGTAGTGTGAAGGGGCATGGTGAGGTGAGGTAAGGTGAGGTACAGTAAAGTGTGAAGGGGTGTGGTGAGGTGAAGATGTGTACACTTGTTAGTGTATGATGACAAGCAGTCGACCATGTGTTGGCCACCGAGTCTGACCACTGTCTTGTTCATTATACAGCAGACACAAAGTACATCTTGAAGAAAATCAGGTTGAAATAAACACAATGAAAGTTATTCCATGGCACTTGATTGGCTAACTAAGCAATGTATTTGTGGGTATGTTTCCATTAAACCCAAAGGAAATAGGCCATGGCAACTAATGGTCAAGTATGTCCAGTTTAACTGACAATATAGTGGGCGGGGCATTCATTTTTTTCATTTATTGTACTAAACCCACAAAAGATGTTGAAGTGAATTCTTAATTAACAGAGACATTTGTCAACAAACACACATACCTGTGTTAAGCGATTGCAGATATATTGTGTCATTCCGGAGGGAATCATTCACTGGGGTGTACCGCTGGAACAAGGCAGGCGTCTGAAATGCAGAACATTGGGATGCTACAGTTGGACATTCAGTTGGACATTCATCATGGAGGCACGATGTCCTGTGTACAGCAAGCTTACAAAACCTGAAGAGTACTCAACACCTATTTACAGGTGATTGAGTAATTTGAAAATTTTAACTATAAATTGTATATTTATATACTTATCCTATCTCACGACTTGCACCTCTCTCTCTTCATTCGACCATGAGTGGAAACGAATTAAAACTTTGCTCCAAGGCCTACCTTGCCCCTCTCCCGTGCTGTGCGTGCCTTCTGTGTCAGTCGTGCTCACTAGTCCATGACAGCACGAGGCATGCGCAGTCCTCACCCACGTGATCACCTCACATACTCATTCTCGATCTTGGAGCCATAAAAGGACAAAACCGGAACGGTGGTAATCTATGTAGTGGGGAGGTAGGGAAGGACTTTATCTCGTGAGATAGGATAAGTATATAAATATACAATTTATAGTTAAAATTTTCAAATTTTTAAACTTATCCTATCTCACGACTTGCACTTATCCCACGGTAGGAAGGTGGGTCATAGATTACCCGAAATTCAAGCGATAACAGCTAAGTGTTATGCCCAAACAACCGTAGGGAAGCAACTACAAGGTAGGCCAATAACTACCAAGTTACTACGCATGAGGGTTAGTTCGAACCCATTGACTTACTAAGCACAATTGCTCCCAGGGACCGGGATTCCGAAAGCAATGTGGTGTTCAGTCACTACCTTCACAAAGTGAAAGGACGAGCTTAACGAAAGTGTAATCAGTCGATCGCCACGATTTCCAAGGTACCCCGTAATAAAAGTCTAACGACTAGTATCGGGCCAGCCCCTGCTTCAAACAACCCCCACAGACACCGCCCCGAGGAGGGTGAAAGAGAAATTGAATCGGTAAAACTCACAATTTTAACGCTCAGTACCACAACATCATCTTATGACTTCCATTACTTACCACAATAAGATCACATAGATGTGTATAGGCACTTAGGAGCATGAACGCCACGGCGTAACACTTCGAAGGACTCACTTCACTGACTTAATTACTCCGTGGAGCAGAGGACAGTAAGTGAGGTGGCGACTCTCTGTAGTCTCAAACAAATGAGAGGAGAAATCTAAATCCCGGAAGACGTAAATCAGAAAAAGTATTTCAGATTTATTCAGATTGTACACAAGCAGAAACGATCGCGACTTGGGATCAACTGCACAGTGGGATCCATATAGCATCGGAGCACAAGGAAGTTCATTATCTGCGATGTTGTGCCGCTGATAACTGCTGGGCAAGGATGAGTGGTCCAAACTGATGAAGGCCTTGAATACCCGTCACCGACACATCTCTGAGGTAATGAGACGAAAAGACTGTGTCAGATCGTCAAAAACAACCCTCCATTATGGCAGTTAACGAGCAGTTGCTATGCAACGCCATAGTAGAAGCCAATGCCCTGGTTTCATGAGGGTTGACTGCCGTAGGTGGTGGCAAACCGGCAAAAGTGTAGGCTCGTAGTATTGTAGCTCGTAGCCAATATGAGAGTGTTGTGCGAGAGACTTCCGCCTTGGAAGCAGTAGACAAGGGTATAAACAGTCTCTTACGCAGACGGCGGCGCTCTTGCGATGCTTTAGGTAACGCTACGAAGTGTAACACTTCGGGAATGACTCACTTCACTGACGTAATTACTCCGTGGAGCAGGGGACAGTAAGTGAGGTGGCGACCCTCCAGCGTCTCAAAAGCAAGACCTGCGATGGTCAGTTCGAACCCATTGACTTACTAACCACAAGTGCTCCAGGGACCGGGATTCCCGAGCAATGTGGTGTTCAGTCACTACCTTCATGCAAGTGAAAGGTTGCAGCTTAACGAGTGTAAACAGTCGCATTACCACGATTTCCAAGGTCTGACGACCAGTATCGGGCCAACCCCTGCTTCGACACAACCCCCACAGACACCGTCCCGTGGAGGGTGAAAGGGTAATTGAATCGGAAACTCACAAGTCCCAGAAGAATCGAAGACACAAATCAGAAATAAAATTCTGAATTTTATTCTGATTGTACACAAAGCAGAAATGATCGCAACTGGTGATCATCTGCGCTGAAAGCTGATGGTTGTCCCGAGTGCCGAACAGGCGATAATGACAATGCTGAATTCCAATTCGTTGTGATGAAGGGCCCTTTCTCCTGATGACCACTGCTAGGCCACTTGATGGAGAAAGTAAGCGCCCCAGCTTGCAAGATGTGCCAACGAATAGGTGTTGAGTCGGTATGAAGGGCACCCTTGAGACTCCAACACAAACATTCCACTTGTTGAGCCACCAACAAAAGACTGAATGTAGTTGAGCGGGAAGACGAATCAACTCCCTGGGGTTGTCGTCCCTGATGTATGGGCACAGAACCATCTGAAGAGGGCAAGCTGCAGCTGGCCCCTGTAAGTCAGCACTTGTGCCGATGCCAACCACCCTAGTAACTTCTGCCACTGGCGAAAAGGTGTGGGTTGGACCAACACTAGTGGTGCGTTGCACTGAATCTTGTCCCACCTCTCCTGGGGCACAAACATCATGACCTGGCGTGTTGAATATTGTCCCAATAAGAAGAAACAGCTGGTCGGTGTTACCCCTGATTGCTCTCGAATTTAGTCGCCATCCTAATTGCGGAGCAACTTGATGATGAACTGTCTGTGGAAGGGAAGGAAGGACGACTGGATCCTGCTGGGCTTAAACTCAGTCGTCGATATTGTTGTCAATTGTCACGCCGACAATGCAGGTAGCTGGTTAACAGAATGGCTATCTGAGTAAAACCCACGGGCTGCGCGATATGCCCATACAGCAGGATCCTCCATTGGTATCAAGGACGCCCCATAAAAGTAAATCGAAGATACTTCCAATAGTCTGGATGTATCCGGATGTGAAGGTAGGCGTCTCACAGGTCGAGGGACTGACTGACTGACTGAGTTTAGTTTTACACCGCCTTTAGCAATAATCCAGCAAAATCACGGCGGGGGGCACCAGAAATGGGCTGAACACATTGTGCCCATGTGGGGATCGAACCGGGGTCTTGGGCGTGACGAGTCAACGCTTTAACCACTAGGCTACCCCACGGCCATCGCAGGTCGAGGGAAATGAGAGGTCTAACCACTCTTGCCTCTGACAAAAAGATATCTCCTGATATAAGAACGTTCAATAAGTCGAGCAACTACGTCAGTTCTGACGGAGTGCTCAATGTAGTATGTTCGGCGCATGGAGATTGTCAGTCAATCTACAGGAACGTTCACATTATAAACAAATTGTAGAAATTCGTAGGATCGGTGACCTCAGGAACGTTTCTTTTGGCCGAACAAAATAATTGTGCGCCAGGTGGAGTGATATAGGTAGTAGATCGCTGCCTGGTGACAATCCTTGCATAATGCAGTGACCTCTGAACTCGGTGCTTGACTAGGCAAACCGTTCATGGGTGTTTCTGTCCGTCACCCTCAATAAGCAGTCTCTCTCGACTGGCTGTCAAAATCCCGACACAGTCACTCTTATCGGAATGGCAGCGTTCGTTGTTACTTGCATTTATAGGCTGGACTTGGTATCCGATTCGTGGGACCAAGAGAATTCTGCAAGGGCACTTCATAGTCACTCTAATCATCAAAATTCCGGTAAACAAACAGTAGTCCGCCATTTGCAAACGTTACACACGAGTGACAGAAAATACGGACAACCTGGTCTTTGGTTAACCGGGCGAGTCGCAACCCATAAATTCCCGGGCTGAGCTATGCTGGCTATTTGACAAAACAGTGCCGGTACCATGCGCAAGAACTTCATCCATTTGTTATCTGTCCAGAAACTTGCTTAACATGTAAAACAAAGGGACGAGCCGTCTGCAACAATTGCACCAAGGGATACACAAACATCTACACCGATAGGGTAGAATCGTTGAACCGAATCATTCATCAAAAGTGAAGATCGGATGGTAGATTAAATCTGGAATGAGATGAGCTCCGGTCACGGAGGACTCTTGAGAACTGGGATCGCCAGGCCGTCAAGTGCCGAGCGTGATATCTCTAGATGACTGCGCTACTAACAACACATGTAAATCAAATCGGCATGGTGAAGCACATAGCTACTACCTCTGTACATTGATCTTGAACGGCCAGGTGAACTGGTTCGACGATAGGGAGCTTTCGACCTGGTGAAACGATACGAGCCGGCTGGTAAATCAGTTCAGGGTGGTGAGCCGGAAAGTTGACGTGATCTGAATCAGTCCGATGTGATCTGAATCGTGACTGATCTGGATCGGTTCGGTAATCCGAACCGGTTAAAATGATCTCAGCTGATGGAGAGATCTAGAACGCTCAGATGAACCAGTGAGGCGAGGTGAAATGTTCCGCCGAGGTGAATCGTTTTCGTTGCTGTGAATTGAATCGATGATGTGAACTGTTTCGGCGATAAGAAACAGTCTTAATATTATGGCAAACTGAGTCAATGTCGTATTCACATACGGCGTGGCGAAATGGTTCGGTCTGGTGAATCCATTCGTGTATGGCGAACCGATTCGGTGTGGCGAATCGGTTCGGTCTGGTGAATCCATTTGGTATGGCGAACCGATTCGGCGTGGTGAACCGGTTTGGCAATGTGATGGTACGGTCTGGTGAAACCATTCGGTATGGCGAGCCGATTGGGTGTGGTGAATCCATTCGGTATGGCGAACCGATTGGGTGTGGTGAATCCCTTCGGTATGGCGAACCGATTGGGTGTGGTGAATCCATTCGGTATGGCTAAACGGGTCGGTCTGGTGAATCCATTCGGTATATGGCGAACCGATTCGGTGTGATTGACGAAGTAGATCGGATGTGTGAGTCAACTGGCAACACAGAGCGTCTTGATGAGGCGAAACCACGAGAAGACATCTAATGATGCGCCCATAAAATTATCACCGTTCGACATGGGAAACTGCGGACGACGAGCAGTTAATACCGGTCGTTAAAAACGGGGGTTTGTCGGGTGATCAACTGTTGAAGTGTAACGAGCTCTGTCTGCCAGCCATCGGGAGCAAGTATGTCTACATGCTCTAAAAACGTCCTTAATAAGGGAGCACATTCCCGACAACGTTTGCTCCAGGAACATGACGATTGGGGATCCGAAGAAGTAAATATTGTTACAGTGTGCGCAAAATTACGCTACTGAGTCTAGACTGACAAGACGGGATATCCTGATTCACCTAAAGTGAATGAGACCGACTTCGAGAATCACTCTGACGAAAACACACCTTACGGCTAGGTGAACCGGTTCGAAATGGCCAACCACCTCGACCAGGCGAGACTGAACGACTACGGGGAATCAAAACGCTGATGGTGTGTCGAACTGAAACCTATGTTGAGGTGAACTGAGTCGGGAATGTGAACCCGTTCGTCCTGGTGAACCCCTTTGAGTACGATAAACAGTACGGCCAGAGGAACCTATTCGACTACGTGAATCAGTTCGATCAACTGAACTCATTCGAGGATGTTCTGGTGAGCCGCCTCGGCCGTGTGAGCCGGTTCGGCAGGGTGAGTCGGTTCGGCATGGTGAGCCGGCTCGGCTGTGTGAGTCGGCTCGGCGATGTGAGTCGGTTCGGCAGGGTGAGCCGGTTCGGTAAGGTGAGCCGGTTCGGCTATGTGAGTCGGCTCGGCTGTGTGAGCCGGCTCGGCGATGTGAGTCGGTTCTGCAGGCTCGGCGGCTCGGGAAAGTGAACGAGACCTAGAACGACTCTTGCCAGCCGTGGAAGAACGCATTCGAACCTTCGCACCAGATGGTGATTCAACTCGTGTGGGTGAATTGTTCCGGTTAGATGAAACCGTGGAATTAGGAGAACGGGTACGTTCCAACCGCGCCGATCCCCGCTTTGACGATGAATGCTTAGAAGTTCTCGAAGTCTGTGATCGTTCCGAAGAAACAGACCTACGAGATAATGTAGATCGCAAACTGGGTGAGGGAACCTCCCCTAAAAGCCGTCTCACGTTCTCAGATAAATAGGAATCTGACGAAGCGTCCATAAAATCTTCGTCAGGCGAGACGGCCGATTGAGAACGGTGAGCAGTGAGGGTGGGGCGATCTAAGCATTGTTTCTTAGCGGGAGATGGACCAGACCCCGCAGAAATAGTCCTAGCCCTATCTGCCAAACGTCTGGCACAAGCACGTTTGTAAGATTTAAACGCCTCAGTAGACAGACCTGAACACTTAGGACAGCGTGTGTCCCAGTCACAAACACCCACACAATCAACACACGATGTGTGAGGGTCCCATGCCCAAAATACTTTATTACAACGGACGCAAAACTTCCGTTTACTGGCCTTAACAGGCTTAACCATTTTGAGCAATTCTCAGACGAAAATTTTTCACGTCCACTCAGTGGAGCGACAAGAAAGAGAATGAGTATGTGAGGTGATCACGTGGGTGAGGACTGCGCATGCCTCGTGCTGTCATGGACTAGTGAGCACGACTGACACAGAAGGCACGCACAGCACGGGAGAGGGGCAAGGTAGGCCTTGGAGCAAAGTTTTAATTCGTTTCCACTCATGGTCGAATGAAGAGAGAGAGGTGCAAGTCGTGAGATAGGATAAGTTTATAAATATAGTGTATATGGAAACCTGTGCAGTACTGATGATGCTAGAGTTACTGTGGTAACTGATATAATAAATACATCCACTTACTGTGACCACCCTGAATCCCTGGTAATAGGTGTTAGCACTCAGTGCCAAGACACTCGTACATTCTGTGGCCAGGTTGGACAGAAGACGCACACAGTCATGGGACTCATCTAGTAGATAGGCTGAAACACAATACAGTCATTTGATCATCTGAAGACTTCTTGAAAATATCTCTACTGATAAATGAACACAATACTCCATTTCACATGAACCAATGAGAATGACCGCATCAGTCATTGAGTCAATAAAAATAGTGTACCTGAATAACTGGACTCCTACAAAAAGGGATGAAATGTGTAAACACAGATCAAATTGAATTTCTACACAGTGTTATGAAACTTAAAAAGCCAGATAAACAAGAGATCACCCTGACATTGTAAGACATGTGACAAAACCCAGAGTTATCTCCCTTGTGGAACTCACCCATTGGGTTGCCATCAGCACAGAACGTTGATGACAGTGACTCCGGCAGTCCTAGCTTCCCCTGCGCCTGGGTTGGAAACACTGTGTAGATTGAATCCCCCGACTGGAACAAAGATATGTCATATACCGTTAAATGAAAATTTTGCACAGGGCCTCTTATAGCTTTAAATCTAGGGTCAAAATGTTACCTAAATTCTAAGAGAAGGCATTAAATGCTTTCATGAAGGGGCTACATGCCATGTATTAGGACCCAAGGGACCCCTTTAATTGACTAACACTCCTCGATATGAAGCATCCTTTCCTTCATCCTCGGACATCAAGGATGTTATACATGTTATACATTCCCCACTGATAAACACCCTTGACATATTTCACATAATAGCTCTTGATGTGTGGGCTACAATGTTATTTCAGTAAAATTACAGTCCATGATTTCTCTTCCGGTTAAGCCAAGAGTTCATCTTATATTTCTTTCATGGTCTTTTTCTATTTTAGTCAAGTTTTGGTAAGGATGTGTTCAAGTGTTACCTGGTAGTAGTCTGGGTAGGATGTTGGAACAGGCGACGCCTGAGGCTGGAAGGTGAAACTTCCGTAGTCGGCCACATACTTGTTGAACGTGGCATCAGTACTGACCAGGGAAGGGTTATAGTAGAAGTTTCGCTGCGCTCCTACAAACACCAACAACAACTTGTACTCCAGTGTAACATGTTATATTTGGGACTAAACTTTCTCAGTAAAGTCCAGATTCTAGTACTTTTAGGTCATTGAGTCCCATCTGGATTTGAAACCACACTTTCAGAGTTAGCCACATAATCACCTGCACACCAGTCACCATTCTTCCACAAAAAGCTATAACTAAAACGTACACCAGGTCGGAGATCTAACCCACTAAGCCACCATTCTTCCACAAAATGCCATAACTAAAACTTACACCAGGTCGGAGATCTAACCCACTAAGCCACCATTCTTCCACAAAATGCCATAACTAAAACTTACACCAGGTCGGAGATCTAACCCACTAAGCCACAATTCTTCCACAAAAAGCTATAACTAAAACGTACACCAGGTCGGAGATCTAACCCACTAAGCCACCATTCTTCCACAAAATGTCATAACTAAAACGTACACCAGGTCGGAGATCTAACCCACTAAGCCACCATTCTTCCACAAAATGCCATAACTAAAACGTACACCAGGTCGGAGATCTAACCCACTAAGCCACCATTCTTCCACAAAATGCCATAACTAAAACGTACACCAGGTCGGAGATCTAACCCACTAAGCCACAATTCTTCCACAAAATGCCATTACTAAAACGTATACAGGAGACTGCAGTCTTTAGTGCACTTATGTCCATTCACTGGTTTGGGGTAAGGCAACATTGAACACTCTTGTGTATCAGCTTGAAGTGGGAGGAAAACATGGTGTTGATATGTACAAAGATATCTGGGAAGAAAACCATGAGTATGGTGATGACACTGACAAATGAGAATGAAGGTGAATCTTTATTTCAAACCACAATCACAGGCTACTGGCATGACTAAGGGAAGAAGTCATCCTTGACAGTGATTTTGCATGAGAAAGAGGTTCTTCTGTTTCATCATCTTCTAAAAGCAATTACTGCATGACAATCAGGCAGTGTCAGGAAATTAACTGAACTGAACCGATAAATGTACTGATACTTACGATTATCAATATATATGCAGAAGAGGTTGTCCGAGGTCACATTTGAGAAATAAGGAGAGTTTTCAAGAAGTATCACTTGTTCTTGAAGGCACAATCGGTCATCAACACTGGAAAGAGATTAATTGATTTTCGTACAACTCAAACAGGCAATGCTCATTATATGGCAGTACGAATATCTATACTAAGAAAATGCTTCCTTCAGAAAGTTTTGATAGTTTACAAACAGGAGCGCCGCTAAGGTAGAAACGTCACCTATTGTGTATTGCACTTCTCACATCCACAGGACACCGAATGTCTTCTCAAACGATTTTATTCAGGACCGTACACACCGCATGCCGCTCGAGAGAGACGCTGTCACAGGAGCAAGAGTGAACTAAGGGACGTAACTATACGTCTCCACAGATGAATAAAGGGACGTAACTCTGTACGTCTTAACTAACAGAATACAATATAGTGCTAATGCACTGGTGGAGGGTTATATACATACTGCAAGGATAAATAACAGTGAGTCACTCGACTTAGAAAACCTCCAGTACAAGACCCCAACAAAGATTTATAGCTGGAATATTGCTGAGTGTGGCGTTAAAACAACAAAGCAACTGACCAACCCAACAAAGATTAAAAGACTGATTCTCTACAGGGGTAATATTAATTATAGAATAGAGATAGAAACGTGATAAATGCTCTGAATCATCAAGAATGAGGTATCATTATTATAATGACAATCATCATTGATTTTGGGCCTTCAGAGAATTTGGTGTATGACAGAATTTTTAAATGTGTGATACAATTTTGATTTTTTTCTTTGCTCAAATTCTATAAATTGGATATGAACCAAAGCTAATAAGATTATAAAGAAAATATACAGGGGTGGAAATAACCCATTGCCCGACGCCCGAGTCCAGTGTTTTTTTTCTGTCGGGCAAGCATATTTGTATATCACACTGTACCAGTGTCCAGTTGACTTTCCAATGTTAATTATGTTGTTTATTTAAAAAATCAACAAGAAAATCGGCGAGTATAGTGGAAAAATTATCAGGGCAAGTGATTTTACTTGTGCCACTGCACCGGAGTACACTAGCAATTTTAAAGTTATTTCCAGCCCTGATATAATGGAATGTTGGAGATGAACAAGGAAGTGTAAGCACTGGTAAGTGAACACAGTGAATTCAAGACAATTCTGCAAAACAAGCAGATCTCTGTCTGTTGAATGATACATATTATTTACCAGGTACGTAATGACTGGTTTCCACTCTACCTGTCTACATTCAAATTAAACTGTAATATGTTCATCATGATTTTCTATGAAACAAGATGGGCAATTAATTGAATTATTATAAATATGTCACTGATCATCATCTTTCACTTTATCTGCAAAATTAACACAGACAATTATTATGATCTTGATCACCTATCACATTCCTGTCTATAGGCGGATCCAGAGGGGGGTGCAGGGGTGCACAACCCCACTTTTGTCCTGAAAGTTTATCAAATGACAATTGAACTCTTGGGAAAATGAAGTGTGCACCCCCCCCTCCCCATACACACACACACTTTCTTAAAAAGGCGTATCCGCCCCTGCTGTTTAAATGCTGAAAAAAATCACTGCTTCCCTTTGATCATTCTCAGATAACATAATGAGTAAGCTGATTGTGAAGATATGTAGGAGTACTAGTATAGGTCCATCTCCTATTCTCACGGTAAACACGTTTTCTGCCGAAATCGCCAATGCGGGACACTTAGTGGTTGTTTACATCACCGACTGGTAACCAGGAAGTGGACTAAGTCTGTGAGTGATCAAAATCTTGCAGTGTCACGAATATTGGGGAGTTTTTACCAACTTGGACATATCATTACTTTTTCCCGCCCTTTCAGGCAGGATTGCTCTTACAAAGTTACATACACTCAAAAACGTTATTTCCTGGTAATACCGCGAGAATGGGAGAAGCCTTGTTTCGTCAATGGCGGATGGCATTGTTTATCACCAGGCTCACGAGTGGTAATTCACCTGATGGATCTGGCAGCTGATAGAAGTAGATGTAAGAGGAGAAGGCCCTTCATTTAAAAACAACAAGCATTAATACGATAAGAATTGTTTGTGTTATTTTTTCAGCCGATATCCGTAAGTACCGCGAGAATAGGAAACGCCTTCCTACCTGTATGAAAAAGGTAGACACTGGCTGAAGGATAGCCTATCATCAGCTGAGCAGTCTGTGTCACAACAACAGTTCACATCACAGGCATTGCCGGTAAGGTCACAAGGACATGTCCCAATATCTGAAAAATCAAGAACTGGTGATGACATGGCCTCATCCAATGGATGACTTCAACTTACAGTTGTTCTCAAGGTTCAACTTTTTGATCTAGGCGGTGTGACATCAGAACATTTGTGGTTTGATTCCCATTACGTGACTGTTATATCTTTTGGGGTATGATATGAAGACTGGACAATATAACTGTATACTGGGTGTAACTTATATAGCAGTAATTGGCCCAGGCAGTCGACTCAGGCTTCACAGATCTTGTGTGCCTCTTCAATAATTCAGATCAGTTGTGTTAGAGCTAGGATAGCCTACCACCAACTCTATCGTTTGCCTTTGGATCCCCTTTCTGCTCATGCACCCCTTTATGATCACATTCTTTCATCAGACTTGGACTTTGGTGGAGCAAACGGTCAAAATGCTCATAAAAGCAAATTATTAAGAGTTGATAACTTGATAAACGAGCACTACATAGTTTTGATTTTTGTTTTGTTCTGGTTCTCCCTTGGACCTGTGTCAGTAAGGTTTAGGTTAATTTGATAAACTCATCTGCTTAGCTTCAATATTAAAATGTTTTATTCCATCATGTCCACACTCATATACTTCATATGCTTAGGGACACCGGCAAATTTACATTCTGGTCATATTATTATACAGTGGGCGCTATGGGAAAAACACCAATACAATAAGTATCAAAGGAGGGTAAAAATAAAACACATAGTGAATGACCTGTGTTTGCCGGTATTTGCGATGGTGGTTGTGTTGGCGCGGGTGTTGTAGTCGTTGTTGGGGCTTGCGTTGTTCCTGGTGTAGAGGTCGGCGGCGTTTCTGATGTGCTTGAATCGTTTGACGTTGTTGCACTAGTAGGCGTGCTCGATTGCGATGTAACCAAAGATACAAAACAAATCAAAGAAACAAATACCACGATAAAACAATTCGTCAGCAACGAGCACCTGCTCGCATTCGAGTGAGCCGCCATGATGTAAACAACAACGGGAAGAATCATGGGAAATACCTGCGCAAATATTTTTTTCAATAAATTAGATATTTCCTATCATATTAAAGATTTTACAAAGACATTACATGATGTGTTTATAAGCATAATATGTTTCACACAAATCCTCATCGGGTATCCGTATGTCACATGCTGTAGCTTCGACGGAATTACCCGAATCGTACAAAACCGGAAAGCGGCAAACAAAGCCACCGGCGTGCTAAGTTTGAGCGTCTCTGTTGTGTGTTTGGTGTGACATGTTCCGCATTACATTTAATAGTTAAAAAGAATATACACTGGCTGGGACATTAAAGGACATATTGTTTGCTTGTTGTTGCTGGGTATGTAACTGCGTAATTGAAATGACTTGCCATGCTTACATTGACGTCTGCTTTGGTTTTCAAATATCGGACCCGACTCAGCACAAAAACATTGTCAGCAGAGCAGTAAAGTCTTCAGTCAGCACATTGACTGTGACAATATGTTTCGTTAAGTTCAGTTACTCCTACAGATTAAATAGATCTCGAATGTTTTGTTCGTTGTTTGTAGCGTTTGGGCTGGTATACATATAGACAAAATCATGGTATGTGTGGAGTTAATTATTATTCATTAGAATGTACATGTTTTCCGGAGATTCATGTCCAGAATGTAAGTTTCAGAGTCCAAATCCACAAGTAACTGTTTGAATGGGAAAAAGGATTGTAGAGTAAAGATTCTGGTTAATTTCTTGATATTCATAAACAGCAGTGAGCATGCTGAATGTGATTTAGTCTTGGGTATTTAAATGTAATTGTGAAATATTATCATTATTCAATACAGAGACGTTTGTCCATATCCCCAATTCATGTACTGGCTAGCGAACAGTTATTGCAGCGTAACAGTTATCGCCAATACATCAGTATCACACATGCGCAGTTCCGGTCACTTACAATTCCGGTATTTTTCCCCACAGTATTTGACAACAATAAAGGACAGCAAAAGAAAATCCTTCATGGCAAGTAACATAAGAGAAAAATTAGAGAAAAACTTATGAAACCTATAAAAACAATTTAACTTAGTCGGGGGGATGTCCCACGACCTATATAATAGCAAGTTCAACTTCAAGTTCACATGTCATTAATTGTTTCATTCCCTATCAACCTACTGTAAAAGAAACACTCAAATAGTCTCACAATCAATTATTTGAGGTTACTGTATGATATCAATATATATTATTTCACGAATGGCATGCGAAATTCTGAATGGCGATAACTGTTACAGTTAGTTGTGAGAAAACAGCTATTTATACTGCCATGATTCCCTTCTGCCGCGTTATGTAAAAACATGATCGGCGGAAGTGAATGGGCTGGACACATCGGTGAATAGCTAATTTAGTATCAGTATTAATTTTGTTTCATTAATGTAACGAACCGCAGAGTAATTTTGAAAATACCACTAAAATATGTCGATAACTGTTCAGTAGCCAGTACAGTATTGGGTAAATGGCTAGTGCTTATTAAAGTGTTTCCCATGTCCTCTTTTAGGCATGGTATTAAGCTTGTAATTGTGTATAGTATGTCCTTTGAAATGTTAATTTCATTTTCAGAATTGATTACTGATTACTAATCCCAGAACAATGCCAGCATCACACTTCGGCTGGTCCAATCGTGCTCAGGTGTTTCAAGTTTTTGGCAATAAACGTAAACATGAGTGGACTGAAGCAGGTGACAGAGAATTGCAGGTAATGTTTCAAGATATCAGGGATTAATTTTGCATTGTGAACAAAATAAGGAGGGAAGCCAGTTTGGAGTACTGCTAATTTGTTCAATGTTATGATGTTTTGAGGCATTTGAACAAACTTATTTTTTCTTATCCTGACTCATGATCTTTTGCTTATCTCCCTTTTCTTTTCGAATGGTAGTGGAAACACTAGACTAAGGCTTAGTCTCTGAATATATATAATTTTGATAGTAACAAACAAGCCCATTTATATTGAAAAGGAGCCCTAGGGAGACCAGAGATTCAGAGACTAAGAACATCTGTATTGGGGCTACATGTGCTGGGGTCATTACCAATTAGAAGTCACATCATACAACCATCAGATAACGCTATAAGTGAAAGGCATATTTATTGGCCCTCCTGTTAAGCCCTGTCCTATCTCCATGCTGTCATCACCTCATGTGGGCCGGTCAAGTGCCCCTACTGCCTAACATTTTACTGTTGGGAAACTTGCAGCCCACAATGTCACTTGGACACTAGATGACCAAGGTGCAAGATCTGTCTGGAACACCAACAGAATTATTTATGAATTGGAACTTATCTCCAAATTCAAAAGTTTCCATTTGTATAATATGCAAAGAGGATATAGATAACCACCTTTTTTTAAACAAACTGTTCAGTGGAAGTGAAAAGGCCAGCGTCTGTCTTACGCTTGAAGATGTTCTGGGTATTTCTAGATACTAGATCATCCTCACTAGATTTCACCTTGCATGCCTCAATCACATCACGAAGGTAAACAGATTTAATTCCGAGATGCTGTGCCTTTTGAATTTGGTTCTTCACGAGAAGGCGACTATATAGCGGAGGTTGGAAAAATAAGATCACAGAAATGACGTTTCGCAGTTCCCATGGGGGGGATACAGGACGTATCTAAGGACAGCTGTTGAATCCACGAAGTGGCTTGACCCACCACCAATCCGTCGGATTCTATAAGCAAAAGATCATGAGTCAGGATAAGAAAAAATATGTAATTTTTCAAGTAAAAAGGTTTTATACTTATCCTGACTCATGACGAGAAGCCCTCCAAACCTCACTGCTGGAAACACTTCGAATTTCACAGCAGATCCAAGTGCATGGGAAGAAAATCAGGAGAGAGTGACAAGTAAGGCTGGTCACATGACTGTTTGCGCGGGAAAGGGCCAAAGGGAGGTAACTCGTGGGTGAGTGTATTTTTACGTCCGCTTCGGGAACTTCAAGGGATTCTGATTCAAGTGTTCCACTACCATTCGAAAAGAAAAGGGAGATAAGCAAAAGATCATGAGTCAGGATAAGTATAAAAATATCAATTTTACTTAAAAAATTACATCTTTTTACATTGCGTCCAACAAAATAATGCAAAATAATTCTTAAATATTTAGGTTTCCTGTTTATTGGTCGTATTACCATTGAAGTACCAGTACAAGTTACGTTTGTCTTAAACCCGTGAAGATCTGGGTTAGAATTGGTCTTCAGTAACCCATGCTTGTCGTAAGAGGTGACTAACGGGATCGGTTGGTCAGGCTTGCTGACTTGGTTGGTATGTGTCATCCTATCCTAATTGTGTATATCGATGCTCATGCTGTTGATCACTGGATTGTCTGGTCCAGACACGATTATTAACAGAGCACCGTCATATACAGTCAGACTTCGTTAATACGAACACTTTGGTTTTTTAAAAAAAACGTTCGGATAGTGAAACGTTCGTACTGCTGAAACCACAGTATATGCACCGAGTTACTTCCCCTTGATATCTTTCCTTACTATTGAGACTCTGAGGTCAGAGATGAAGCCTATATGTTTATGAAGGAAATTATAAGCTTGTAAAACGTTATTGCTACTACATCCCATACACCATTTAAAAGATCTAATCCTACTGTTGATAAATGTGAAGTTTATTTTTATAATGTTATTAAAAAACTATGGCGCTTTTTTTTTTTCCATTTGAGACATGTCATAACATGCCCGTGCCTTTTTTCTTTTTATATTTTCATTTTTACGTCATCAGAAAATTATTATAAAAGATTTCTTAAATAATATGTATGGTCAGCCTATTTCCGATATCTGTGGCTTTCCCGCCGGTAACATGACATAACAACGGAAAATACCTCCGTTTGCCGAGCGTCATTATGAATAACATGGGAGGCGAATCATTTGATGTCGGGTATCGTCAAAGCTCTGAACATCAACAACATCACTGAACCCTTGCCGAGAGTATTTTCACAGTTGTAAGAAGCGATTTTATTGGATAAACATTGGTTTCTAATGACGCTTTTTCGCTACAGTCTGCTATAAGGGTCGTGATTGGTCAAAATCAGACACGTGACCTAAGTAAACGAAAACTTTTAGATTTAGACGAAAGTTTTGGGTAAAATAATGCTATTTTGAACATATTAAGCAAGAAATCGCTACCTATACATAAATTATGGATTTTATTCATTAGTTTATTCAATTTACATCGTTACTTTGCTCTTTGACAATGCTATTGTGGACCCGCTGCCGAAGTATGTGTCCGAGAATCGTTTTCAATAACATTGCGAAAAATAGTTTATAATTTTAATTCGGTACCGAGCATATATTTCTGGATTGAAGTCTTTCCCAAACAGCGTGTTCATCGAAATTTCCCTATCATTTATGATAAAGGGATCAAAGGGATGAGTCGCTAAACAAACAACGTGTCACTTTGGGTGGACCAGTCAGCAGCGCGGTCAACTTCAATCGTTCGGATTAACGCAGCTGTTAACAACTTAATTAGTCCAATCCGTTCCGACTGACCAGCGTTCGGAGGCGGAAGCTGAATCATCGGACTAACGAGGTGTCAATTACATACAATATATAGGGAGATGATTTGGTGCCCGGTGAGTAGCGTTCGGAAGTCGGGGGATTCGGATTAACGAGGACCGGATTACCGCGGCCTGACTGTAGCGGGAATATTGCTCAGTGTGGCATAAAACTCAACTCACTCACTTAAACCATCAACTTCAACAAGAGTCACAAGCTGTTATAACAGCCCATGTATACTACAAGTCACACTTTGCTAAAATTCCCAACTTTACTTAAACATAGATTTATAATTTGAAACTGTATCCATTTAAAACTGGATAAATAATGATATGGTAAATTGGTAACCCTTCTTTAGGCAAACAACTACTTAAATCTATCCTTATGCACTTGATACATGAGTAACCATTAAAATGGTTTTCATGGCACCAATCAACCATTTTGCAAATCATGGAACGAGTCATTGACAAATACACAACACCTCTCAATAGCAGGTATGGGATCCACAAGATGCAGTGACATACTGAAACCTAGGATCCATGCTTACAATAAGCTTAGATATTTAAACCAAATTAGACCCTTCATAGTTTTCTGTTGAATCAATGATTAGATCCTTAGCAAAGTGTGAATAGTATATTTCTAGAAAGAGAGTTGTCTCCTTTACATCTTTACGCTTAGTTGAAACATTTATGATGTACCAGTATGTCATGTTAATCTGTCTTTGAAACAAATATCATCAGTTTGGCATGAGACAATGTAATTTAAGTGAATCAAGGTAACTCAAACTAAAGTTTTGTATCTACTACTTCAGATGGAGGCGTCTTCTAAGCGACAATGTCCTGAACCTACAGAATGTGGAGATGCCATGAATGAAATGTTGGAGATTAATCATAACTCAATCCTGCCCACAGATGCACCTGAACAGGTAATGTACAGGTTTTCTCATTTCAGTCTAAGAAATAACAATGTGACCTGATGAATTGTTTCTTCGTAACTACAAGCTGTAGTTAATGAACAGCTGACAGACATTTTGAAATGACTGCATTATAATGTGTCTTTCTTTGACAGTAAAGAGATGATGCAGAGACTCACTGTCACATGAAGACAAATCATTCTGTAGTATAGTAATGGGACTTACAACAGACAAAGATATTAATACCCATGATTTGCTGGCAGACCAATTAATTTTGAAACAGCAGTATGCAGTGTTTTACCTCGTCTCACAAATATTAGTTTTAGGGGCCCTTGCAGGCAATGTGAGAGTCCTGTGAAGTAACGATGAAGAGAACTGTACGTTTTGATAATTTCTTTAGAGACTGGAATGACTCATTGAGCTTGTGGTCTGGTTTATGAAATGATGCATGTAACTGCTCAGAAAGCAACAGCCAAAACTGTGCAAAGTCATAGATATGTTGTCTGTATGATAAAAGTGTGTGTCACGCAGTGAATTTGTTTTCTGCATCCATACTCTACATTTGTGCGTACTGGACACACATTTATGCGTCACGTAAAACCCTGAGTACGTCATCCTGAGGTTAAAATATTACTTTTATCACTGCATGTGACAATATTGGAGCAGGATACGAATCTGATAAAAATTAAAAGTCACTTAAAACAGCATTTTTAGACCGTATTAATTTTTCCTTATCCTGACTCATGATCATTGCTTATCTCCCTCTTCTATGCGAATGGTAGTGGAACACTTGAATCCTTTGTAGTTCCCTAAAGCGGACGTAAAAGTACACTCGCCCACGAGTTACCTCCCTTTTCCCATGCAAACAGTCATGTGACCAGCCTTACTTGTCACTCTCTCCCTTTTCGCCCAAGCGGATGGTTGGACAAGCACTTGAGTCCCGTATACGGCATATAACCTTTATATTTAGATCCTATTTATCGAAATTACGCTGAGTATGGTATTTGGCTATAACTAACTTGTATTATATGTAAAGAAATTGAAGAAATTGTTTGTATTTTGTGACATATTTTCATTGTTATGTAACTTGTTTACTTTTCATGAAATCTTGCAGTGTTTGCAGGTACCGGCTATCAGTGGCTGATCCTCACCCCCAATGCCCATCGTGCATTAAGCCTTGTTCTTCCACCTTGCGTTGTACTTATTGCAGTGGTTTATCGAATCTACAATTTAATCAATATTTGTCTTAGACGTGCCATGGATCGGGTGAGGAAGTCATCACAAGTCACGGTTGATAAACCTGGAGTAGTTGTCTGTAATGGGGTCGAAAAAGAGGTCTGCTACTAATGAGTTGACGCCCTCTCAGAGTAAGAAGGCTTCTTCATCATCCACCAGAGCTCCAGATAAGATTTAGCTCATGTGGGTACTGTACCCACTGTATCTTTTTGGAGTGGGTATTATGAATGTTGAGTGGGTATTTCATTTTCCGTTACCCACTGCTTTCAAATATGTGCGTATTTCAGTCATTTTACTCACTTAAGTATTATGTCATTGAGTAAGTTTACTAAGCAGGTATGTTCTGCCTCATGTCATTGCTAATCAAAACCAACTTAAATATAATGGAAATGATTTCATAAAAAATCACTCATCCTATACTGACAGTACATCACTAGTTCTATACTAACAGTACAACTTGATAGCAATCGATGTCTTTTTCATTACGCAAGCGATTTTTATAAATATATTCCGTACGCATTTGTTTTAAACTTTTTGCGTATCTAACATTTTAAATGCGTAATTGGTACGCAACAATAATTTTTCAATGCGTAATTGGAAATTTTCTATGCGTATTTTACCCGGATACGCAGCTTATCTGGGCCTCTGATCCACAATGCAGATAAGGGCATCTATAACTAGATCAGCGTAGAAATCAACGCGACCTAGCAAGTCAACTCTTTAGAGGTCATTCAATGAGGAGTTCATCCCACCTCACGAAGCAGAACCACCGTTACTTCTGCCTGAAGTACCTACTAGATCGGCGACGCAGTCGACCTCCTCGACTACTAGATCATCGCTTGCAACTACAACAGCAGGCCAGCTGTTTGACAACCAACCACCAACTTCTCAACGCAGTGAAGTTGAAGCACACAACACCTCAGCGTTCGCGAATGCTTCGTCGACGCCGCATCAGTTCCAGTCTACGCAGAACTTCGATCCAGGCGACTTCATGAGGCAATTTACTACCCAAATGGTGGCCATGATGGAGCGACAGTTGGACGAGGAAGCGAAGGCACGACAAAACCTCATATCAACTGTCAGCGTTCGCAAAACCCTCAGATTTGCGCTAACCAGATACACTTCATAGACTTCTGAAGACAACGTTGGCAAAGATCATCACAGTCTGACGACTCTGTCTTCATGGAGGAAGACGGAAGCTCCGCGAAGACCACTAACTCTATGAGAAATGCGTCTGCGAACCCACAACGTTCGAGAACGCCAAGGAAGCCATCCCCGAGATCCAGCCGTTCCAGATCTAGATCCCATAGCCCTCACAGACGTTCGGAGGAATGTTGAGGAAGAGAAGGTTCGCGAAGGCAAGGTTCGCGGGAAGGAAGTTCACAAAGGCAACGTTCGTGAGACCGGAGTTCGCGAAGGGATGGATCACGAGACAGAGGTTCGAGAAGGGATGGATCACGAGACATAGGTTCAAGAAGGGATGGATCTCGAGATAGAGGTTCACGAAACCAAGGTTCGTGAAAGGAAGGTTCGCAGAAAGAGGATTCGCGAAAGGCATAGCTCTACGGACCAAGAATTATCTGATGAACACGGCGATCACGTCTTCTCAGAAGCGGAGGTTACAGCTTGGATAGCTAATGGACTGAACTTAAGAGTCTCCCTCTGAGGAATTGGATGAAGCTTACACACATAAGATGTGCAAGGAAGACTTCGACTCGGTGACGATCCCTCCTATTGAACCTATATTCAAGGTGCCTTCGAACCTGCGCTCGGCTTTTGAGAAAGCTACTAGATTCCAGAATCAGCATCTGCCATCATTTAATGCGAGGAAATTCCCATTACGTCATATGGACCCCTTTATGCGAGCGCTGGACTTAGATGAGAATATGAAGTTAGCTAGATCTACAAGATGGAGGACAAAAGGTTGGCCCAACTTGATACCGCGACGAGAAGATCCAGAACCCCAGTTCGGAAGAAGATAGAATGATACTATCGGCTCTGCTCACTCAGAAGAAGGACCAATACTTTGTATCGGACCATTTGGCCTCAACGTTGGCAGGTTTCACCTTGATACAGAGACCAGGTCTACTGGCATCATGTTCCTGGAGCGACAGATTTACCCAACTGCTACTTAGAGCTCTTTGGGTGGCGCCCACTGTCTTCGGAGGCAAGATAGATGAAGCAGCTAAGGAAGCTACTCACGATTTAAGGGAAGTTATGATGATCAAATCTATAGACACTCTAGCTAACGTCATTCGTCATACTTCACAGAAGTACAACAGCATGTCGAAATGTTCCGGTATCCAGAAGGCTAAGGAGAAGAAATACTCCAGTTTCAGATCCGGGAAAAGCTCTTTTCGTCGCCCATCCGGAAACTACAGAGGGAACTCAGGGAGAGGACGTACTCCCAGAAGGATCCAGAGGAGCTAGACGCTGAAATTGGGGTTCGGAAACGACTGGATGCTTCCATCCCCAGCCGTTCCTGTAGAACCATCGACAGTGGGTTGACGTCTACAAAGGTACTGGGAAAATTGGGGAATACTGGAGGACGACTAGGTCTCGCAAGTACTACGAGAAGGGTGTAGAGTGCAGCTCAAGGCCACACCACCGTTAACCCTCAGACCGATGGTCTTCAACTATGCCGACGAGCAAGCAGACAAGCTACAAGAAGCCATCAACTCGCTTCTAACCAAGCATGCAGTAGAGAGAATAGATCAACATCATCTCACGCCAGGCTTTTACTCCCCAATTTTCCTAGTACCCAAGAAGAATTCGACACAGAAATTCAGGTTGATTTACAGCATGCGAAAATTCAACCAAGACTATCTACTCAAACCAGAAAGGTTCAGAATGATCCACCTACCTCAACTCAGACTGCTCATCCATCCAGCATATTATATGGCCAGCATTGACCTTCAGGATGCATATCTGCACATCCCAATACATCCGGAATCAAGAAAATATCTACGATTCCTATTCAGAGGTCAGCACTTCCAATGGAACGTCCTACCGTTAGGAATATCGTCGGCTCCGTGGTTATTCACACGAATAACCAAGCCCATAGTCGCCTACCTACATCATCTACGCAGTGCCTTTTACCTGGACTACGGCATACAGGTTAGTCAAAATGCCAATCAACTCAGACATGAGCTGAACTTCACAATCAAGTTGCTCACACAACTAGGATGGCTAGTGAACCTGATGAAGTCAGAGTTGGAACCAAAACAAGATCTTCAATTTCTCGGGATAAGATTCATCATAACGCAGAATCAGATTGTGGTCCCAGAAGATCGTTGGGTCAAGATACAAGCCATGATTCCTCAAGCAATCATCTCTCTGTTAACGCTACGAACATGGCAATGTCTACTCTGTCTACTAACCCTCAGTGCATGACTTGACTTGAACAGGATGATTACAACTACGTCCCTTGCAACGATTCCTGGCAAAACATCTGGACAGCGTCGACCCTATCTCGCTACCAGACAACCTCAAAACGTACCTGCTTTGGTGGACTCGCAGGTCGAATGTTTGCGGAGGGGCCTATTTACAAGAGCTGGCCTTCGACACACATCTTTACATAGATGCATCGCTACAGGGATGGGGTGTGCATCTCAACAGCCAAGTTGCATCAGGGAAGTGGTCGAAAACAGAACAGCATCTTCACATCAATCTGCTGGAAATGAAAGCTGTGATCAACGCCGTAGAACTATAGTCGAGCTTGCTGAACAACAGAATGCTGATGGTCCACACGGACAACTCTACAGTGGCATTCTCCATAAATCGGCAAGGATCAACAAGAACGCCATGCCTACTTTAGCTCCCATTCCAGTTGTTCAACATCACAGAGGATGCAAACATCTGGTTAAAGGCGTGTCACATACCGGGAGCCAAGAACGTACTAGCAGAGGCTGTTTCCCGACCATTTCATCCGTCACCCAGCGAATGGATGCTCCATCCAGAAGCATTCCGGCTCATCATAAGGGAAATAGGACCTGTTCGCCAGGAGGTTCAACAAACAACTACAGACGTTTGTCTCACCAGTACCAGATCCTCAAGCCTGGGCAACAGATGCACTGAGCACATCATGGGCATACGCGTTTCCACCCCCGATATTACTACCGAAAGTACTGTTGAAGATCAAACAGACACAGGCGCTACAACTGACTTTGATCGCGCCCTATTGGCCAGCGAGAGTATGGTCTAGACCTAATAGAAGATTTTGGAAGTCCAACCCTCAAACTACCAGAATGGCCGAACCTACTCAGACATCCGCACACCAAATAAGTACACAGGAACCCAACACTGTTCCAGCTACACGTGTGGACCGTATCAAAACCGAAGATGTCTCTGGCATTCACCAGTTTGGGCCTCTCGTTGTAGCAAAACAACTAACGGTTCCACAAAGGCGTTGAGTTGTAAATCTCACCCTTTATCACGTTGACTTGTTGATAACTTTTACTAGGGAAAAGTATTAGTTTGAAAGTCCATGCGCACAGTCTAGACTAGGCCAGCATGAGTGATTAAAGACCTGTATTAAAACCTGTCTGAAGAAAAGGGATACTCTGTCAGAGCAGCGAAAGCAGTAACCTTAGTGTTACGCAGATCTACTCGTAATTTGTATGATGACAAATGGCAGAAGTTTGAACAATATGCAAGGCGGAAAGGCTTCAAAGCTATGAAAGCTACACCTCCTCAAGTGGCGGAATATCTATGTCATCTTAAATATACAAGCCTTCTGAAAGGTTCGACATTATCCACATATCTGGCAGCAATCAGTACAGTCATCACTATGAAATCAGCCATCAAGTTGACGAAAGTACCAGAACTACTTGCTCTGCTGCAATCTTTTAAACTGGAGGACCAGCAAAAGAAATTCAGAGCACCAGCCTGGGATCTGAATGTAGTTCTACTTCATCTCATGAGTGATGCCTACGAACCTCTAGAACAGACCTTCGAGCGACTCACGCAGAAGACTCTGTTCCTACTTGCCCTAGCCACGGCAGCTCGAATATCTGAGATACATGCGCTGGACTTTGGACGAACAAGATTCGACATGGGGCACCGTGCTGCAGTTAATCTAGGACTTAGATGGGACTTTATTGCAAAGAATCAGCTACCTGGTCAACCAGATAGACAGTTCCATGTACCAGCGTTATCCACAATCCTCAGTCCAGAGGACACCCAGGACTTATCCTCGTGTCCTGTCAGAGCCTTGAAGATATACCTTCAAAAGACTAAAACAAGGATAAGAAAATTCAAGCACCTATTCATCCCCCTGTCGACGGAGACATCAGTGGAAGTCTCAAGAACAACAATATCATTTTGGATGAGAACCGTTATACTAAGAGCTTACAGAGCAGCAGGACTAGAACCTCCAAGAGCTTCCAACCCACATGAAGTCAGAGCGCTGGCGTCAACACTTGCTCTGCATGGAAATTGCTCTATATCATCAATTATGGAGGGCTGCTTCTGGAAGTCCGATATGGTGTTTGCCAACCACTACCTCCGAGACATAGCCACCGAAGATGTCTCTGGCATTCACCAGTTTGGGCCTCTCGTTGTAGCACAACAACTAATGGTTCCACAAAGGTGCTGAGTTGTAAATCTCACCCTTTATCACGTTGACTTGTTGATAACTTTTACTAGGGAAAAGTATTAGTTTTAAAGTCCATGCGCACAGTCTAGACTAGGCCAGCATGAGTGATTAAAGACTGTATGGGTAAAGATCTTACCTGTATGTTAAGGGGTCGCAACTCATTTATGATAAAGATCTTATCATAATCTATGGGTTGTTATAGACAACTAGTAAAAAGAAGATACTAGTATATCTTAAGCCACATGAATCTACAAGATCCGACTTGTCTGAGACTTTAAGTAAGACAAGATAGTCCCCCCCCCCCCCCGAGTTATAAGGGAAGTTGGAAGGGTAGGATCTAGAAAATGCCGTTACGCAGTTCCCATGGGGGGAGATACGGGACGTATCTAAGGTACAGCTGATGAATCCAGGAAGTGGCTTGACCAACCACCGTCGGATTCTATAAGCAGCGATCATGGGTCAGGATAAGGAAAAAATTTAATTTTCTAAGTAAAATTGATATTTTATACTTATCCTGACTCATGAGGAGAAGCCCTCTCAACCTCCCCGCTGGAAACACTTCGGATTTCACAGTAGATCCAGGTGCATGGGCAGAAAAATCAGGAGAGAGTGACAAGTAAGGCTGGTCACATGACTGTTTGCACGGGAAAAGGGAAGTAACTTGTGGGTGAGTGTACTTTTACGTCCGCTTTAGGGAACTACAAAGGATTCAAGTGTTCCACTACCATTCGCATAGAAGAGGGAGATAAGCAATGATCATGAGTCAGGATAAGTATAAAATATCAATTTTACTTTAAAAATTACATTACTGTATAGTGTATAGGGGGGTAGCCAGTGGTTTCAGATATACCTTAAAATCCAATTAGGAGATGAACATGCTATATCTTTAAAGTAGAGCTAGGTTGCCTGTTAATTAAATGATTCTAAACTGAATTTAGAAACAGAAGTGCAGTGTTTCTGGTGTTGGATACTGAGGGTTACAATCAGGATTAAAATCAAGTATTTCCCAAATTCAAATAAAATCAGCTTTTTGAATACTGGCTACAGAGTTTTCCATTAAAGGTCACATGCAACGTAAAACACAACTTTGCAGATTCTGTCACTTTCGGGATGGACTTACCAAAACAAATCATCAAAAATGCAAATTCAACTTAAGTTGAAAAATAACGCGATGAAAAAACCGCACGAAATCGGAGTTCAAATAATTCACTAATTTTCCCCCGACTTTTCGGGGGAAAACTGGTTTCAACAGCTGGGCTGGCTCATAGCACGTGCGCAGTGAAATAGGTTCGTGCAACTTGGAAGCGGGCTGTCCGGTGAATACTCGGTGAAGGCTTTGGTGTGAGCTATTTTCCTAATTTTTTGTTGATATCTCACAGGCGCGAGCTTTTTATATGTTATGGCAGTAAATAAACTGTTTATATAAATTCATTTGTCTATTTCACCACACGTTCTTCTTACCGAGTCACTTTCTCAGTTAGATACTTAAAAGCGATGTCATTATTTACCGTTGACAGAATTTCTAACTGTGATATAGATATGTCGTTGTCACAGACAAAACTCAATGTCTTGTTTTATTGACACCTATGTGTCTGCCTGCCTGTCTGCTAATGACAATATTCAATACACAACTGCGATCACTGACCACATGCAATTTGAACTTAACACCAATCAGGTTATATACCATAAACAAAACGCATTGATTTATGGCCTGAGTTCGGTCTCTGTCAGAGTCACATTATGTAATTACACAGACAGGCAGGTGTGATACTTGAACACATGACATGTTATGATGTCTGTTGATTGCAAAATGTTATACACAAAAAATGAGCATGTATTTACAAAACCCAACATCTCTATATATACACACCAATGAGCTGTGAGGGCATCTGCAAATGAACCAGCCGTTACACTTGAGTGCACACCCACCCGCTCTGACTGGGTTCGGTATCCCGGCTGCTTCGTTTCTTGGGAAGTAAACCCAAGTACACAATATTTAACTTTTGATTTGCGATTGTACGCTTATAATTTTGTTTATATGTTTTTTCATAACCAACAATGTCATGAATAAGTGATAATTGTGTTTTAATTATGTTTGATTTTTTGGTTGCATGTGACCTTTAATGTATAAAGCACAGAACACCTCAGAAATTCAAGGAAATAAGAAGTATTATTATTAGTTGCTGTGGTTTTATGAAAGTACTTGATAAAGCTGGTTTTATGAAAGTACTTGATAGCGGTATCCCTGTCAGTACCTACACCGAAATTGACTATCCATTTCCTTCATGACGCTACTGTTGATCTTCAGGATACAGCACTTACAGAATGTGCAACCTTGAGTCAGGAGCAAATACACCAACTACAGCAGGCCCAACTTCAACAAATTCAAGAGCAGCAACAACAACAGTATATGCAGCAACAACAGCAGCAACATTTTCAGTCACTGCAGATGCAGCAGCAACATCAGGCACAGCAGATGCAGGAAACGTTCAACCCAGAAATACAGCAGGTACATCTGACTGATCAAATCTATTAGCTGTACATGTCATCAACCCATACTTACCGTATATTACCGTCTATAAGCTGAATTTTGAGGATAAAAAAAAGACAGTCTATAGAAGGGGGTCAGCTTATCTATGAGTTACCCTTTCGTAAAACTTTTTTCCAGGGGTAAGAAAACAACATCGTATCACTTTGCGTGAAGAAACAACAGAAGACAACTTTGTCAGTAAAGACGTCAAATTTGCAATTAAACATCACTAGACAAGATCATTTACCTTTTAAGTTCTAAGTTGTTTTTGCTGGGCATTGTATTATTTGCGGGGATTAAGATTACGGTGTGTATTTGAGCCGGAAATACAATCAGCTGTGCACACGTTTCCCCGGCAATCAAGTTCAAACATTCACAATAATATAATGGAATGAATTCTGATGCAGTCATCAGTAAAATATAATACAGAACACTTTAACCCAAAGAAATATATCCTAGCATTGTGTAATTTTAATTACAGTTTTTGTTCTATAAATGTAAAATATATAAAATCAACACTAAGGTTGAAGGAATTCCAGATGAATGCCCTTATTGACTAACATGGAGGGGCAGTGGGGTAGCCTAGTGGTTAAAGCGTTGACTCGTCATGCCATAGACCCGGGTTCGAATCCCCACATGGGTACAATGTGTGAAGCCCATTTCTGGTGTCCCCTGCCGTGATGTTGCTGGAATATTGCTAAAAGCGGCGTAAAACCAAACTCAGGCAATCAGTCAGACTAACATGGACTTATGCTTCAGACTGATTCAGCATTAGTCTTCTGATTTCAAAATGAGGCCCTCAAAGTGTTGGTTTTAATTTGGACTAAAAGCAGACCATGTAAATAGAAGGCTAACGTTCGTTATGAAAAAGTTGTGGAAGGGTAACTTTGCAGGGATCCTCATGTTTCATTCCTCTTTTGCATCAGCAACAGCAGCCTCAGCCGTTAGACCCCCAGTCTAACAACACAATGGTAATGGACCTTTGTGATGAGACATACTCCACCCCACAGTTGGACAGAGAAACACAGTCAATGTACAGCAACATGGACTCCGACTTTGTGCCAAATCTGCAGCAATATGGGTTAGCATTTTGTGGAGACAAGTGTTTGTAAGTTAGTGAGTGTCACGTAACTACATGCTTGTCTTTCTGGTTTTTTTGTCCAAGTTTTACCGGTACATGAGGGTCCACTTGCACAAAACAGTGTATGAATGTATTCATTTGTACTTCAGTATTTTCATAAAACATGGGTAGGTATTTCTCTGCTTGCAATAACAACGTCTGTGTTCCTAAATGCCTGCTTAAATGAGAAAAGAGTTGAGATGCTGTTATCCGAGTAATGTTTCCTTTAAATATTTGTTCCTTTATGGAAAACACATGAAGATCCAGGTTAGAATTGATCTTCAGTAACCCATTCTTGTCGTAATAGTTGACAAACGGGATCGGGTGGTCAGACTCGCTTACTTGGTTGACACATATCATCGTATCCGAATAACATAGATCGATGCTCATTTTGTTGAATAGTCTAGTCCAGACTTGATTATTTACAGACCGCTGCCATATAGTTGAAATATTGCTGAATGCGGCGTAAAACTAAACTCACTCTCACTCTCACTCACTCACTCACTCTTTTATGGAAAGTGTGCAAGGTGTGATGGATAGAGGGTGTCTGGAGTGTGCTGTGATCAGTTCCACTTTTGGTATGGAAAGCACACTATGCATGTTTGCCGACAACTATAGACAGGAGATGAGTTTAAGAAATATGTACCTCCACTGTTGAAGATTTCGACCTTAGTAAAAACTGTGATCTTAAATAGAAATAATCTTACAATAGATAAGATCAATTGGTGAAGGTAGAGTAGGACAATTGTATGGTGATTGTAAAGCTAATTGTAGGTGCCAAAAATTGATTGTAACTAAGATTATTTTGTGCAAGAGGGCCCTTGATAGCTGTGTAAATCAAAATGTTTGATATATAGGGCATAATAGAGTGGTCTTTGAAGTTTGAATCTTGGGATCCCAAAATCGTTTACTTGTTACAGCAATGATAACCTGTTTACCCTAGTTTTAATATAATGAAATCTGATAAATTTGAATGCTGATTAGTGTATTCGTGACAGAGTGTTTGTTTGAATCCTGGATACATATAACATGTTACATTTGACCACTTTCTAAATGGCATTATCTATTTATTGAGTATAACAATTCTTTGTGTTTTATGAAGTAAATGATAGTTATAATAAACTGTTAAATATGTATCCTGAAATTATGTTCAAGATTGTATAATACTGTTTTGTATTCAATTTCATTTTGTTGAAACATGTAGTAGATTGCCATAAATGTCATTACATACAATTCAGTAATATGCAACTGATTCAGGTTGCAGTTTGTTATCACCAGGCAGTAGGACTAAAGCATATTCCTGTTTTATACAGTGGTGGAGAATGGAACCCAGCATCAGGGAGAATCCGGTGCTACTGCAAGCAGTCATGGGAAGGATTGATGGAAATGAGACCCTATGTGTCTGACTACTACTAAACACACCTCACAAGTCACCTATTGTACCTTCAATGTCACGCCAATCTTTGTGTGTTTCACTCAAAACTGTCCACCAAGTGCAAATTTAGGCCAGGCCACTATTTTCACTTGTTCTATTTCATTATTCCTGTCTGCGTGTCACAAAAAGTAACAAGGTTTGAAAAGTAAAGGTTAGAAATGGATAAGATGTTCTACAGATTGCAACATTTCATTTTCATGTCAATGTTCATAGTCTTTTTACCTGATTTAACATGGAAAATGTCTAGTCTCTCTTTGATAGTCTGTTGCATTAATTGATATGGCTGAAATATTGCCGATGTGACGCTAAATATTAACTCACTCACTCACTGTTGCATTAATTGTTAACCTAAAGAATGTACTTTACATATTGTGACCCTTCTGAGGGCAGATAGGTTTAATGTGTTCAATACTGGATATCTTTCAACTGATACAAGTCAATGATGTACAAATAGACAGCTGATAAGTAATGAATCTTCATTAGAGGCACAGTTTATTCATACAAGAGCTGGTTTCACTGTTGTGTCAGCCCATGACAGATACTTGGAAGTATTGAAATAGAAACTTTCATGGAATGACTGATAATTGCCCTGTTTCAAGCATAGAAAATTCAAAGAGTTAAATATTTCGTCATAGAATCTCATACTGAAACAACTTTTGGTTTCAACAAGTTATTTTTGTTGCAATATATTTTACAGTTGGTTAGTTGTACAACTGCAAACTATATGTTTTTGATTCCTCAACAGAATTCACATATTTTTTTCAAGAAAGTCTCAACATATATCACATATTTCTTCAAGAAAGTCGTATTTTGTAAATGTCCTGGTATACAAATTGAATCTTACCAGTATACTATTTCTTCTTTTGAATCTCCATGCACCATTTTTGCATGATTACAAAATGAACAAGTCCATTAATTTTACATATTTTCCACTGACCAATGGGTCATGAATTGACCTGCGTGTTTGCTATTGTTAGCTACATTGTGATCATGTATAGTGTTATGGCTTTCATATCAATGTTAGTGCCTTACTTGTTGACATAATCATAGATCCTTCACAGAACCTGTCATCCCTCTACATCGCCAGGGTTGCATTTCAGTAAACCTACACTAAACCCTGGATTAGACCCTGTAAAGCTCGCAATTTCAAATTACCTGCCCTTGAATTTCATTTACATTATACTGGCCATTCATATTTTGAGATAAAGACAAAGGCAATGTTTTAGGGAGGACTTGGCACCACCAGTTTTAATGAATATGAAGCAGAGGCCCAGATAAGCTGCGTATCTGGGTAAAATATGCATAGAACATTTCCAATTACGCATTGAAAAATAATTGTTGCGTACCAATCACGCATTTAAAATGTTAGATACGCAAAAAGTTTAAAACAAATGCGTACGGAAAATATTTATAAAAATCGCTCGCGTAATGAAAAAGACATCGATTGCTATTAAGTTGTACTTTTAGTATAGGACAAGTGTTGTACTGTCAGTATAGGATGAGTGATTTTTATGAAATCATTTCCATTATATTTAAGTTGGTTTTGATTAGGTATAACATAAGGCAGAACATAACTGCTTAGTAAACTTACACTCAATGACATAATATTTAGGTGAGTAAAATGACTGAAATACGCACATATTTGAAAGCAGTGGGTAACGGAAAATGAAATACCCACTCAACATTCATAATACCCACTCCAAAAAAATACAGTGGCTATAGTACCCACATGAGCTAAATCTTATCTGGAGCTCTGTATGAAGACATGTCTTCCTTCTGAAGTATTTTAGAGGGCTTTGTCTTGTGTGTCAGTTTTTCAGTGTTGAATTTTTTTTAAATTATTGTACTCAGTATGACTGCCTGCAATGGTTTTAATATTGCCAATCAAACGTTGAGGCTGGTTTGTAGCTCACATTTGAGGGGCAGTTGGGTAGCCTAGTGGTTAAAGCATTCGCCAAACACCCGGGTTTGATTCCCCAGATGGGTACAATGTGTGAAGCCTATTTCTGGTGTCCCCTGCTGTGATATTGCTGGAATATTGCTGAAAGCATAGTAAAACTAAACTCACTCACTGTAGCTTGCATTCTGACTGTTAGATTGAGTAGCTATGCACTTCAAATTGACTTATGAAATTCAAGGGCAGATAATAATAGATTGTGAGAGTCATGGGGATGGATCCAGGGACTGGTGTAAGTTTCCTGAAATTAAAGCCTTGAGGATGGGAGTATGTGCAATTGTGTGATTGCGTTTTACAAGGTTCAGATTCAATTTATTTTGTTCTACAATTGCATACGCATTTAACTGTACTCAAAGATTATTTTCAAGGCCCAGTTCCACAAAGTGATCTTATTGCAAATATACTCTTCACTGCTATACTTGTGGTAGAAGTGGTAGTTTGATTACGTTTAACAAGAGGAACAAGGTTACAGAGACATTAGTATTTTTTAAGTGTTTCCTTAAAAGAGTAGTCCAAATGGTTTCGACATAGTCATCAGGGGCCCATCCCACAAAGCAATCTTAGCATTAAGGTGATCATATCTCCAGTGCTTTAATATAGGCTTATGATCATTGTAGCGCTAACATTGTTTTGTTGAGTGGGGCACGGATGTACACTAATAGATATTAAAGGTTAACAAATTACCTTCAATACAGTCATAAAAGTGACATGGTTAAAATGCAAGTATAATTTTTAATGTTTGTATGCAGTGTTTCTAGTGATATGAACAATATACTTGAGAAATGTTGCCTTGAAAATGTGCAGAACTGAATGTTGCCATTTGTCGCGGGTTTGTTTTGTTGTGTGTATATTGTTTATGACTTGTAGAATCCATTATTTATTGAAATCATTGTCTCATAATTTAAATATCACTTCACCAGTCATTGCTTACCCTGATGACATAGTTTCATTTCACAACTATTTGTCCAGTCTGAATTGTCATTTCTTCTACTATTCAATTGGTTGATCACAAATATGTTGTCTTGCCTTACTGATGCGTCACATACTGTGTATGCAGACATGCATGGTATCCACACTGGGAGAGACCCCTCAACTAAGTCAGTTACAGTCATACACTAACACAGTAATCTCAGATGAGACTGCATGGTAATACCAGTATACCACTCTCCACTCTCCAGGGGCGGAGGGGTAGCCTAATGGTTAAAGCGTTGACTCGTCACGCCGAAGATCCGGGTTCGAATCCCTACATGGGCACAATGTGTGAAGCCCATTTCTGGTGTCCCCCGCCGTGATGTTGCTGGAATATTGCTAAAAGCGGCGTAAAAACCAAACTCAGTCAGTCCATGCGGCCAGCCAGCATAGTACCTCTGCCACAGGCCAGAAAGATTCGTCACATCTTGCACCGTCCATTCAATATAATGTACATATTTCTTAACTCTTTTATTTTTGACGAGTCTACACATCTAATTAAACATCTTTGATAGAATGGTTTAGTTTCACTGGGAAAATATCCTAAAACATGTAACACCATTTCGATTTGCGTAGCGATCGTTTGTTTACATAGGTTGTACGGCTCCACGTGCTGCCATTGAAGCCGACGGAGAGCAAACGATGCAGCCAGTTTGATATCTAATATGTACTGTCATAAACCTTACTGTTGAAGTTGTAGAAGAATATATATGTTACAATGTAAAACATTGTGAAGAGCGCACCGAAAAGCTTGTGTAAAGCCAGTCTCTGCTTATTTTAAACATGTGCGTTTGTTTACAAACAAGAGAAAAGTCCAGTCACGTGATATGTAAATTAGCCTGTGGCAGTGATGTTATGCTAAGTCATCGCTGCGCCGGAGTGTGACCAGTATACTAGTTTACTGCAATATGCTTTTCAAATTATACATATCCCCTAAGAACTGGTATGTTGGGTAAAAATGTACATCGAGTTTTTTTATTATCTCCTTGGTTTAAGTTAAAATCTGCCCAGACTTTCATTTACCATTGATGATGTTTGTTTTTTTAAAATTAATTGACAATAATGCTTACTTTATTTGCATTCTATTAATTGTATAACAAAGAAAATTTAATCCCTACCTATCCAACCTAATTCTGAAATTGCTGTTGTCAATACCATGCCATTGATTTTAGGGCCCTTGTATGTAGAAAATGATGTGCCACTACAAATAGTGTCGCTCACTTTCACTCCCACTATATCACAGTGTATATCACAATTTGTATAGAGTTGTAATATATTGATGTACATTTTTTGTCCAATACACGGCCCTAGTCTCAGACGTGTGAAATATTCTCAGTGAGAAAAATTATTCCCCCATCACAGAAAATGTAACTGGTCCCATATTGATAATGGATGCTAATGCCAGGCGTACCAAAGAAAAACAGCTCATAGCAGCTTAACCGTGGAATATGGTCACTCTTTCACTAAAAATGGCTGCACAAGTTACTAAAAATGCACAATCCCCATAACATATGCATGGTAATAAGAACATGGGACGGTTTCAGTGGAGACTGCATGCACACTCTGCATGATTGATTCCATGGAAAATGTGCACGGTTCTTGTCAATACAATTCAATGATTATATGGATTGTGTCTTGCTTGAACATTGTGTGGCTATTCCTATTTAAAGTTTGCACGTATTTAATATTGCTCTCTTCTAGTTTTATCTAGTAAACCTGAGTTTCAATGAGGTTTCTCGCATTGTAATATTTAGCATGCACAGTGATTTCATTCTTTTTCATTGTAATATTTGTGTTTTTCTTCATTATAATCTTTTGCAGTAAGGAGTGATATACTTGTCCAATTTGAGATCTACATTTTGTTGCTACTGTTGTAGTCTCTACCCTTAAGTGCAAGATGAGAGCATATAATATGCTAATATTCATGATTTCACCCTTATGCTTGCAATGGTGCTAATTGCTTTAAATCAATAGAATGATATTAAATTCGCAAGGTCTTAGGTCCAAGACAAATGTCATTGAGAGATAGATTATCATAATAACAAGTACAGTTAAGAAGTGGGGTTAGGTGAAATATGTGTATTGGTTGCATACATAATTTTTGTACGTTAATAGCGATCTGTGTGTCTGTGTATGTGAGTTTTGTCTGTCTGCTTATACTGACCAGGACATCTCTTGTAGTGCTAGCCAACTGAGATGCCATGCCACACGTAAACATGGATACTCCCTTAGTATATACAGACTCAAAGCTGACCAGTCCTTTTATCCCCTTAATGCTGAGCGCCAGGCGGGATAACAAAACGTACCATGTTTAAAAATAATTTCATATGACACCTCTATGGATCAAGCACTGACCTGCTGGCTGCTGTCTTCCCTAGACCAGGGAGTCAGTCTGTAAGGTATGAAGCTGTGTGATTGGAAAACTACCTGAGGGTTTTTTTTGTTGGTGATTAAGTTTTGTCGGTGTTCTATTTTCAACCTAAGGTGTACATTTAGGTTTAAGCCATGTGTGGAATGCCACAAGTATGGATGAGGCAACTTGCAGATAGTGCTCTTGTTTTTGAAATATTTTGTTTTACTTGACAAATTTTGAGATAACATGAATCTGTCATCTGTTAATAGAGTGAATCTTTCTTTCATGTTTTTCTCTTCCATTATACTAAATTCCATCTTTTTATATATATATATCTTAACACATTGAGAAAAAGTTATCTGAAAAGTATGTTGGTTATACTTGATCATTGATTTCATTCATACTTCAAACATTGATATATACATATATCATGACTGGTATATTGATATACAGTTGCAAAGATCATTAAATAGACATAATGTCTTGTATAATGTTAAATGCAATAAGTCAGCAGAGCTGATCATCTATGCAAACATGCATCCTGGAGCCAGTTATCCATGATGGTGTTTTTCAAAAGGTTTATTGCTCTTGTGAATTTGAATGGTTGTATTATGTATCATTGGAAGTAACTGATAAAAGCTTTGAGTTTTAGACTAAAAATTTGTTTCAGGGGAACAAGTCAAGGTCTTGTTGCTGTTAACATTACTTTCATTGTCAGTGATAATTTGCATGTTTTGTTTCCTTTTATACAGTGGGTTACTGTAGAGACTGCGTTCAAAGAAATGGTACAGATTCTTTGTAGGCCACTTCCAAACATCACAATCCAGTTATTCTACTGAAAAACATAAATGACCACCCAATTTATTCATTTTAGTAAAGTTATTCTCTCATGGCATAATAATATGAAAAAAAATCAGGAGGTCCTTAATCCTTTTCTTCTTTTTCAGCTGTATAGTAAACAGTGTAAATGCTGTAATTCAGCACCAAAAACAATGCCTCCAAATTGCAAGGAATATTTGTTCCAGCTTGAAAACGATTTTGCTTTTTAAAAGTATAAAAAATATGCAGTGTCCTTGACCAGTATTGGATAGACCCCATAAATCTTTATTACAATCACAGTGTTCATTATAAAACTAATTTAGAGTTATTCTCAGGTTCTGTCATCAGGATATGTACTCTGCAGCTTCTTGCCCATTGACGTAGAATTTACTGGATGTGTTTTGACACATTGCTGTTTTTGCATGACAAAGACCATATTCATTGCCAACAAACATTTGGTGTACACACGTAATGTGTATGCACACAGGTGAAGTCATGACTTCAATTAAAGTTGTGCTAGTGTGAATGTTTCAATAGTTGTGTTATATGTTTTCGAACACTTATGAACATCCATTGTTTTTATGATTATCGCATAAACAATGGTAAAACATGTCAGTAACTTTGTCCTGAAAAAGCCATCATTCAATTATTTACAATGTCTGTATGATGCAACACCCCTCTTAACAGCCTGAGTGAGCACTGCTGTCTGAAAACGATATTCAAGGTGGACAACAGATGCACTTACTTAGGAACATAATGAGATCATCACACCTGAGCCCAATACAGGAAAATGATCAAACCACCACTTTCTCACCAGGCAGCAATATGTAGGACCTTGCTATGAATGTTGAATTTTGTTACCCTGACAGTTTTTGGCATTTGTTAATTACATATCAGTTTCATTGTTTCTTTATCACAAAATGCCAATAATGGCATCTTGGATTTGTCTGTTGTATCTTAAATATTTCAGTGTTATATTTATGTTATTTGGTATGGCAGACTTCCAGATGTACCCAACCTTTATTTTCACAGGTGTATAGGTGTTTATTAAATACTTTTTAAGCAAATCGGACTTGGTTATATTTTCATGAGTGAGTATGGCTTTATATTTTATCATCAATAGTGCTGCAATACAATTGCAGGAGATCCCCACAAATGGGTTTCTATCAAAGCAGGATCTCTGGCCTAATGAGCAAACAGTTAAATCACAAGTCTACACATTGCCCCATGAAGACTGTGTTTTGTTCATATTCACAGCAGAGCCACTTATCTGTGACTTGTAACATCTGGACCGACAAGCTGTTTCCTCCCAAAATGTTATTAGTTTATAATAACCAATAGTCAGAAATAGCTTCAGACCAGCTAGATATGACTTGTATACCATGGCTGTTTGTCAAGTTTAATGTTTCCATCCATATTTAAGGATGGGATAGTGTCAAAGTACCTAGTGAACAGGTTTTTATGTACATTTAACATGTCATTGTAGTGATGTGGATCTTTGCTTATGATATCAAGCACAGGTCTACCATGTTCACATTGTTTGCTGGATAAGTTCTCAAACGGGGCAGTGGGGTCGACTAGTGGTTAAAGTGTTTGCCCATCATGCCAAAGACCCAGGTTCGATTCCCCACATGGGTACAATGTGTGTAGCCCATTTCTGGTGTCCCCCAGCTGCGGTATTGCTGGAATATTGCTAAAAGCAGTGTTAACCCCAACTCACCCCAAAAGAACACGATTTTTCATTGTGACTAATTCTGCAGTTGTCTGACAGAATATATAAATGTAATAAAAAATAGGATGTTCTTGGATTATTTTGAGTAGTTCAAAACAACTTAATTTTGTGAAAAGCAGCCTCAAACTAAACTCACTTTAAGGCCATATGACTGAACCATCAATTGATATTAGTCATGTTAACAATGGACACAATACCTGTGAAGATCCAGATGAGAATTGGTCTTCAGTAACTCATACTTGTAATGGGATCGAGTGGTCAGATTGGTTATCGTATACATCCCAATTCCGTAGATTGATGCTCATGCTGTTTGTCACTGGATTGTCTGGTCCAGACTTGATTATTTACAGATCGCAAACAATATACCTGGAATACTGCTGAGTGCAGCATTCAACAACAAACAAAACAACGGATAGAAAATCTTTATACACTTTATTGACAGTGTAACTGTAGCAAGCTTTGTTTAATTATGTGAAAGAAAACATTCATATATTGCGTAGGAATGTTGCTTGTTTTTTCTTCACACCTAATACAGCATACATGCTGGCATGAAATGGTTTGATCTGCAAAATATACTGCACAATAAAGTGAAGGAACTTTACCATTTAGAAGGCTGTTACAATACTCACTGGTTATAATAGTTATACATGTACTTGTCATGTGAAAAAACGGATGTTCTTAAACATTCTTTGAGTAGTGTTTTATGTACATGTGTTTATGTATGCAGTTTCCCTCAAATGCAAAAATATTTAAAAAATAAATATACATAAGATTTCATCAATACATATAACTGACACGTCACAGCCATACTAACAAGCACTCTCACAAATGAATCATTCAACAAAACAAACCATAGGAACTCTAGGGTAAAGATTTCTAGCAAATACTGCTACATATATGTTAAGAAGGCAATAATATCACAAAGGTTATTCACTTGATACATATCTTTGAAGGAACCAGGAAATCTGAAGTAGGACATCTTCAGCTAATAGATGTCATGAGTGTGGCTCTTTACATTCGTGGCATATCACAGCTTGATATGTGAGGAAAAACTGCAAAGTGTCACATTGTGGGTATTCATATATGAATATAGGAACATTCAAGGTGACGGGTATGGTACTGACAAAATAAAGTCCAAAATGAGAGTAAACCTGGAACTGGATCATGTCTGAGCATGTATGTCTGGCTGTAGTATTCCGTACTAATACTGGCTTAATAGTCCTAGCCCACTGAGATACCATGAGATATGAGGCTTCAGTTTAACATGGGTACCCAGACTCTGTACACTGATTCGGAGCCAACCAGTCATTGTTTCATACCCTTCTTCATGTCAATCAGGGTCACAACAAGAAACATCTTTCTTTCTCTTTGGGTATTTAAGATTGACTCAACATCCACTAACCAGGCTACAACATGAACTACAGGCTGCACCTTAGACACAACACCTCTACTATGGACTGATGATACAGAAGACGCAAGCCTGCTAGTCTGAAACAAGTGAAATTAAGGAAGGACAAATGACAATTCCTTCCAGTCTATAATGTTTACTATTAGGTATATGGCAAATCCTCAGCTGTGATCATTAACCTACGACTGTTGTAAGTCAATGTTAATGTACACGGACCCTTTCATCAAAGCAATCGTACCGCTAATATAATCGTAACTCCCATACTTTAACCAAGACTTACGACTGTCATAGCACTACAATCACTTTGAGGAACAGGGCCCTGGACCAAGTTTGCTTTGTGCAAGGGAACCACTGGTAGGAAGGAGGGAGGGAGGTAAGATGGAAGGAAACAGTCAGTATTGTTTGTCTTGCATTTTTAAGCAAACAGAACACATATATAGTTTCCACCATGTTTCATAAAGTTTGCATTTTGAAAAGTAAAAAATATAGTGTGTAAACATTGTTCTTGTTTCCCAGTTTTTCAATGATCTGTAATCCAATATATAAGAATCACCTAAATGATAATTGTGACATTTTGAGCATTATACAGATATGCTGCCCTCTCGAAAGTTGGTCTTTCCGATGAGGGCGTTGATGAGCACTGTGTTGCCGGCTCTGTAGTCTTTGAGAGCTCTCTCCAACACTTCCTTGATGTTGTCCTCGTTTGTTCGGTCCAGACGATAGCCCTTCCCTCCATAACCCTCGGCAACCATCTCATAGTCGCAATGCTAAAACAGGAAATAAAGTTACATCATTCCATTTGTCCGCTAATATAATACAGGATATTAACTATCCCCCATATGCATTGGGAGATGAGTCTCGTTTCGTTCATCATATAGAACAATGAATTCTCACATGGCATTGATTTTTGACATGTTTATACAACAGGGAGGAAAGTCATCCTCCAGATTCCAGAGGACATCCCTACCAAGTTAGCTTGCTGAAAGATATATTGCATCTGACTACATTTCATAAGGTCTGTGCTTGGATTCCAATCACTGGACAGGGAATCTTTATGGCCGCTAGATCGGCTCACAAGGTAATAAGCATGTGCATATTCAAATGTGCAAAACATGTCTCAGTACTCTCCTATGGTTGCACAGGACATGCCTTTTGTTGTCTGTACAATGACATGGTTCAAATCCCATTATTGGACGTTTATGGCTGCGACACACAATATTTCTTACCGCCAACTGACAGGCCACACTGCTCCCAAACATAGGCACTTGTTCCCTGGCAATCTGTGTCCAGCCAGCATCATTCCCCACCACTGACAGCACGGGCACCTGCACCATAGAAGCTACTGTATCACACTGAAGACCATCTTTCATTAACATGCACAATTCCATGAGCATACTGACTTCAGTGTAACTGTTTAAACAGTGCTAAAACTAGAACATGGTGACATGTTTCAGAAAAATCTAAATTTTTAAGATTAGTCCAAAGGAACATTGTTAACCTTGTCACCAGTCCTCAGAGCTTGATGCTATTTGATGGTTATTGGCCTGATAATTGTATCCTGCGCAACAATAAATAATAATGCTTTGTAAAGTTTAAAATGACTTAATCCTTAAGTAAATGGTGAATCCCACACTCATCTCTACAGAGCAGCGTCTGTGTACAAAACTGTTCGGTAGAGACATTTCACTTAGTCCTGCTGATGTGATGATTGTGGGTTGTGTACTTTACCTCGAGTGAGTGAGTTTAGTTTTACGCCGCACTCAGCAATATTCCAGCTATATGGCGGCAGTCTGTAAATAATCGTGTCTGGACCAGACAATCCAGTGATCAACACCATGAGCATCGATCTGCGCAATTGGGAATCGATAACGTGTCAACCAAGCCAGCGAGCCTGACCACCCAATCTCATTAGTTGCCTCTTACAACAAGCATGGGTTACTGAAGGCTCATTCTAACCCGGACCTTCACGGGTGCGTTACCTCAAGACTGGAACCTGTACACTAGTACATACCTTATGCCTTGTAAATGTATCGACCTCAGCCACACTGTATCCTAGAGTCCCATCTCCATATATAATCCACACATCACTTTCAGGGCGACACAGCTTGGCCCCCCAGGGCAAACCCTCCACCAACCCCTAGGGTCCCAAATGCTCCGGGGTCAAGCCAGTGCAGCGGGCCACGGGGTCTGAAAGTTGAGGGAACACTCAAAAAGTGTTTGTTGCAAAGTTCAAATACAGGAGATACAGATCTGGCATTGTGAATACTTCATGGGTTTGTATACATTTTATTCCTCATAAGTAGCCATATTTCAACATGGATACTTGTCTCCTCTTCACCACAGAGTGGCCGTACAGATACGTATTCAGGCGGGGATGGCAAAATGAGGCTATAGTATATACTTGTAAAGTACTGATGACAGGGGGAGTGGGAATTACCAAATGATCAGCAAAATGTTGCATGGTATAGATACCAAGGATTGTCACAAGTTGATGGGGTATGATGACACACCAGGACAGCCAGATCACATTTAGGAGGTCAAACCCTCTATATACTTGCAGTAAGATCATGACCATCAGGGCGGAGGTCCACAAAGTGTTACATAAAAGCAAGGGCATTAGGATTGTCAAACTGTGAGTAATGAAGTCTGATTAGACATATCAATAACAGAATACCACCAACTAGTATCCAGGAACAACACGCAGTCATACACAAGACAAATACAATTCCAATACTGAGATCAGTCAATACCTAAAATCAACGGAAAGATACCACCATAAAAAACTTCTTTTCAAACAAGGGACACATCACACATGTTCAGTATTAAAGTGAAGCCACCAACCGGAGGATGTAAGCTGCAGTGGCTACAAAGTCCCCGCCATCTGCTACTAAGATGGCGTCGTCAGAGAGGACCTCTTCCACTGTCATCAAGACCTTCAGAGGGTTGAGGTGGTTGTCTGGGATCTCCTCAGCCTTCTTTCTGTCAGGACAAAAACACATAACTGAATAACTGTTTCCTGTGGCAGACTTTCTTCAGTTGAATAGTTTACAAGAGCCTGTGATGTAAGTATACAGTAAATTGAATTAATCAATAATACACAAGTCTTTCTCTTGAATTAATCAGGGACATGATCTGAGGAATATCTAAACCCTCTGTGATTTATAAATTAAATTGAAAAACCTTCTGAACATGTTTTACAACCAACATGACATATTTTAAGTTAAGCAGAAACTGAGTAGGTTACACCATACAGACAATATCTTCAGTGATATGATGTCTCTTATAATGTATTCTTCATTTGGCTCAGAAAACTTGTGTAAAATCAGAGGTATATTATTTTGAATTGATCACTGTCCAGTTATCAGAAATGAGTGTATCTCAAAGTCATAGGATTTCAAAATTTTAAAAACTGGTAATTGTAATAGATTTCTGATACTTGTTCCTTACATCTGTTAATGGCAAATCTTCCTCTCTGAAAAACTTTTCTCATTTCAAACAAACTATAAATACACCAATGAATCTGTTACTAACCTGTTGGCAATCTCCTTCTCTTCATCCCGATCTCTCAAAGTTTTCACCCAATCAGGATCACACTTGTATCCTCTCATCCCTGCCGCCACATCCACCATGAAGGAACCAATATCCCCCTGGACTGCCAGAGTCGGCTTCCAGAACATGTCCGAGTTCTACACAAAACATAATAACATAATAAGTTATGTTGAAATATAACTAACTACTCAATGAGAAGCTGCAAATAGTTCTTTCAACATGTCTGCATTGGCATTTGTATAATCTGTTGAACAACTACAAGAGTCCTCACTGGAGGGAAATTTCAGAGGCATTGGCTCAGTGGTTTCTGAAATGATGTTGACAGATGCCACGACCAATACTGAAGCTGCTCGACATGCTGGCCTCTAGCTGTGAGTGGGCATTGACTCTTACACTAACAACAGTACTGACTGACTGAGTTTAGTTTTACGCCGCTTTTAGCAATATTCCAGCAATATCACGGCGGGGGACACCAGAAATGGGCTTCACACATTGTGCCCATGTGGGGAATCAAACCCGGGTCTTCGGCGTGACGAGCCAACGCTTTAACCACTAGGCTACCCCACCGCTCCCCCTAACATCAGTAACCTACAAAACAAATCCAGGTTCACCTTGTAGAGTTGATCCTTGCATCTATTCACGGCAATAATCTTTGAACGGCGGCTAAGAACACGTCCGTAGCCCAGACGGAAATCACAGACAGCACCTTCAAATTTGGAAATCATTGTTAGTTTTGACTACAAAATCCTCCAGTTTATTGAAACAAGAATCACAGGAACTTTAAACGCAACATATCACCCTAGCATAACTGTTTATTGGGACTCTTCAACATCCAGTCTCATGACTGAGTTGACCTCCATGAATGATCAGAGTTTTGACCAACAGTATTTGCCTACCTGCCAGGACCACCACGTCAGCTTCCTTGAGGGCATCCTTCCTGCGCTGGCGGACCTGGATGTCACTCGACTTTCCCAGCAGCCCTCGGGACATACCACCCAGGAAACACGGAATCCCCAAACTCTAGAAACATTTCCAATACACATATGATGAAACACATATGCTGAAATGCACATCTGTAACATCCATCCTAAAAACATACAAACTAAAGCATATTTTCTATACAAAAAATATCAACATAATATTTTAATGTAGGGTCTTTCAGAGTTTAAAACACATCTCTTCAAGTTTTAGGTAAGCACCACATTCACATTGATTTATATCAAGGCATACCAGTTCCGATGTTATCACTTTGATGGTACTAATGAGATGCTGACACACCAAGGGTGGAAATTTGGTTCTAAACGGGGGCATTGTAGGTTATATTGTGAAAGCAGTTATCCATCTAGCTGCTGTGCCAATGATGACCATCTTGTACATCCTTCTTTAACCACTGCTCATGTATGACATAACTCAAAATGGATGTCAGCTACAAGTGTGACTTTTCTGCAAATGTGACGTAATAATGATTAGTGCCACACTGAGGTTGCCTTGATTTATCCCTGAACATGTGATAAAGAACAGTTCCTCAACATCCCCCCCTCCCTTCTGAATCTGCTTCCTCCTCACCTCCACAGCCTTCCTGAGGTCCTCTACCGGAGTTGGTGGCAATGTGGCCTGACTTCCCAGCAGAATCACAGGCTTCTTGGCTCTGGACAACATTTCAATACACTGCTGTACTGGAAAAATCATAGTAAGTTTAAGATATACCACAGAATAAGAGCGTGTGAGTGGGCGAGAGAAAGTACACATTTTTCTTAATATTAAAATCAACAAACATGCAATTTGGCTTTGAGAAATGGACAGAACACAAAATAAACTGTAAGTTCGATCATCATTTCTAAAAACTAACTAAAACATGCATGGTTTTGCTACAGGAGGACATTAACTACAGGCAATATATTACCACTTTCTTTAGTACTTTGAAAAGACCCAGTCAGACAGCTACCATTACTGATTAAGACATATCTGAGAACTTACTGAGTGAGTGAGTTGGGGTTTATGACGCTTTTAGCAATATTGCAGCAATATCACAGCGGGGGACACCAGAAATGGACTCCACACATTGTACCCATGTGGGGAATCTTGGGCCTTCGGTGTGACGAGCGGACACTTTAACCATTAGGCTACCCAATTGTCTCCTAAGAACTTAGAGCTTGACATCACACTGTGTACATTTGCTGCAACTTCATACCTCGAACAAAAATATTAAGGGGCAGAGGAGGGGTCGGGTGTCTGTGTGCATGTATGTTGGTTTACCTAGCAATGTTATATATTTGTTCAGAGACCACAACTTACCTTGGGATCTAGAAGCCATGGGTCTCTCCACTTTCAAAGGCGTAAGGTCCCTTTCTTCAAAAGCTCCAGCAAACAGGTTATTGAGATGATTTTGTAAATACCTAAAATGATGACAATAAAACCATACAAGACAAAATGTTGTGTCAACATATTATCACATCCATACGGTACCATTGTTTCAGACATAGATGTTTGCAAAACAAATTAAAAATAAATTACAGTATACTGAAATCTTTCAAATAAGCTGCAAAGTGAATCAGCAATTAAAAGAAAAATTCTACAAAACATGAAAAATTCATTAATTGAAATCTCCATCGATATGTCAACAGGTCGTCAGTTGATAACTAGAAAAGGATTATTTGTTTTTTATAGTATGTTATACTGTTTATTGTTGCAATTAACAACATTACAGCAGGCTTACAATAGTCATTAAAGAACAAAACAGTGATTGATATCAAGAGCAGCGTCACATACTGTCATGGTATCCAGTCAACCAAACTAGTGAACTTGACCATCTGATAAATCTTACAAGTATAGGCTGCTTGGGATCTCACTGACTTGGCACCTGTGAAGATCCGGGTTAGAATTGGTCTTCAGTAACCCATGCTTGTCGTAAGAGGTGACTAACAGGATTGGTGGTCAACCTCGCTGACTTGGTTGACATGTGTCATTGTATGCAAATTTTGTAGGTCGATGCTCATGCTGTTGATCACTGGATTTTCTGGTCCAGATTCAATTATTTACAGAATGCTGCCATATAGATGGAATATTGCTGAGTACGGCATAAAACTGAACTCACTCACTACTGACTTCAGAAAACAAACACAGACAAACAAATCGCACCAGTTAATCAATGTCTGTACAAGTCCACCAGCTTTGTCCTTCATACCGATCTCTCTTTTCACCATGGCATAGGGATACAAGGTGTCGATGGGGAACTCAATAAACACAGGCCCTGAAGGATATTAATATCGAAATCAAGTCTGAAGACATATGAAAGGACACTCCGAAAACATACATATCATTCTCAAAACTGTCGGAGACGATAGCCTGAAGCAATAGCTGTACGATAATAATTCAGAATGGGAACACATTATAACTGCAGTGGACAGCATGACCAACATTGTAGGATGATTAGAATAACATGGGATGTTTCTGGAACAGTGGTGAGTAACAAACCAAATGTTTTTAAAACATTCATTCACTCAACGAGTGTGTATAAGCCTCACAATGTCGATTCCAAATGTGAAAGGAAAAACCTGATGAATATGAATTAATTCATAGATCTTAACGTTTTGGTGAACTCATAAGAAAATGAATGGTACCATTTAATCATGAATATTAAATTTGGATGAAGGTGGGATCAAACTCCTGACCAGAGAACCATGGCAGTAATAAGGGAGACAACTCCTACCTGGAGTCCCAGACTGGGCCACCTGAAGGGCTGTCCGTACAGTGGGAACTATGTCTCGGATCTTGGTTATTGTTGCACAATATTTACACAGAGGTTTAAACAGAGACATCTGGTCTATATCTTGTAGAGCTCCCCGACCCTGAAATTATTAACATACCTAGAATAAGTCTTAAACTAGGCAAAATGAAAGTGTAAAGGTTGATTCAACTACATATTTCAAAAACATTAATTTAAAAGATCACTACTGATCACAACATAAACATACCAAAATTCATTACATTCATTACAAGGATGGGCAAGTTTATCACAATAGCTGCCATACTTGTGTGGTTAAAGTTGCAGTTTCAAAACATGATTGAATATTTAAGTCATGATCTGTGCATGTGTGTGTGTGGCTGCTTGAATTTCTCTAGATTAATGCTGGATTTAGAGTGCTAACCCACTGCAACACCATCCAACAGTTTAATATAGCCCACTGCGACACAACTCGGAGGTGACCAGTCGTTGTTTTCTGCAGTTTTTTTTATTATTTCTTGAATTATTCAGATTTACACTATTTCACTCTTTTATATTAGTTCATTGCTTTATGCAGCTTTATATTATTTTGTTGTTTTATCATTTCATGATACACTGTATCAGAATCCATGTTCACTTCAAAACACAATTTCTGGTGAACAACGAACACCAGTCTGTTTTCCTGTTTCCCAGAACCTGTAGTGGTATGATTTTTCATATAGAATTTTCACTCAAAGTACAAGTACCCAGTATTTGTAGATGAAATGCTTAAGGAGAGGGGTCACTTAGAGACAGAGAGATCCATCACCACACACTGGCAGACGTAGGGGACAATCCTCTATAGTGACATATACAAGAAGTAGCTATATGTAAATAAGGGTACCTTTAAAAGGGTGGCTGCAGCACCACCTATGAGGAGAAGCGGTGACTCAGCCATTTGAGCATTTTTGACAGCAGTCACAGTATTGGTCAGACCTGGAAAACATGGGAATGAGTGATTACTCAGAGAAGTGATTACCCAGACCAGTTATTACTCAAACTGATACATACAAACAACAAAAGTGTTTGTGAAACTTCAATGTCAGGTAGTGGGGGTGTTTTAAAGCAGGGGTGGAAATAACTTTAAAATTGCTAGTGTACTCCGGTACAGTGGCACATGTAAAATCACTTGCCCTGATAATTTTTCCTCTATACCGGCCGTTTTCTTGTTGATTTTTTAAAATAAGCAACATAATTAACATTGGAAAATCAACTGGACACCGGTACAGTGTGATATACAAATTTGCTTGCCCGACAGAAAAAAACACTGGACTGGGACATCAGGCAATGGGTTATTTCTACCCCTGTAAAGGACTAGGACTGACTGACTGACTGAGTTTGGTTTTACGCCGCTTTTTAGCAATATTCCAGCAACATCACGGCGGGGGACACCAGAAATGGGCTTCACACATTGTGCCCATGTGGGGATTCGAACCCGGATCTTCGGCGTGACGAGCCAACGCTTTAACCATTAGGCTACCCAAAGGACTAGGACAGATTTCACTTCAATGAATCATTAACTATCATTATTATTGCCAAAAAAGCATACATTAATGTAGATTAAGACTTTAGTACCTGGTCCTGCTGTTACGGCTGCCACTCCCACTGCTCCTGATAGACGAGCTACAGCGTCAGCTGCAAACACCGCTGTCACCTGACCAATAAAACAATGGCACTGTAAAATATTTCCTCAAATGGCAATATGATCCGATAAATTTGATGATGATTCCTTTATCACAAACATAAAATGCAATTTACAAAAACATATATTTGTATACTGAGGAATAAAGTGTCACCATGGGGTTTTCAATAATTATTGATTCTTTCATGAAAGGTTTAAAGAAGATAGTTCAGCATATTCAACCCTCTCAGTCAGCAGTTCTTGAGCTGCCGGATGACAACATGCCAATAACACCTATTGCACACTAATGATTGTGAGCATGAACACTAATAAAAGCACTGCCATCAACAATCATTAGTAACAGGACATGCTGACAATGTAAAAAACAAGTCATCAAGCCTGACCACTCACACCATCAAAAAGCCTGTTATGACCAGCAGAGACCAGTTCTGACCTGGAACCCCATGGGGTTAATGGTGTAGATCCCTTTTACATCCAGCACTGGGGTGCTGGGGACTTTTACTACCCTCTACTACTTTAAAGCTACAACGGTATGATTGTCAAATGTTTGATACAAACCTCATGTCTTGTATCAACGACTCGTATCCCCAGCCTTTCACAAGCCACCAGTATGGGTGAAATATGACCACCAACCAAAGTAAACACGTACTTGACACCATGCTCCTGGGATAAGCAAATAAAACAAGATAAAGTCACCAGGCTCTGAGACATGATACAGAGAACATGTAACAGAGAAAACAAGACTAATCAACCATAAAAATACAAGTTTTAAAAACAAAATTGATATTTCATAACGGTGTAGGATGAAAATGTCCATATGCCAATGTCATGTCATTTTTCTCCTTACTGTCGAGAGCTAAGAAGGGCAAGAACAGGTTTGATTGTAGTAGATAGTGGGTAGTGGATAGTGGGTAGTAGGTAGTGGTATGATACTATGACGCAACTAGGGATTGGAGCCATGACCTTCTCAATGAGCAGGTGTGGTATCCACCTGACTTTTCTTTACTTGATTAATGGTGACATAATCAGTATTCAAGCTACATTGTAGCACTGGCAGCATATTGATAATGAAACATGACTACCCTTCATATAGTTGCCTCTTATGACAAGACTGACTGACTGAGTTTGTTTTTACGCAGCTTTTAGCAATATTCCAGCAATATCACGGCGGGGGACACCAGAAATGGGCTTCACACATTGTGCCCATGTGGGGATTCGAACCCGGGTCTTCGGCGTGACGAGCCAACACTTTAACCACTAGGCTACCCCACCGCCCCCATATGACAAGAAGTGATTGCTTGGGACCTATATTCTTACCCATAATCCCTATCCATATCGCTAGATCATGGATGTAGTCTGTAGCCTTATTAGTCTATATTTAAGAGTCCTAAATATAGGGGTAAGAATACAGTTCATTGCTTAACACATAGTGTAATATAGTGCAGTGACTGCACATGCTGTAGGTGTATCACAGTGTAGCGATTGTAAACACATACACGGTGTGTGATTGTAACCATGGTAACAGGATCATGTGATTACCTTCAGAACATCTGCTACTATGTCTCCACCATTTCTCTTTGTTTGCGCATCAACCTAAAATACCATTTGATCAGAGTGAGACAAACTTCAATCAGTTCAAAACGATATAATATAAGCATAATACAACTTGACATATTCGTGATGCCACTGAAAAGAAGATAAATAACAGCCGATTATTTCACATTGTTATGGTTAATCTGTGTTGTCATAACAGTTGCTGGAGCCAACCAGGAGACATGGACGCCGGCAGTGACGGTAAGAGTTTCGCCCATAACCCCTGCTTGAAATGTATTCTATTTATTAGGACTGTTTCGAGGGTTTAGGGTTAGGTTTGGGGTAAGATTTTAGGGTTAGGTTTAGGGTTAGGGTTTAGGGTATTTATAAAAAACATAGGTGTATATTCTTAGGCATATAATGATTTTTAAAAATACGGGAGTTACGGGTGGAAATCTTTCTACAGTGTCACTAAGGAAGAATCTTCCCCAGAAGCACAGTTGCGATAAAACTGTAGTTGCTCCAACAAGGCCTTGAAGTCCTTGAAGGAAGTTGCAGGTCACAATGAGGAGGGCCAACAATAAGTTGCACAGCTGCACATGTGTCGACAAACTGACATAGGCAACAACTTGAACAAGTGTTGTCAAGACTTATAACATACATATAACATATGCGGCACATTTAAGAAATTAAACACAGAGTCGGCTTTAGAATGCTAACCACATAATAAAGGGCAAGATACATACAGCATTTGCATTCTCAGATATTTTTATTCAGACAAAACTGGTGACTTTCTGTGTACAAGAGTTCACAGTACTTAGCACTTGTGACCAGTCAGAGACGTAACGTGTACGTTAGACAGCCTATCGTCTCTTGTACGCGAGACGGGAGCACTCCGCGGTACTAACTGAAGCGCTTGACCCTAATTAATTCAATCACCATGGACCAACTGGATTGGGTGCAAACACAGCGCGGGGTGATTAAAGCGTCCCGTAAAATCCCCAAGCGAGGACTTGACAATCGTGAATAAACAGGTTTCTTGTCAAAGCAGAAACACCACGCCCAGGGTCGGTTGTTTACATATGCAAATTACGTAAAAACAATTTCTCGCATTTCTCGTAACTCCTAGTGAAGGGGCCATATATTAAATAAAAATTCATAATATTTGTATTAAACCATCATCAAGACTGTCACATGGTATTTTCAAAAGCAGAAAATGTATATATGCACTCCAAGGAAGACCTCTTCTGAAAAAGAATAATTTATTAGCCCATATTAGCTTTAACCTGACAAAGTACTTTTATCCTTCATGCGGCACTAACTGAAATCTGAAATATAAAATTAAAAAATAAAGTGCCGTTTTCTTCAAATATGATTTGGGTCGGAAAGTTTTGATAAGTGCTGTTTCAGCTGTATCATGTTTATCAGGTTAAAAGAGACCCAAAGTTTTACAAGTGATTTTTTTCTCCCATTATTCTGTTTCGTAATAGTATCGGACCAAAGCAGGAACCTTATGTATAATCTTGTAAGATATAAGAACACACTGCTGTATTCGAAAGGACTTGACAACATGTCTCATTGACAAAGATAGAGCCCCGGGTACAAAGTGCACAATCTGAATGTTAGACCCATAACAATTCTGCGAACGTGCTGTCATGCGTAGCTATGAGAAATACCTTGTGGGACCATTGGTAGAAAATGCCAAAACGTTTCAGCAAGAAGACAACACCAATTGTAGCAGCAGACAAGCTAACAGGAACTGCAAAATTGGTAAAATTCTTCTGCAAGTCTCCGAAGTAGCGATCCCATGACGCCATGTTGAATGAAATGTCCTTGACACTGCGGTACAAAGGTTATTATTTTGAAAATAAATACAAACAGACGTCTTTTTATATATATGATTATATTAATGCTTTTTTTACATAATTAAAAAGACATAAGTATTTAATTCGGTTGCTTTTATATCAGTTCAAAATTCAATATTAGTCTAGGAGCGAATATATTAGGACCGCCGCTATTACTTCCGTTTGATGTGTCGCTGTAACTTGACAACTCAGAATATTGATACTGCGAATCTATTTCGACGATACAGGTAAACACGGCATTAATGTCAACTTGATGTTCGATTCATGGTAACCTAAAGACACCGAGATCATCGTAGTTGGCAAAAAATATACAGTTATCGCCAATGTTTTCAGAAATGTGACATTTTCATTGGTATGATGTCAATCACTTCTGTTTCATTATGTCATATTTGGCTGATTGATACTAGGCTGTCACCCTCTTTGCAGGGGTAGCCTAGTGGTTAAAGCGTTCGCGGAAAGACGAAGACCCGTGTTCCATTTCCCATGTGTGAAGCTCATTTCATGATTTCTGGTGTTCCCCAGGGCGGTGGGGTAGCCTAGTGGTTAAAGCGTTGGCTCGTCACGCCGAAGACCCGGGTTCGAAACCCCACATGGGTACAATGAGTGAAGCCCATTTCTGGTGTCCCCCGCTGTGATATTGCTGGAATATTGCTAAAAGCGGCGTAAAACCAAACTCAGTCAGTCAGTCTGGTGTTCCCTGCCGTGATATTGCTGGAATATTTCTAAAAACGTGGTTTTAAGCGTCTTAAAACTATCCCTCACTCACTCCTTGCGATAGCCAAATAACACTGATGTTTGCTGGCTGCAGTTATAACACAAACTGGCTATGGGTAATGATTCGTTGCATGTTCATTGATTTCGGATGCCTCTTTGTTCCTCAGCGGACTTAAACCTAGATTTGGTTGTTGCCAACTATATTTCGCTGCACCTGTTCCTTTCCATTTTTTAAGGATACCTATCTCAACTTGTTGAATAGATGTTTTTCAATGTAATTTGAGGTTAGTTGTTTCAAATTTTGGAGGGAGAAAATGACAACTAGTGCTTGGCGCTACAATGCCTGTTAAGGTACATCCTGTTTGTTCTCCTATCTACATCAACAAGCATAGGGTTTCAAAATGTATGCCTCAGACTAGTAAAATTCAAGAAAGACTTGCAACTTTTTCTTGTGGACAGCCCGGGTTCGAATCCCCACATGGGTACAATGTGTGAAGCCCATTTCTGGTGTCCCCCGCCGTGATGTTGCTGGAATATTGCTAAAAGAGGCGTAAAACCAAACTCAGTCAGTCAGTCTTGTGGACAGAGACTTGTACCGTTTAGTCTTTGCAGATGATTCTTGTGAACAAAGGGGCGGTGGGGTAGCCTAGTGGTTAAAGCGTTGGCTCGTCACGCCGAAGACCCGGGTTCGAATCCCCACATGGGTACTATGTGTGAAGCCCGTTTCTGGTGTCCCCCGCCGTGATGTTGCTGGAATATTGCTAAAAGCGGCGTAAAACCAAACTCAGTCAGTCAGTCAGTCTTGTGAACAAGTGTGAATAAAACATATTTTCTAACCTGCATATTGATCATATCAAGTTGCATGCTGCCACTGTCTGTGGCTCAGAGGGGGTACGAGGATTCTTGGATCAACACTTGCAATTTCCTCCTTGAATAAGCTGATGTGACTGGAATACTGTTAAACATGTTAAACAACGCTTCAAACCAAACTCACTCACTCTGTGGTTTCCGCTGAAACACATGACATGTATATTAGCAAAGTGACTTTGTCCACAATATGGAAATTGGAACCAGGTGGGTTGAGATGGTATTTAGCTTACCGGTAGGTTGTAACTTGATGGAGACCTGAGAATGGCATTTGAGAACACACTGATCCATTAACTGGGTTAATAATATTAAAGGGATATGAGTAAACCCGCAGACATTGAATAAATATGTACTCAATATGATGGTGACGGTTATTATTATTGTGTCGAGTGGTGATAAACAATATTCCATCTATTCTTCTGTTGCAGGGAACTATGATGAGGGAGAGGGAGGATGAGGAGACTCTCTTTGACCAGGAGACTCTCCTCAGTACAGGATCGGTCAAGTTCGCAGGACGGTCAGATTGGTGCCGCAAATTCACCAAAACCATTGTTCTATCTGGGGCCTTCTTTGCTTTGGTATGTTATGGAATTCAGGATCATATTATTTATGTTTAATTTTCAATTCATTTTCTATGTTTGCAGCTGAGCAATAGGGAGTATTCTGTTTGTGTCAGTTGTTAATTTTGTGTTTTGTTCTGTACATAAATCAGGGAAAGAAATGCTTCTACCCTGTTATTTAAGAAAAGGGGTTCAAGGTACACAGCTCTATAAGGCACTGGGCAAATGCTTAGCCATTAGTCAGTATTTGTTATGATAACAGATAACTTTTTCCTACAGTTTGCGTCAGTGATTGAAAAACCATCGTTCTCAGGCAAGAGGATCTATTAACCTGAATCAGAGTCTAATATTTACCCTGGCCATGTAAAGACTGCTTTCTTTGGCTTTTGGCAGTGGTACCCTGTGTAGTGCAGGAGTTGTGCCCCTTGAAATGTAAATGCATCCAGTCGATTCCTTGTGCTTTTCTTTAAATGACATCACAAAATTATGACTGCCATAGCAGATAACCCAGTTGATCAGATAATAAAACAATTCAAGACTTCTTCCCTGACAGATAAACACAGTAACAGATTTCGAAAGTGAATATACTTATAACTCTTACATCAAGAAGATGGTTGAAAAATCAATCAAATTTTGCCATGCAATTTCTTTTCATTTTTTAAAAAAGGGTCTGTAGGATGATTTCGTCAAAAAGTTTCTCTTGTTTTTCATTATGTTCATTTGACATTTTGTGAAATAAGACAAGAATGGTTATTATATCCATGTAGTGCCGGGGTCATTGAGCATGTATGTTTTGGTTTTTGACAGGTTGGGAAAAACATTATGATTTAATTCTTTTTGTTAGTTTGCTTATGAGTGACAGTCTCATATCTTTCAACAGTCTTATAACTTTCAAGATTATTTTGTCTTCACCTTCTCCTGTTTTAGGGTCAAGTGAATCTGTGACCAAATTATACAGAATGACTAATATCTGTTGCATTGATCATTGGTTCAAGACCCACCATGATTAGTCTCATTGGCTTGCCAGGCATAGATACCCTGCATCACTTCCTGTTTTGTTCCCTACTGAGTTGCCCCTTGATGCTCTGTGGAGTAACTACAATACTGTTCTAGCCAGTTCAACTAACATTATGTTCTTGAGTCATTTGTTGTTCAGTCAGTTGTAGAATTGTAATCCTCTAAAGTTGAGTCACATTAAAAATATTAATTCTAGGAACGAAATTACAATAGGTGGAAGTTGGGGAACTCATTGATGTTGTTTTCCCTTCTCCAGGGTCTCTGTATAGCAATACCTGGTCCAACTCTCCTTGACCTTGGTGCAAGGGTCAATACCGACACAGAACACATTTCGCTCATCTTCACTGCCCGATCACTCGGTTACCTCATCGGGTCAGTCATTGGAGGGTTCCTGTTTGACCACTTTGACCAGCAGATCCTGCTCTTCTACTCACTGTTCCTGACGGCGATCGCAACGGCAGTGGCCCCATGGTGCGTCTCGCTCTCAGCACTGGCTATCATGATCTCATTCCAAGGTATCTCCATGGGTGTGCTTGACACAGGTGAGTCGGTGAATCCACAAGTCTTACGTTCCTCAAAAACCACATCTTATAGCCAGGGTTGTTTATAAAACCATAGACCAGGAGTACATTTTTCATCAGAAATAAAGCAGACATGAGCAGAGTTATTTCAAACATTGCCAAAACTAGAGCTTTGTCTATTAAAGTTACTGAGCAGTTACATACTCCCTTTTAATTGCTTTCTGTAAAGAAATTCTAGAATAAAGAAAACAAGAAATACTGACAGTCATGTCGACATGGTTAATGTTCTGTCTTACGAGGGAGCCTTTGTAAATAATACCATGCTTACGGACTGGTATAAAAGTAGATAGGGGAGCTTATTACAGTAGAGCACTTATTACAGTGATAAGGGTAATAACCAGGGTGTGAAATAGCCACTGGCCCGCTAGCCTGTGGCTAGTAAAAATTCAGTCAGGACAGTAAATCTCCACAGTCACTGGCCTGACTGCCTAGTGAATGTTCATTGGGGTCATTTTGTAAATATATCACTCTCTCCGACTTGTTCAGGTATAATACACTTTTAAATCATGCAAGATTATGGCCTGATAAAAAATGTTCATCATATTAACAAATTTTGAGCTAGTGACTTATTTGTGGACTATTAACTTTCAGGCATAACTTGCCCGACTGGCTAGCAAATTGGGAAACTGTTTCCTCTCACTGGTAATAACCATATTGTCTTGTGAATGGCATTGTGTCTTGATAATAACCCAGCTGTGTAGAGGGGTAGATTGGGAGGAAAACATATAATTGCTGATTGCTATTTTGAGGTTAGTTTGAGACAAATACACTAGTACTATAAATCTCTATCTAAGTCGATGTCTATCAGAACAAGAGATATGATCATTTGAATGGTAAACATTGTAAATTGTTGTGATGTTTTATATAAAATTTCAATTTTACCAACTTAGTTTGTGTTCCTAGGTGACTGAATTTGCCCCAAATTTTCTGTGCGTAATACTGAAAATATTCCCAAGTACTGAATCCCTTACAGGGACGTGTCCATTATTATTTGGTGTGCACTATAATCAAGAAAATACAGTAGGCCAGATCTGTTCCTTTTCTTGTTGTACAGCGTTGTGTTTGTTGCAGATAAGTTATATAAGTGAAGACAGGATAAGGACCAAATTTTGGAAATGTAGAAATTTATTGACCTTTTACATATGACTGACAACCAGCATTTTTCCCTTTGAATGCCATTATTTCAAAATGAAATTTCCTGGCATTGAATATTAAATATAACCCACAAATCTGAAAACATATTATCTCCTAATTCTAACTGCAATGCTTTCAGGTGGCAATGTCTTCTGTATCAAGATATGGGGGAGAAAGAGTGGCCCCTACATGCAGGTCGTACACTTCGCATTTGGCATGGGAGCCTTTGTGGCGCCACTTCTCGCACGACCATTCCTCATCAATCAGGACCTTTTGGCAGAAACTAACCGCACAATCCCCAACAATGGACTGCCTTTGTTAACTAACCTGCCCCATACGTCACTACTTCGGGCTGACCTGGAGAATCCACATGATAGATATCTACGAGATCTGTCTGCCAGTATGAATGTATCAGAATCAACTCAGAGTTCAACAATGGTGACGCCACTTTCTGAAATATTGGCCTTCAACACTTCTTTATCACCTACGACCACCCAGGAGACCCAGAAGCCTAAGAAACCTAAGATTATTAATTCAGGGGCGTTTAAGAAAGACAATGCTGATGGTGATAACCTGAAGGATGTGAATAAAGCGGGTGCAGTTGTTGGTCCTGGTGATCCTCCAGAGGCTGGTAAAACTGTCAATCCAGTATCAGACACACCCCCGGGTGTTGTCAGTCTAACATCTAATATTTCAGCTAATGGTACAGGTGGAGGTCAGAATGAAACTGATATTCCGGGGTCATCGACAACTTTTACAGCAGTCTCTACGTCATTAGTCCCGCCAGTGACCTCAAATGAGAACGGGACACTATCTAATACTACAACAAAGACCACCACCTCAACCACCACGACACCAGTGCCTACTACTACTGCTGCCACTACGACTATAAGTTCTACCACTACTACAACAACAACCACAACTACAACTACCACCACCACCACCACCACTACTACAACTACTCCAACTATCCCAGCTTCAAAAGCTCCAGCATCCTCGTCACCTTCTGAAGGTTCAAAAACAAATCCTGAAAGTACTCATACTAAATCTAATCCTCTAACCACTACACCCACTGCAGAAACTACTAATATAAATGAGACGCAAGCGGAATCTACAGTAACTATGACAACAGACAAACCAAAGAAGCCCTTGACATTTGGCAGCAAAGTTGGGTCTGCCTTGAAGTCGTTGGTCAACATGTCCAAGATTCAGTTTGCGTACTTGATCATTGGAGTCCTTCTGGTAGTGATTGCAATTATGTTCCTTATTCTGTACTGCCAGGATCGGAACCGACCATCCATATTCACACGTGACGAAGAACAAGATGGGAATTATGGAAAGGAATCTCGAGGTTACAGACTTACGATGCTCCTCCTCCTCTTCATCTTCTTCTTCATCTACGTTGGCATGGAGGTCACATTCGGAGGTCTTTTGTCTACGTTTTCATTTGAAAAAATGCATTGGGACAAACCGAAGAGTGCTGTGTTGACTTCCATTTTCTGGGGCTCCCTAGCTGCTGGTAGAGGATTTGCCATCTTTATTGCACGGTATTTCAAACCACCCTGTATGCTTGTAACAAACCTGGTATTTTTGTTAATTGGTTCTGTAATCTTAAGTTTTGGCATTGGGCATGTCCCTTACAATCTGTGGATCGGAACTCTGATACTCGGATTCGGAATGTCCTCTATTTTTCCAACCGGGGTGTCCTGGGCCGATCAGTACTTCCCTCTAACTGGAAAATCTACGGCAGTGTTCGTTGTTGGCTCTGCTCTTGGAGAAATGCTGATCCCAGTTTTAACAGGGTTGTTGTATGAGAAGAAGGAGAAGATGATGCTGATGTACATGATGCTGGTGTTGGGTGTCATGCTCGGCGTCATTTATGTTGTCATGCAGTGTTTTGCGACAAGGCGATGCAAGTTTACAGCGACTGCTCGCAACGGTTTTGTGCCTTTGCAAGATGATGAAAATATTTCCATGGACACACTTGAGGAGCAGAACTTTGAGGGATCCGGACTCCTCGAGACGTCACGACACCGTCCTGCACGAAAACATCCCAAACCTGCAAACATGGAACTAGAGTACAGTCGACTTGTTGATATTGATGACTGATCTGTTTGTCATATTGTCCTAATTTTGAAGTGATATGAACCTGCATATATACAAATATTACAGATTTATGAGCATGTATGTTGGGAGAGAATGAAGCTTGGAACACGTGTCCTGTGGAAAAGTGTCAAGTGATTCTTAATGGTCATGTATTGACTAAGAGATGACTTAGTTACCGGTGGTAATGTTGCAGAATAGTTTATCGGAAATATCAAGAGTTTCATGAAAATGTTTGTCATTTAGAGATTATGTTTTACCTCTCAAGCCCGATCAATGTACCTTTTGGTTTTACTGGTTTCTTTCCTGGTAATTTGCCAAGTGTTTGGACAAAAAATCATATTTATATCTAAAGAAACTTTAGAGTAGGCTTATTTGTAAACATGAAATATATAATCTGGTTTTGAAATCGAAAGAAAAATGAAACTTGCATTTCTGCTCAGCTTTTGAAGACCCACATGTCATTAGTTCACAGAATGTGATACAAGATTTTGGCACCAGTCTAACAGTTTATTTCTGCATTCTGCAACTTGTATTGTGCACATTTACTGTTACAATTTTTCCACAACAGAACTGACCTCAGGAGTATTTCAAGTGAACATCATTTATTGAAAGCATTTGTTTGAATGGAAATGGAAGAGTGTTTCATGTCTTTTTTTGCTGTAACCATGGTTACAATTACAAATATCAAATGATTATAATCTCAAACATGTTTTACCATTCATCATATGTTTAACCAAATTTGGCACTGGTGTGAGATGATATTGGTTTTTTTTGTGAGTTGTAGACCATACTAATGTGGTGAATTTTGTTAGAGGAATGTACTTAATGATGGTATCATCATGATAATCTACCCACCGATTCTTGGGTTAAATTAGTGCTGGTATTTTGCGTGTTAAAAATTGTGTGCATACTAGTGCTTGACTAGTTCTACATCAAAGCAATCATTTATATAGTTTTGAACTTAGGGTTGATGGTAGTCCCTATGTCAATCTTTTAAGTATTAGAAGCCTAAGTTTGCCATGTCTACGCAGGAGGTCTTAAACATTTTAGGCCACATACCCCAAATCACTTTTTGAAAACATACGTTGGAAATTGAGTTTTTAAAATGTATCATGCATTTCAGTAATACAACAACTCCAGTCTCAATGCATAATTGTAAAGTGTAGAATGGTTTCGAGGACAAGCTCCCAAAAATGTGTAACTTTGGAACAAAAAGACCTAACGGTCTAGCTAGATCTAAAACATGAACCTGATCTGGAAGTAGAACCATGTAGCTTGCAGAATAATATGAAATACTTTGGGATTAAGCTGATTCTAATGACCACTTCGTGATAAAAGACGAAGATCTGTTTATGTTGCCTACATGTTAGTGATTATTTTTGTGTGTATTTTTGTGATACTTGCAACGTCTGCAGGCAAAGAATATTAATTTGGAATTATAGCATTCCTTATGTCAAGTACTTTGACAAATACTTGAACACTGATAAAGTTGTCATTGGCATGTCCAAGTTTGATGGAGCTGGAATATATGTTCATGTTACATTTGTTTTTGACTGGAACTGAATGTCATTGCCAATGGAGAATGTGACATCCCAGCATCGATCTAATTAAGATAAAGTCATAATCAATCAAGATAATGCACTCCAATATCTTGAGGAAACAAGGATTTCCAATCACAATCAAAAAGATGGATGCATGGACAATTAAATTGAAATTCTCTCTAACAACTCGATTTAGAAATAGCCACCACAGTATAAAAGCACAGACTTTGTTATTTCCATTTGAAACTGACATGTTTGTTCATTTTCGAGATGCTGAAATCTGATGAGCTCCACTGAATATTTTCTCACTTGTTCTTGGAATTTAGAAGTTTTGACAATATTTGACTGATTATAAAGCTCATAAGATATGAACAGTTTGTCAGAGAGGTATCATATTAAAGTAAAGTTTATATATTTAAGAGATTGTCTAAATCAAGTTTTGAGTTTCATCAACCATTTGACAAGATTGTTGAGCTGTTAAGTATCACGTAGTGCCATATTGCTGGAAGACACAGTGTATGTATGTACGTTGCTTGTGCCATGCTGTTTGTGTTCCTCATCCCAAGCAGATTCCTAAACTTCCATCTTGCTCAGAAATGAAACAAAGGGTTTCATGTCAACCCATTTGTCTTGTGTATATGTCATCATGCCCTACTTTATCATTTCATAAAAGATAACCAAGCCCATATTAGCTTTATACCTGTCAAAATATTCTGAAAGGGGAAGTAACTCTACTTTTTGTCATTTTTCCTCTGTTAAGCTCTTTGATTTTTAAAATGCTTTCAGACTCTATATGCTTTCCCCATAACACAATATTTCTCCTTTGAGTTGTGCATTCTGTTGGAAAGGTTTCTTTTTAATAGTGTTGAACTTTGCTGCCAAGCCATTCTGATCAGTATTGTGACTCATATGTTGTTCTTTTTGTATGTTACTTTCTCACCTGTATTTTCAATCCAAAATATTTTGTTGTTGCTTTACCTTCTTTGATTTCTTCATATTTCCTGATATTTCACCATCAATGAAGCAGGGTAAATCTCCATTCTTTCATGATGAATACTTAGGACCCATTTAAATACAATATGGTCATTTGAGCCAGATTGAAAACACTGGAACCTAAAGAAGCCATCCAATAGAATTTACCCGTAATCATGTATGTGACGACAGATGCTTATGGCAGTTCTGAAGTCAACCAGTAACCAATAGGTCATGTGTATTTGTCATAGCAGAGATATTATACCCTTGAACACCGAGGATGATGCTCCTTCAGAAATTGCGCATTGAGATAAGAAACAACATGGAGTGAACTAGTCATAGTCTGCCATAATATTGTTTACAGAGGCCCAGATAAGCTGCGTATCCAGGTAAAATATGCATAGAATGACGCATTGAAAAATAATTGTTGCGTACCAATTACGCATTTAAAATGTTAGATACACAAAAAGTTTAAAACAAATGTGTACGGAATATATTTATAAAAATCGCTTGTGTAATGAAAAAGACATCGATTGCTATCAAGTTGTACTGTTAGTATAGGACAAGTGTTGTACTGTCAGTATAGGATGAGTGATTTTTTATGAAGTAATTTCCATTATATTTAAGTTGGTTTTGACTAGGTATGACATAAGGCAGAACATACCTGCTTAGTAAACTTACTCAATGACGTAACACTTAGGTGAGTAAAGTGACTGAAATACGCACATATTTGAAAGCAGTGGGTAACGGAAAATAAAATACCCACCCAACATTCATAATACCCACTCCAAAAAAATACAGTGGGTACAGTACCCACATGAGCTAAATCTTATCTGGAGCTCTGTTGTTTATGATTTTGCCGGAATGGAGTGGAAGATTTTTGTGCTCAGTTCGATCATGAACTGTATGTATTGTACTCATTGTGCTTGTTGTACTCATTGTACTTATTGTACTCATTGTACTCATCCCATATCTGTGATGTTTTTCTTATGAAAGATATTTTCATATTGAGATTACTATTTTCACCAACATATTGTATTGAATATGTTCGCTATTTTGTGTAGTCAAAACTTTGTGAATGTACAGAATTGTATCTTAAATAGAAATATATATCATGTATGCATAATATGTACAGTAATACAATTTTGTATTTAGCTTTTATTGATATGAATGTTTGAGATTTGACCATTGTTGGTACTTAATGGGTTTGTATACAATTGGGTTCCTGCCATACCCCTGTGAATACATACAACAGAATACAGTAGTTGCTGTCTTCAACAAGGAAATCAAATCACAACAGGAAGCTAGTGCTTAGTCCAGTCATGCTGAGAAGACATGACACAAATCATGTAACATGCCTCCTACTCCTAGTGAGGGGCGGAGGGGTAGCCTAATTCGTTGCTCGTCACGCCGAAGACCTGGGTTCGATTCTCCACATGGGTACAATGTGTGAAGCCCATTTCTGGTGTCCCCCGCCCTGATATTGCCCGGAATATTGCTAAAAGCGGCAGTAAACAATAAACTCACTCACCCTACAACATTGTGATCATGCACTTTAAACTTTTCTCCTGTATGAGGTGACGATAGGGTTCATACAAAAATCATGCACAGTGTATGGCTCATTTGACTCCGTGAGGAGAATGTCCGCAGTTCCGTTCATCATGATATTAACAGCCATATGTAGTCACAGATGGTAGAGGACTATACAAACCCAGGAAGTACTGACATGATCACATCCCACAAACCCCGTCAGTTGTTGACACTGAGATGTGACAAGATGTGTTATTTGTTTTGTGTTGGCACTGCAGTTTAAAGTAACTTGATTGACAGTTTTACCAGTGAAGAGTTATATATACAGAATATACACCTGGAAAAATAATCAAGCGCCATTTACTTTAGTGAGTGAGTAAGTTTACTTGTACGATTTTTCTGGAATATTTCAACTAGGAATAGGACTAGGGCTAGGACTTAGCATCATCTGATGTGACCCAGTACTTACGGCAGATTTGATCAGTATGCAGTATTCATGTACCGACTACCCAAGGATCAATGGTATTTTAACCATTTCTAAATATTTAACCACTGTCATATGTTGATTCCCCCCAAAATGCAAACGATATGGATATTTAAATATGAAAAATGATGGTGCTTTTCTTTTCTCCAGAGTGTAATAATGCTTACTGATGTGAACTGAATATTTGTTTCGCTTCATATTGTGTTCAGGACATACTCAAGTTTATATTGTCTCATGAAAATGTTTATTTTGGTATTAGTATACTAGTAGTTTAGATTTAGACAGAGTATTATGATTCTGGTTAATTTGTTTAGGGATAAAATGATGTGATGAGTTTTGTTTTGGAGTTTTGTTTTATAGACTCATTTGTATGATTTTCCAACACTGACCAGAATGGTACACAATCTAGATATTCTGGGAACAAAATATTGCATTAGTATTAGAATACCTTTTTCACAGCTATTCATCAAAGATCTGTAGATGTCTGAATTGCATATGACATGCATTTTAGATCTACTTTCATAAAGCAGGTTAATTAGAGTGAGAAATCTTTGAAATGGGAAAGTGTGAAATTGACACTTTTTTGTTGGCCTCAAGGAGACACTTGTTTTTGTGTGTTTTTTGTGAGCTGAATGTGTATATAGTTAAAATCAAAATGTTGAAACTTTAAAACTGATGATTTTTTGAACTCGATGGGAACATTGGTTGAACATTGGTTGAACATTGGTTGTAAAATGTCAGATGAATTATTACAGGATGTTGAATGTTATATTAGAGGGTGAGGAACATGTGAATATAATTTGAGAGGGTGTGGAACATGTAAATTAAATATTAGAGGGTGGGGAACATGTGGATGTAATACATTAATTTGGGGAACCTACAAATGTAATATATTAATGTGGGGAATGTGTGAATTTATATTTGACAGTGTGGGGAACAAGTGAATGTAATATGAGAGGGTTGGGAACATGTATTTGAGAAATATTAAGGTGGGGAACATGGGAGTGAGTGTAATATCACAGGGTACAGAATGTAAATGTAATATTAGAGTATGGGGAACATGTGAATGTAATATTAGTGTATGGGGAACATGTGAATGTAATATTAGAGTATGGGGAAAATGCGAATGTAATATTAGAATATGGGGTACATGTGAAAGTAATATGAGAGTATGGGGAACATGTGAATGTAATATTAGAGTTACGGGAACATGTGAATGTAATATTGGAGTATGGGGAACATGTGAATGTAATATTAGAGTTAGGGGAACATGTGAATGTAATATTGGAGTATGGGGAACATGTGAATGTAATATTAGAGTATGGGGAACATGTGAATGTAATATTGGAGTATGGGGTACATGTGAATGTAATATTAGAGTATGGGGAACATGTGAATGTAATATTAGAGTATGGGGAACATGTGAATGTAATATTGGAGTATGGGGTACATGTGAATGTAATATTAGAGTTACGGGAACATGTGAATGTAATATTAGAGTATGGGGAACATGTGAATGTAATAGTGGAGTATGGGGAACATGTGAATGTAATATTAGAGTTACGGGGAACATGTGAATGTAATATTAGAGTATGGGGAACATGTGAATGTAATATTAGAGTATGGGGAACATGTGAATGTAATATTAGAGTATGGGGAACATGTGAATGTATTTTAAGTGTAAGGGGAACATGTAAGCTTAGTGAGTGGGGAACACTGGATTATATCATTAGGGAGGGGAACATGTTGATGTAAGATTAGGGTGTGTGAAAAATTGAATATACAGGATTATAATATTAGAGGATGTTGGTAAGATTAGGGTGTGTGAAAAATTGAATATAATATAATATTAGAGGATGGGAAACATGAATATAAAATTTGTGGCTGAAAAACATAAACACTATAATAGAAGAGTAAGGACTGTTAAAATATTTAGAGGGAACAAGTCTGACAAGTGACCTTGAAATGATCATTAATTGTTTATATGTACATTCTTACATGATGATGTCTGTGATTTTTCTAGATAAAACAGTGCCATTGTTCTCCTTGAAATTAAATTCAAAACATGTGAGGGTATTTTGGCTTGATCTTGATGGTTGTACTCCATTGTCCGATTCGTTTTATTTTTTTATATATTGAGTATAAATACTATAGTAACCCCTCATTTGAAACATTTGTTTGACTTATGTCTTCAAATCCTCAACTTACTTCTGTGAATTTGTCTAAATACATATATTTTGCTTTGAAATTGTATGAATCACTCCATTTGTAATCACAATATTGAAATGTTTTGTACTGTGGGCCTGTTGCCTAGAAAAACGTAAATAAAACGACTCTAGCACTCTATTATCATGGACATTGCTAAACCATATTTTGTACAAATGTTGAAATATCACTGACATTTTTGCTTACTTCTGTCATGTTGTAGTGTTTCATTGGCTGGATCTGCTTACCAACATGTATTGAAATCCCACCAACAATGTTATTTCCATATTAGACTGGCTTTGTTTGGTATGTGTTTTCCGACTTTCCCAACATTTTCCCAAGCTCCAGCAAAGTAGTGTCATCTAAACAATGTATCTGGAATTGAAATCCATAGGATACTATTTACTTGGTCAGTGGATCCATCTATGGAATATTTTAAATGAGTAATATTGCAATCTTTTCTCTGTTTCATAGCTCAGATTTCAGTATTTCTAAACACTTCAAAATGTAGATCGCTAAAATAGATTTGAACACATTTGTTTTACAAGTGCAAATAGACACTTATGCTTGACAGTGGATCTCATTGAATATTATGTTATAAAGATTAAATATGAATATATAACTGTGTGTATACATACATGTATATATAATTTAAAGGTATACCTCATTTTGTATCCATTACCTATGAATCAAATTTTGTATGAATAGGTACCATAGAAATATACACCCACCGATGAACAAAAGCTGTTGCTATTCTACCACCCACTGAAGAGTATGTATGCTTATAATTTGTTATCAGAATGTAGACTGTAAACCCATTACAAAGAGAAGTTTAGGACAGATCATTACCCAACATAAGACAAGTACACACAGTTTGAAATTTGAGTCCATTTTCTCTCAGATTGTGATTTGAAATTTAGTTATTGAAACATCTTGATAACAATGCACACTGCTATTTTTTCAAATGCTGTTTATTATTGTGAACATTATTCAGGGAGTGGTTATGTGTTATAATGATAATAATAATAATGAGAAGTCTTATAATGCGCTAATCTCCACGCAACAAAGCATGCCCAAAGCGCTAACACCCTGATTATTATTACCCCGGATAACCCAAGCTGCCTGTTAGGCCCTAGAATAATATAGTCACATGACTTTATCCAACCGGGTACCCATTTTCTGCTGGGTGAACAACAGGTGTCAACACAAAATGAAGATGTGTCCGTAAATATGATGCAGTCTTTAAAAACATCCCACCGCCGAAATTTAACAACTTTGACAAACACGTTGAGAAAGTTTAATTATAAAGCTGTAGTAAAGTGCTCACAAGAAAGTGCCAATATACATGTATTCATTTATGTACTTACACATATCATTGTAGTCACAAAGTTCACTAGTTTTATGAGATGTATTATTCAACAATTATTGGTTGCCATGTTTTACGTATGAATGAGGAAAGTCTTATTTTTCAGCCTGCTTTGTACAAAATGTAAAGCAACTTGAAGTAAACAATATGTTGACAATGAATTGTTTGTGCTTTGTGGTTGGTTATGTAGCACCATGTAAGCAGGGATGCGTTGCCTTTTTGTCAACATTTAAAGGCACTATATCACACCACACTTCTCAAAAACTAAATAATGCATTTATCTCAATAATACTAACTATCATCCTTCATGGAAGCTACCATATAATATATATTCCCCCCCCAATTATTTATTTAGATTACAATATTAAATTGAACAGTTCGAATGAATTAATGCAACGTTGCATTAAATCAACTCTTGCGCCCTCTACCTGGCGAACATTATTTCAAGCAAACCCCACAGAGTTATGTGCCTTGAGGGCTCTTTACGAATATCCCATGCACAACTTATGATTGAAACCAGTTCGGCAAACACTGACAACACTGCGTGCAACAGTTTTCGATGTACAGAGCAATTGTTTACATTCCATACATGGCAAGTGTTCTCTGTTTGGAAGCTGTTCGCCTAGAAGTTTCAATTATCGATTTCAGGCAAGTCGTAAGGGATAATAAGTGTTTTATTGCATCAATAGGAAGCTAAAGCGAGTGCATATGCCCCAATATATAAAACAGAGGCCAAAATATTGTCGAAATGTGTGACATTGTGCCATTCACTTTGTGTTTGAAACAACCCAGCACTTGGACATTTTGGGCGTCATGTTGCAAATTTTAGTCATCATATATATGTGGCCTGTGAGAAGTGTCTGACACATTGATCAGACATGTTAAGGGTCACAGTCAACATCAAAGATATACCTGAAGAAATTTGTCGAACAACTTCAAGGATTCACTTTAAGTCATTGAAACTTGGTAATGCCCCCCATGTAGGGATTTATACTAATGAAAAAAGTAACTGTGCATAATATATAATTGCATACAAAAGTTATACAAATAACCCTAAATATACATGTAGCAAAGCACCTGGCATGAAATTTGATGTCAGGTATAGCGTGTGGCATGTGTACTTTGTGCACAATGAACTTGCTGACTTTTTGCATGTCTTTCGACACCTGAAGTTCACACACCTGATGTTGAATATTGAAGAACGGTCGATTATTCTCTCACCTCTGAATGTTGTGGAAAACATGTTAATTTCAACCTAAACTGCATGTACGTTGTGCCACAGCTTGCAGAAATTAAACGTCTCCTCGCCGTGTGTTCGCTGGAGGCTGGAATGGCCCCGATGTCACGTCAACAAGACAACCACATTAGGCTGACTCACCTAAGGAATCGATTCCAGACTGCCAGTTTGACAGCTCGGACCATTCTTGGCTTACATCCACTCAGTTCAAGGACTGCACGGAACCGACTGAGGGAGCACAACATCCAACCCTGACGGCCTGCAATATGTCCACTTTTGCTCCAGTGTCACCGACAGGCACGTCTTGCCTGGTGCAGACAGCATCTAAGGTACAGGAGACAAGATTAGGATGGTGTCTTATTCACGGACAGGTCAGATGGTTGGGCAGAGGTGTACAGACAGCAAGGTGAATCGTATGCTGAGGAGTGCATTGTTCAACATCAACATTTTGGTGGCAGTAGCATTATGATATGGGGTGACATCACATCCCATGGTCGGACACAACTTATCATTGTCAATACAAGGATGAGATCACTGGACCTTATGTACAGCTGTTCATTCAAGGACAGAGATGCTTCAGCAAGATAATGTGTTGTGACAGATTTCCTAAGACAGCAGAACATTCTGGTACTCCCCTGGCCAGCTGTTCCTCCGGACCTGTCCTCTATTGAGGACGCTTGGGATGAAATGGAGTGACATTTACGTCAAGCCCAGAATCAGCCATTGACGTTAACTGATTTGGGACAAACATTGGTTCAGACATGGAACAACATTCCCCAAGCTTTCTTCAATCGCTTAGTGTCGTCTATGCGTTGTCGTTGTCAAGCCTGCATCAATGCCAATGGTAGACACACACATGATACTGAATTTGTGAACTGACTTTTGACACATATCTTTAAGGGCACCGCCATATCGCTGGAATATTGCTGAGTGCGGCGTATAACTAATCTCATTCACTCTTCAGGGGCATGTCACGATGCCTAGTGTCAAATAATACAGATTTTGATATCATCCTGTCAACAGTTAAACAGTGATTACGGAAAACACCAAAACTCATGTAATCTTTTTGCATTAAAAATTTGCATAACATCAAATAATGACAGTTACTTTATTCCAGTATTACATATTGGTTGTGATCGACCTGAATAGTTTTTCTCACAATGGTGGTCATTTGCACAGTGTGTTTGTCATTTCCACAAAAGTATCGTTAATCTCCAGATGTTTTTGAAATGTGTGTATATTGTTAATATACTCATGTATGATAAACATGATAATCTTATATTAGATCAAGGTGACCTATTTTCTATGTGCAACATTGTTTTTGAAGCTTTAATGTCCCAGATATCACGTCATTCAATCATGTTACATTATGTCTGGTCAAGGACTCAGGGTGTTTCCAATAATTATTGCAATCTCTGCTTTCCACAGAGAATTACAAATCACGCTGCTACAGTGTTGTGGACATATATACACATTATCTCCTACAAAGTAGCTATTTGTTGACTGGTGACTTGATGTTCATTCTATACTCAGGGATGGCAACAGGAAAATCTATTTTCAGCGGAAAACTTAATATTGTGTCATCGAATGGGGGTTTCTCAATGCATTTAGACGATACACAATTGAACAATTTGAAATAAAATCTGCGGATCAGCGGAAAATTGCCATCCCTGTATGCCAATGAGAAGGTCGCCATGAAAGTTATATTATCTACATGTGAACACAATGTGAACTCTGTGTTGCCTACCACAACTACAAATGTTGTTAAAATCAACAAACATGACAAGCTGCGGCAAAAGCCTGTGGGCCTCCTGGTTCAAATTTGTCTCCAGATGCCAAAGGCCACAAAGTGGATCAGATGGTTTCATTACTTAGTGGATTGAATGTCATTGTACCCCAATAACATGGATAGTTGATCACAATCACTGGACCTTCTGAACCAGACTTGATGTTTACACGTTGACATACAGGTTGACAAAAGAAAGACCTGCAGAAAGGATCAGAACATCGTCACAGTGTTCATATTGTTTTATTTTCACAGTAGACTGAGATATGAAGCTCACATAAAAGGCATTCCTAAAATGTTCACATGTGGACGTTAAACTATTTTGTTACAAATTTATTCATAAATAATATATAAATAGTAACCTTGGTAACACATGAAAAGTGTAAACATATAATAATGCAGTAAACATATGGACGGAATAATCAAACCGAGATGAAACAGTAAGAGAAATGCAAAAGCATCTAAACAAAATTTATAAGAGCAAAGGTAAGATCTATTTCGTCTCTACAAGAAATAATTTATAGTGCAATAAAAATCTCAAATAATAAATGGGTTTCTTTGGATGTGGAATATTTCTACCTGTAGACTTTATTTTCAGCGACTTTTACAGAAGTTCATGGTGATAATTAAAGTTATTTAGAAAATTATGCAAAATTCATCTGATGAAAAATTATCTAGAAAACCGAATTATCTCAATATTTTTGCAACTTGTGAAATAAATCTTTTCTTCGCAAATTAATTCACTCAAAACATAAAATAACATTGACAAACAAAACACACAGCAATACACTATCAAATACATAATAGCAGCAATACATCCAAGTCTACTATGTATGTCTCAAGAATGCAAATAATACTTAGTCATTGTCAACACCAACCATCAAGGTAAAGACGATATTATGACAGCGCAAAGAATATGCAATGCAAACAAACATCTTGGGATGTCTGAACTATACATTAACCACAAGAAAAGTGGGCTTCTGTCTAGTGGTTTAAGAAACACAATGTGTATGCTTTTGTGTTTTAGAATATTAAAGAAATCCTGATAAAGAAAATAATATTGTTTACTGACAATGTGAATAGTGCAAGTAAAACATCAATGATAACTCACTGATCACATAACACCTAGTCAACAAAAAACTCATAGCACTGTGAAATGTACATGCAGAATGTTATTTGTACATGTGTCAATCACGTTTTCGATAACCGAACGTTATTCATACATGTGTCAATCGAAATGTCAATAACAGAATATTATTCCACGTGTCAGTAAAGTTGTCTATAACATACTGTTATTCAGCATGACAGCTATCCTGAATGTATCAACACAATTAATAATATTTTATAAATAGGTAATTATTTCACATATATTACTGAAATGGTTTAACCTTCCATTTCTCCCCCTTCCACAGAATTACATACATATGCACAGCGTTGATAACATGTGCCTTGTGTAGGACAAATAAATATACTAAAATAAGGAAATCTCTTGAGTGATGGTAAAAAAGCTTGAAAAATAAATATTTTGCATACAAATGGAATGACTAATGAGAAATTAATTAGGTTGAGCGACGTAACTAGCTAATTTTGTGAAGGATTTGATTTGAACACACACAACTGTTACTACCGTTTCACTGAAAAATTCTAGTGAAGACCTTTAAACAGTGTGTGGAAAGAGAGCTAGAATATGAAACACATATTTGCACTGAGGCATTGATTATAATGCTTGTGAATGGTGCAAATTTATAACTGTTTACCATGAAGAAACATTCTTCACAGATTTAATGTGCTTAACACTGATAATCATTGTACATCAAATATCCACAAAATTTACATCACTGACAAGATACTCCTGAGCTAATATGTACACGTAGCCATGACAACAAGTGCAGGCAACTCTGGATATTACCAATCCATGGTATTGTGGAGTTCATATCATATACGATACTCACAATATAACCCCCCAGGCCATTTACAATAGGGCAATCTGTTGCTGTGACCTATATACATTTTGTAACTATTAACGGGTATGTTTTAGCCAAGGTTGAATGCAACAAATATTTCTGGCAATTATATCTAAGCAGCTCAGCAACACTGAAAGTAGGACATTTTGAGAACATGTTGAAGAATCACTAACCTTTACACTAACTTCCACTGAGGTAGGGTCACATTATGCTTGTGTTACACCTGTTATCTTTAAGCAAATAAACATTCCAATCAACAGGTCTACAAAGAAGACTATGGCATCCAATCAATTCACTAATTAGACTGATCTTGAAAGAAATGACAAAAAGATGTTTTTCATTTCTTATAAGCTTATGTTATTAGTGCCATGTTCATTTAGCGCTGTGTCAACAGTTTTGTGGAATTGGAGTTGTGAAATGAGAGTTTCTTTTCCCTTTTGTACTTTATAAAACAAGTTGACAGATATATCATCATTGGCCATTTCGTATAGTCACATCACATTAGTCACAAACAGTTTGTTCAGCCATAATGTAACATCAGTCATTGAACAAAACATTAATTGCTGATCCTATTTATGTTATAAAATTAAATATCAGGGCATTTACAAACAAAAGTATGACATATTTTAAACATAACATTTCTACCCACTGAAATGTAACACAGAAAACTTGGCTGTACCCAAAACATGAAAATAACCCGTTGGTTTTGTAGTAGTCTGATTGATGCTTCACTAACTGCTGATATGAGTGTAACTTGAAACCATGTCTAAGACTCTCCTGCTAACTCACCACCATGAATACATGACTGACAGATTTGGATTATATTCATAGAAATTATTGTCTAAATGGAGTCATATTCAACTATCTATAACTATTTGTTACGGCATGTATTCCTATCACCTTCATACATGATCGAGACAAATACTACCACGAGTAACGCCACTTTTAGCAATATTCCAGCAATATCACAGCGGGGAACACCAGAAATAGGCTTCCCAAATTGTACCCATGTAGGACTCGAACCCGGGTCTTCGGCGTGACGACTGGACGGTTTAACCGCTAGGCTACCCCACCACCCCATTACTACCATGATTGGTTCTTGTGATATGTCAGGAACTATTCAAATGTTGCTCTGCTTTCAACCATAAGATAATTGGTGCCACTGGGAGGATTCAACCTCTCCCGTTCAAGTTCTGTTCCTCAATGCCCCATCCCTGCATTTTACTGGGTTTTCAAAAGAACTAGAAACATGAAACAGTTTCATCTCAGAACAAGATCAAACTACATGATTACATCCAGAATTTAAGTATGTCAATGACAATAGTCCTGTTTACAAATACATCACTGGCACAGATCTACTAGGAAGGGGAAATGCATAAAAAGTAATGATTTTGCACCAATATCTTCAGAAGCTAGGCTGATTAAATTGCAAATGCTAGAATAAAGACCATGCTGTCTTACAATGATGAATCACATGGCTGACTTGTGGAGGAGAAAGAGTAGAGAGTGTACAGCTCACTCAAAGACTAGAATACGGAGTTCTGATGCTACTTCTGAAAGTGGTACAGAGAGGCATTCTCACAAACGGAATTGGTAATATGTCAGCTGGAATTGTAGAAAGAACAGTTATGGTTGATCTGCACTGAAGTCATCATTTAGGAACCAGACCTCTGGAAGTTGGATATTTCGGGTCACTGATGCCAAGCTTCTTGGCTGTGCGTGGTCTGAAACAAAACAAAAATCTGTGAGAGTGGAGATTGCATTTTGTTTTCAGTCATCCCACATGGCGCTCAAACAATCAGTGAACGAGTTGTATGATCCTCAGGGAGTTGAGATTGAAAATACGATGTGCCATTCGAGTTTGACATCCAATGATCAAGGGAAAATCAAAGCGCCCTTGAGCAGCTGAGCTGGATATCGGTGCTATACAAATGTTAGCATAATAATAGTTACATCAGTTCTCCAATAAATGATAAAACGTGGACTAATTATTGTACAAAATCGGATTGAAGAAAATGTCAGTAATATTAAACAAACGAACATCATTACTCCACATGATGAAAAACTCGTGGAAAGTATGAGAAATGTTCAGCAGCAACTCACCTTGCAACAGTCTTTTCTCTCCTCTTGCCTGACTTGGGACGAGAACTGAAGATACTTGGACTGGAGGAGAAAACGGTGGAATTATCACCTTTGTCAACATCAATCTCTATCATTCCCTTAATCAACAAAACATCACCCCGCTGCTGTGGCCTAATATTTTCTATACAGTTTAACACATCTCTAAACAGTCTGATCTTCCTGCCCATGTGTTGTTAGCACTGACCTTCCATCTATGTCCAGGTCATCCTCGTCCTGCAGGGCGGCATCCAGGGCAGCCTGGACCCGCGGGGCCACTGTCGGGCCTTCGTAGTCACGGGTCGTCCTGTTGGGCATGTCCATCTCAATCTCCAGAATATTTTCTCCCTGAAGCAAATTCAGGGGTTTAATATTGAACATGGCCATGTGTGAAGGAGACAAGTTAAAATGGACTCACTGTGTTTAAATTAACACATGTAGCATACGGTTTAGGTGGTCTACTGTGCATGTCATGTATGGCATGGCGTGACAACTTAATGCAGGAGGAAATCCAGAACTGGTTCTCATCCTTAATGTTGACCACTTTGGTGATGCCGACAAACATAAAACTAGGGTCCGATTATGTCTGGGATTAATATTCTGATCCATGATATTTTCAAGGGACACAACTCGGTATATCAATTATGGTGCCTATGGCAACTAGGCCAGGGGTGTTCCCTGACAGTTCAAGGAGAAAAGACTTGACCTATTCTGCTTATGTAGAACCTCTTTGTAAATGTGTGAGATCATGTAGTCATGTGGAAATGATATGTTATAAAGATTTTGTGGGAATCTGCAGAGTGTAAATGCTACATTTATTTCTGAAGTTGTTAGGATTTGATGAGTTAGACATATCATAGGTAGATAATCCTTGTATGGTGAATGGAAGCACAAGGACATGTTACAAACAAACATCTATTAATTTATAGCACACAATCGTGTTACCTTGAATCGTGGGTTGCCTTTCATCGCTGCAGAAACTTTGGCAAAGTCTGAAACTGGTCGTCTGTTGCCGAGAGCTGAGACTGGACGTTTTGCCATTGACTGGGCACTGCAAGAGATTTAAAACACATACTAACTTGAAGAAATAACGTAGTACCTGCTTCGATACAAAGAAGTTACGAGTCTTGGCTAAATCTTGCATGAAAATATATTTGCCACATTCAATGTTGGGACAAAATCTACTCAACTCACCACCAGCAACTGTTTCATGATGCAAATACACAGCAATAGATGACATGGAGAAATAAACAGAACATCAATTTACACATATATTTTATTAATCAAATTACAGATAGTACTTATTCTGAACTATAAACCAGCAAGAGAAAGCAGTTTTGTGGCGTTATGGCTTTGCAGAGTTGACTATTATTTTACTAACAACATGACCAATGTAGAGGAAAAGGCTTTAACACTCTGCTTAACATACTGAACAAAATAACACTATGTCCCAATTTGACTTCAAAGGGAGCTTAGTTTGGAATTCTGACCGGGAGCAAGTCTGCCAGAAAACCCCACTGGGGTTAACCACCATCAGGAAGTGACATACACCTACTTCTTGTTGGTGATGGGTTTCAGATGCCACGAGTCGTCATCCTCGTCAAAATAAGCTCTGTTGAGGACCTTGTTCTTCTCCTCATGTGGGATGAAGTTCTCAATAATCAGCAGTCTGTAACATGGCAAATCACATAATTCAATCATACTCACTTGCCGTGGAACCGCATGTGTGTTTTTGTTAATGCTGCATTTGGAATATTCCAGCTATTTGGCTGTGACCTGTAATTAATCCAATTTGGACCAGACAATCCTGATGTTTGTCCAGGATGAATCCATGCGGTCAGTCCATTTATATCGCATCAAATTCCATTCCCCTAGTCCACACTAAATCTCGCGGCCTTATGAATTCAAGCAAGTTGAAACTGCGGAAACTTAAAAAACTTGTTAAATCTTACTTGAGTTTGAGTTCTCTGGTGAGTTCCATCTGTGTCTGTTCCAGTTCCTGGCGTTCCTTGACATGTTCCTCTTGCATGTCTTGGATCTCCTGCTTGGTCTGCTGCAGCTTGCCGAACAGCTGCAGGAACACAAGAGGTGAACTGATGTTAACGACTTATGATGTAACGAGGGTTTACAATGCTAGCACATGTGTTATATAGGCAGAGTGCTGGGGATTGATATTGCTCAACAATCAGTCAGTGTGACACAGACACTAGCAAATGAATCCTGACCTTCTTCAGCTTCTTTGTCTTGACATCGACCTCTTGCTGCAGGGAGGCATAAGTGCCCTTGATCTCCTCGGCCGACTCCTCCTTCTCCTCCAACTTCTGCTGGATCTCACGCTCCACTTTCTGTGTAAGATCCAAACAGTTCTTTCAACATTCTTGCTTGTTTTTCACCACACTCAACCATATTCTAGCTATAAGATTTAAAATATTACAGTCTAAACCTGACTATACACAGATGCTATAAGATATAAGTAATGTCCCATGTCAACAAGGAATCAACCAAATAACAAATCTTGACCACCTAAGCCTGAGCAGCTTAGGAACAACCCAGAATCCCCACTGACTATAGGCTCAAGCAGATGAGAGATGACAGATTGACAGATGATAAACATCTTTCAAGAAAACTACCAAGTCATCAAAGTCAGCTGTTATTCAGTGTGTTGTTTCTCCTGCCTTTGTCAATTATTACACCAAAATTATTGTTTAAATATTAAACATTAGTTGTGTCTATAACTGTTCAAAGACCCAAATTACCCTGATCTATGTTTCTAGGTTGACTAGCACCATGACCATGCCCCTATAACTGTAAACATCCAAGAACTGCATCACTGTGGGCATTATTCCCATGTTAAGCAGACTGTGTTGTGATACAACTGAAATAATGTTCAGAGAGTCATTAACCTAATCTCATTCCCACTGATACCAATACGCCTTTATCATGTAACCCGCTAAAAACTTCACAACGAGGCTCGGTATTCAAACAGAAATGGCGCAACACTGCTGTGTGCCGACCTGCAGTAACGTCTCCCGCTATCCGTCTGGAAGCAACCTGTCATTCCATAATATCCCAAATGATCAAGACCTACGCAAACACTGGATAATAAGAATCAGACGCAACGAAGGTCCATTATTCAAGGTAAGTTAGACATGAAATGATATGACAGTCGCCTTGAGTTAAAGGTGCTCGATTTTCAATGTCGGAAGATTCGACAGCTGGTAGAGATTTCAGACTTCTTGTCCACTGTGGCAGTGACGGGCCGTAAGATGACATTTCTCTAGCAGACGATGGATTTGCGGGGCGGAAATACCGGAAGTAAACATTGTGTATACTGAGCCTCGTTTTCGCGAGTTATGGCCGACGCGTGAGAAAGGAGTATGACTGACCTTTCTGTCAGCTATCTCCTGTCTCCTCTGCTCCAGTGCTCTCTGCTGCTCGTTGGTGTGGTCAACAATGTTCTTCCCTCCCATCAACAACTTGCTCTCCATAGCCTGGGGGGCATAAATGTTTTTAGTAGTAATTTGACATGATGAGACAAAACTCCCAAAACAAACTGAAACTGAAACCTTAATTTGATAAATCAACAGAAATCATTGAAAGAAAACACTATTTCAGTGGAATTTCTTCTATCTCTTCTATGTACAGTTGAAACTGAAACTTGATGGTTTTGAAAAGAACCATGATGAATTTCAATTAAATTCCAGAAAATGTTGAATGTTTTAAGAGTTTGCTATTCTGCTACCTACCTTTGTATCAACATCAGTATATACCAGCTGAATATTGATGTTGTCATTTCCAAAACAGTATTTAGAATGTTCAAGAAAATAAAACTTCATAAAAAAATGTTGGCTTCTGGCTTGTGAACCACTTTGAGAATGATTCAAGTAGAAGCCTGGGCATTGTCCATGTAACTAAGTCCAGCCTTACCTTGATCTTGCCAGCGAGGGCGTCAGTCTGGTCCTTCTCTTGTTTCAGTATCTCCTCCTTTGCCATCATCTCTTGCAGTATTCTCTCTTTCTCCTACAAGCAAATATCATGACTCATGTCTCAGGGATATCTATCAGCGTCCTAGCAACAAAATGCCTCAATTCTTTTCATTCTACTAATAGCCCCTATCCAATATGTGCCCCTGACCAACCTCTGAACCAATGTACAAGTAATCAAGTGCCCTGTACAAAGCTCCAAATTTCTTAGAAAATATTCAGGCTTAATTTTGTTTTATTTATTCCATATTTATGCAATTTCATTCGGCAGTTGAAAACAAACTGACTTACTTGTTCAGCTGCTTCTTTGTATGCAGTGTTTCAATAAGTGAGTGTTCTGAGTGTGCAAATACATGTACGAGAAAATATATTACACATGCCATTATTTGGCAGACCAGTGTATGAATTATGTCCACAGTATCCAAGCAGGATGGCAGCAACGAGCAAAATCCAACATCCAGTTAGTTTTGTTCTTATGACCAGCAATAAAATACTGACTTACTAAAACCCCTGGTCACCACAACATTTTCACCACATACCTCTGCCATGATGCTCTGATCGTTGAGGATAGCCTTCTTTTCCGACTCCAGTTTCTCTTGTTGTGCATTCATGTATGTCTCCACATCGTCCTCCTCGTCACCTCCATCCTCATCTTCATCTTCACTCCCTTCTATTATTTCTCCATTTCTGTCTCTTTTCACTTTCCTTTTCTTTCTCTTCTTTGGTCCTCCCTTTGAGTCCAGCTGGTTCTTCAATCTGAAGTAGAGGAACACCTTTGGTATATGCAGGGTCACAGTAGTTAAAGTGAGTGAGTGAGTGTGAGTGAGTGAGTGAGTGAGTGTGAGTGAGTGAGTGAGTGAGTGAGTGAGTGAGTGAGTGAGTGAGTGAGTGAGTGAGTGAGTGAGTGAGTGAGTGAGTGAGTGAGTGAGTGAGTGAGTGAGTGTGAGTGAGTGAGTGAGTGAGTGAGTGAGTGAGTGAGTGAGTGAGTGAGTGAGTGAGTGAGTGAGTGAGTGAGTGAGTATGGTTTTACACTGCTTTTAGCATTATTTCAGGAATTTCATGGCAGGGTACCGCAGAAATTGGCTTCACACAATGTATCCATGTGGGAACCGAGTGGAAACCGAGAATGGAACCCGAGTTTTCAGCTTGACAAGCAGATGCTTTGACCATTAGGCTACCCCACCGCCCCGAGTACTTAAAGTGTTTGATTGTCATGCTGAGCACCATGGGGTATTTTCAATAATCTACAAGTTAAACTTCTGCCAGCCTTTACCTCCTCTGCCTGCATACCTGATGACCAGTTTCTGACTGAATACAGCAATCACAAGCATGAACACATGTATTTTGTCCACCTCAGTACCTACCTGGCAATCTCCTCCTGAAACTCCCTCAGTAGTGCATCCTTCGGGTCTTCGTTGATCTTGGGGATGTTTTTAATGTTCTTTGCCCTGTTGGCATACCTGTCAAAAACAAAACGTGTCAGTCAAACAGCGACTACACACATGTGTACAAACTGCATCTGCGATTCAGAAATATCTGAACTAGAAAATAATTCATGCATAATTACATCTTTTCAGGGCTACTTTATGTCTCTATAATATTTTGTTGGAACAGTCACCATGGTTACACATGATCTCAAAGGCAGGCTATAGGGTATGGGCTTCATCATTACCAGTTTATGGTGACTTGAAATGCTCTAAACAGAGTATCATAGTGCGAGTGAATGAGTTAAGATTTATCATCACATTGATATTTCAGCAATATCGTAACAAGTATCATGTTGCGATTTCATGCAGCCCCAAAGAGAGAGGTGTTAACAGATTACCAGGACATAGTATCTTGTTGCTGCAAAACACTTTCTCCTGATTTTATCTACAACACTTCAAGTACATTATCTTAATATTAGTCAACTGATGTTCAGGATTACATTAGTGATAGATTCACATGGTTATATTACACACCTGAGGGTAGTGCTAGATTCACATGGTATATTACACACCTGAGGGTAGTGCTAGATTCACATGGTATATTACACACCTGAGGGTAGTGATAGATTCATCATAGTTGTAGCTGGCTGGACCAATGTTGGCCACCATTACAGTGCGTGCATTGCCTCCGAGGGAATCTGAAATGATAGCAGACGGTCAAGTCATTTCTAATAGCACTTTTGCCTAATGAGTTGAGTCCGACTGAATCCTGCTAGATACAGTCTTTAAGTTGTCATGGTGAGTCTGTTTGATGTAGGAAGAAAGCTTGAAGAGATTAAGGTTAGTTTTGCCACTTTAATCAGTAGGTGTAAGGTGGTGACAAGCTAGAAGCATCATCAGATGGTTAACTGTGGCACACTTTTGACAACTGAGCCTTCTGGTGATCATGGTATCTCCACCTACCCTGCAACAATCTGGTCAGCTTGGAATCTCTGTAGGGGATATGAGAACACTTCCCATCTACCAAAGCCGAGATGACGTTGCCCAGAGCGGACAGGGACAGGTTGATTTTGGTGGCCTCCTTTAACCGATCTCCCTGACAAAATATCAGGCTACAGTTCAACATCTTCATCAAGTTAAGAGCACATATTGGTTACATGACAAAGTAGGATTAATTGGATTCCAACATGTAACAATCTGTGGATCAGGGCAACAATAGAAAGCAACTCTTCATAGTGATGTGATCACAAGGTCCGAGTTCTGTTGTCAGTCAACACTGCACTCAGCTATATTCCAGTTACATGATGGCAGCCTGTGTTGACAAGACCAAAAGGATACGAGGACAATCAACCTTGTCTTCAAGCCTGATAACTCATGCCATTGAGTAAAATGACAAGGTAGTTTGCTAAGGACCAGTTCTAACCCAGGATCCCTACAGACAACACAAAGACTACCACATGTACTTACTGTTGCTCCAGTCTTGGCCTGACGTTCACTGCCTGCTAAATCCACCATGTTCAACTTGCCAACACGGATATGGTTCTCGCCATCAACTCCCAACTGAAAACAAAAACATGGAGGAGATTTTTTATGTTAAGACTTTAAACACAAGATTGTGCTTTAGCTTTTATTCATATTACATATACATAGATTTCAGAACCAGTAGAAAGTTATGAACAGAAATGTGACATACAGTTACATTCGTAACTACTCCTGTCATCCCGGCAAGCCGGACGGCGTCTTGTACCCCTCTTGTGGATGTGTACGACTAGGTCCTGTCTAAGCACAAACGGGCACGGAGATGAAAATAGTCTAGTGCTAGTACTAAGGAAAGATAACTCAAATTTTCCAAACATGGCTACTCCCAAGAATATCCTATAGCTATATCCCTTGGACAATACAACTATACATTCATTCCCTTTGTAAGTATGTTTCAGTGTTGAAAGTTGCTGATCCTTTAGCTCAAAGTTTATGTTTGAATTGTGCTTTGCATAGTTAGCTAAGTTTCAAAGTTAAACGGGGCCTCCATCTTCATGCTTCGAAATGCGTATTACTACGTGCGATTTAATTGGTTTGCCCCGATTCTTGGCAATAATGGCGTACGATAGGGGTACGAGTCTTTTTGTAGGTCACGGAAAGAGGCGAGTAGTTACGAATGATACAGCTGAAGTTTAAGTGATATGTAAGCAGCTGGCATGATTGACTGACTGAGTTTAGTTTTACGCCGCTTTTAGCAATATTCCAGCAATATCACAGCGGGGGGACACCAGAAATGGGCTTCACACATTGTATCCATGTGGGGAATCGAACCCGGGTCTTCGGCATGAAAGCCTGGACAAAAGGTTAATTATCAATAAATGACAGCAGATAGATTAGTGATGATTTGTTTGTTATTTTCGCATAACTTCATAAAAGCAAATCTTTTAACAATTAGCATTTGATTTTGAAGGGGCACAGTTACTTCATAATGATTCAGATGTTACACTTATTATGTAAAGATGCTACAGACATCAATGGGAGAGCCCCGAAGTTTACTGTTGAGGGAGTTGACCATACAGGAAGCTAGGTATATCTTACATACTGGCACATCTATCAGTTATGTAACACAAACACAAAATACAAGATGATCCAACTGAAGAACTCGTCAAACACAAAACCTACTTGTGATAAGACTTACAATAACCAGACAATCTAATTCACTTGTGACATACCTCACTGCATTCAACAGTGACAATAAAGATGGCGTGAGATCGGGAACTGTGTTCATTCATATTGGTTGCACTGAAATCACAAATATCATTCATCAATCAAAATGATTCCATGCTTTCAGGGTGTATAATGTATGTCATATGTCTCTAACTCTAAAAACAGATCTGACTTGTCGATTGGCTGTTTGGCTTGTTGTTCAACGCCACACTCAGCAATATTCAAGCTATATGGCGGCAGTCTGTAAATCTATGCAATTGGGATACGATGACATGTGTCAACCAAGTCAGCGATTCTGACCACCCAATCCTGTTAGTCCCCTCTTACAACAAGCATGGGTTACTGAAGACCAATTCTAACCTTGATCTTCACGGTAGTCTGACCTGTCGAATACCTTATAACACAACCAAAGCACTCAGCAAATATTCTACCACTATGACGGTGGGCTGTTAAAAAGACATTCTGTTGCTTGATATTATGAGCCATGATCAATTATTTTTCTTCGAGCCATGCTGAGTAACACTCCAGTTAGATCATGTCAGCCCGTAAATAATCAAGCCTTGTTTACACATCCCAGTGGATGATATTAAGGACAACGGTCCACGTCATCAGGGTCAGAAGATGTCCACCAAGTCACTGAACTCTCTTGTGATCAGCAAATATTACAAGGGACGTATTACCAACATTTATCCTCATGCGAGTTCAGTAACTGATGTGACTGTCTTAAGACAAAGAGTAAAAATCTCATCTTACAGATCTAGTCTGGTTTCCAATATTCATCATACAGGGCTCCAGATAACTTTTGGGGGTGCAAATGTACTTACACATCATATTGCAAGTGGAGGTGTACTGAGAATTTTGAAGGAGTACTGACAAGTGTCTTGTGTGAGCGAATTGATGTGGTTTGTCTGGACGATTCATCGATCACTAGTTTTTAGCCAATCGAAAAATAGTGACGTATATCATTGCATGGCAACGCAAGGGATTCCTACTGTCGGGGTTTCCTCATGTGTCAAATCGTGTTTCGCAAAAGACACTTAACAAGTATTTATCCAAAATAGATTTCCATTTGCACAATACGCACGGAAATTAAATGTTAGACATACGAAGGTATTTATGTGCATACATGATACGTTTAAAATCATATATTGTGTAGTACTTAATTGATTTTGAGGCGTACATTACGCCTGTACGCCCCTTATCTGTAGCCCTGAGCATACATCACTTAGTGAAAAACAGAAAAGGATACAAGGCAAAGAACATCAAGTCTCACCCAACAGATCTATTTTGGTTCCCAACATTCATCACATGTTCAATTTCCTTAACACTCTTCGTGACAAAGGAAGATAGGTCCTGAAATAGACAGTAAATATGCATTGTTCACCTAGAATATGCCCGAAAGACTGTTCTGTATGTTGGGAACACATGGTGCATCATGTCATTGCCCAGATATACCTGGAGTCACTGTCAATATCAAAACAAGTTTCTATTATCAGGAATTTTGGTCTTAAAAGCAAGCCTGTGCCATAATTTACCCGAGATTCCAAACTTATTACCTTTTCGCAGCAAATTTGTGAAAAAATTGTTGTGTTGTTTCACATCAGCTTTTCTATTATTCTTATTTTTTGTATTTATTTTGTGTCATTTACTGCAGAGTTTGGGCTGAATAATTGGCCTCAGGGCAGGTTTTGCTTCACAGTTTTATATCTACTGTAGTATCTGAGTTAATGGAGGGGGGTGATACATCTTCAGGCAAACAAGTATCATTTAGAGTAAAAAATTTCATTTATTTCAATAAGAGAGTGATCAGATACATTTTTATAAGATGGATAAAGTCATCATTCCATGTTCACTGTTTAGCCCATCTACCTCAGTGCATAGGAAGAATGTCTCAACATTTTTTTATCTTAGATACATAGATCATTTTCACTCACCTTAACATAAACACCAGTATCAGGCCTCTCCTTGAGATCCAGGCGTTTAGACTGATCCTTGGACAACAAGTCCCGTACTTCCTCCTGCACACACAAGCAGTTTCAGTCAGAGAGCGGTTTACACAGCCCACTGTACAATGTCTACAGAGAGTTGTCAGTACTTCACAGGCAACTTGGGAAAAATTCGAACAAACCTGTAGAGGTTGCTGATTTCTTTATGAGAGTCCTCCTTGGGGTACATATAAGCATTAAAATGTCCATTTTAATCCCTACGACAGTTGTAACTATAATTTGAATAAAATATTTACAAAACAAAAAAGAACGTTTTTGTCTTGTTCGACCACCCCTACGGACCCCAGAATGGACCCGTCCACCAAGAACAGGTAACTCTAGGCGCTAACCTCGTACCTCACTTTCCATGCTGAACGTATCAGACAGAATGTGGGGAGGTGGGTGGCCATACCCCAAGGAGGACTCTCATCAAAGAATCAGCAACCTCTACAGGTTTGTTCGATTCTTTTTTCATGAGAGATCCTCCTTGGGGTACATATAAGCATAAGACAAACTCCCAAAGACAAGAGTCCTGGGAGTGGTATTCTGTCTGATAAACTAAGCCCCCGACAAGTGGAATTTTCCAACTATAAAAAGAAAAAGGAACAGCTCACTTACCTGGCCACGTGACCTCTTAAGCCAATCAGGCGTGTGCGTGGTCCAGGGTCAGGGGTAATATATTCTGCTCATATGCAAATGAGACAGTGAACTACGCATGTAGTAAACAATCGTGTCCCACCCCCATCCCGAGTTTCATATATACCTAGGGAGGGAGAGACATTAAATCCCATGAAACCACAGCCAAGCCTAGATTTCTAAGGAATATATGTGCAAAATAGATATACGGGGAGAACAAACCATCTCCATAAAAAAACCAACACCAAGTAAGGGTAAAAAGGGAAGGAAAGTTGACCGCAAACCCGCCACCAGTAAAAAACAGATAAAGTCGTAAATCTAAAGCTCAATCTGTCAAGTTGATAATGCCCGCATGAAAGTACTCGGCCGGCTCCAGATAGCCGCGGAGCAGACCTCCTCAATAGGCAAAGCCGCAGCATAAGCCTTAGATGTGGCTACTGCTCTAACCGAATGAGCTTTTAACCCAGAAGGTGGTGTTAACCCTTTCTGTGTATAGCTCGTACAAATGGCAGAGACAAGCCACCTAGATATGGTCCACCATAACAGCAAAACAATTGGTTATCTCTCCGGAAGCCAATGTCCGCTTGATACAAGCCTTGAGGGTCTTATGCACATCTAAGACGTGAGGCCCTTGAAGATCCAGGGTAGAATTGGTCTTCAGCAACCCACACTTGCCACAAAAGGCAACTATGCTTGTCGTAAGAGGCGACTAACGGGATCGGGTGGTCAGGCTCGCTGACTTGGTTGACACATGTCATCGGTTCCCAATTGCGCAGATCGATGCTGATGCTGTTGATCACTGGATTTTCTGGTCCAGACTCGATTATTTACAGACCGCCGCCATATAGCTGGAATATTGCTGAGTGCGGCGTAAAACTAAACTCACTCACTCACTCACTCTAAGACGTGAGCACGCCGAAGAGAGGTACCCGGTGGGGAAGGCTGAGTGAAAGCAGGAAGCTCAATAGGTGCCGTGACATGAAAGGCGCTGTCTCTCTTAGGATGGTAAGTATCCGGCAAGCTAACGCTAACTCTGTCATTATGAAAAACAGTTAGCTGAGGGTCAGCCGACATTGCATGAATGTCGCCTACTTGCCTGCCGGAGGTTACCGCCACAAGAAAAGCTGCCTTCCACGTCAACAGCTGGAGGGATAGAGCCGACAGATCGTAAAAAGAGAGGACCGGACAGCCAATCAAGAACGATTGACAAGTCCCATGGGGGACTGACCCGCCGGACAGCCGGACGGATTCTGTCCACACCTGCTAAAAAACGCTGTACAAGAGGGTGCTGCCCCAAGAGTGCACTGTCGACAGGTATATGAAATGCTGAAATAGCCGTAACTTCGAACAGTTGAAGCGGCTAGCCCCGCTTCCAACCGAGACTGGAGGAACTCAAGCACCGTGACTAGATCTGCAGAAAAGGGATCAAGAATCCCCCTGCCGACACACCAGCGCGTATAGCAGGCCCATCTATCCTCATATTGAACGCTTGTCGAATCCTCCGCGAATCCAGAATTGTGTTTGCAACTGATGCAAGAATTCCGCTCACCTGGAGGCGATTCCAGACAGTGGCCATGCCACCCACTGAATCCTGGGATTCGGGTGTGGCGCTTCCGTTCTGGGATAGAAAGTCCGGTCAAAAGGGTAATTGTACAGGAGGCTGAGCCAGAAACCTGAGAATTACCGGAAACCAGTTTTGAGCTGACCAAAGAGGTGCAAGGAGCACTAACAGTTGAGCTGGTTGGGTGGCCCACTGCGATAGGACCTTGGATATCAGTGGTATCGGTGGGAACGCCCACAGTACCCTGTCCGTCCAGTTGAGTTGGAAGGCATCGTTGGCTATCGCTCTCGGATCCGGTATCCAAGAGCAAAACACTGGTATCTGGTTCGTCGCCCCAGAGGCAAACAGATCCACTTGGAACGACCAGTACAACTGGGAGATAATCCCGAATATCCCCCGGTCTAGCAGCCACTCGTGTGGAGCTAGTATACAACGGGAGAGCGCGTCCGCCTGAACGTTGTCTACCCCCGGGGGATAGACTGGCATCACCCGTATGTTGTACTGGTCGCACCATAGCAGAAACTGCCACGCCTCCTGCAGCAGGGACGCTGATACCATGCTGCCTTGCTTCAGGATATACGTCATGGCCGTCTGGTTGTCCATCTCTAGATGAACCACTTGGCCACAAACCTGATCCACAAAGCTCTCGAACACCCGTCAGACTGCTCTCAATTCTTGCACATTGATATGCATACTGATCTCGTGCTCCGCCCAAAGGCCCGAGACTGACCTGTCGCCCAGAACACTCCCCTAACCTGAGAGGGAGGCATCTGTCTGAATTGAGAGCATGGGCACTGGATAAGTTCCCGGCGTCTGTCCACTACCGCAAGTGAGGGGTTAACCAGTCGGGCCTCACGACAACCTTCTCGTAGCTCTCCGAATAGGACCACAGCTGAGCCAGTGCCTGCTGTATAGGTCTCATCCTCAGACGCGCACGCCACACCACATCCACGGTCCCCGCCATGTTGCCTAGCAACTGGAGCCATGCCCGAGCTGAAACCGTGGGAGTCCGAAGAAACTGAAAACAGTTCTCTGAACTTTGGCAATGCGGTCCTGAGATGGGGAAACAATCCCCATCTCTGTATTGAATCTCACTCCCAGGAAAACCAGATCCTATGTCGGATTGAGTTCTGATTTCTTGAGATTGATGATCCATCCCAGCCGTGTGAGAATATCCAACACGTGATGTGTGGTATTCCTGCTCAACTGCTGGCCTAACGTCCGGAGCAGCCAGTCGTCGAGGTACGGGTGACAAAACCTGCCCTCTGACCTGGCTAACTGAGCTGGGATTAACATGAGTTTGGTGAACACCCTTGGCGCCGTGGAGATGCTGAAGGGGAGCACACGAAACTGGTAGCACTTCCCGTCGAAGGAGAACCGAAGGTACTTCTTGAAGTCTGGGTGCATTTGGTACATGTAGGTAAGCGTCTTTGAGATCGATTGACGTGAGCCAATCCCCTGTCTCGACGGAGGAGATCACTGAGCGCAGTGTCTCCATCCTGAAAGACGGCACTTCTATCATTTTGTTCAGCCCTTTTAGATCGAGTATGGGTCTGAACCCTCCGTCCTTCTTGGTCACTATGAAATACGTGGAGTAAAATCCCTCGTTTTCGTGACCTTCCGGAACCATCTTGATGGCTGCCTTGTCCAGCTTTTTCCTGGGAGATGGGAACAGGAGTGTGCTGCACCCCGATGAATGGTGGCGGACCTCGCTTCCACTGTGGCATATGGCCATCCCTGAGTGGTGACAGGACCCAGGGATTGAAGTGGCTTTCACCCATTCCTGGAGGAAGAGTGTAAGCCGGCCGCCTACAGGGATGTGTGGCATGAGGCAGTGCACTCCCACAGTCGGCAAGTCTCCGCTTGCGTGTGTGGGAGGCAACAAGGGCGTCCGAGGGAGATTTAACGGGGAGCCGGGGCTGACATCATCCCCACATGCTCCCTGATCTACCAGTTCCCCCTGCAATGCAAATAGGTATGCTGAGTATTGAGCTAGGTATTCAGAGCTGGGGCGTTGGCAGGGAATGGCAGCAGTCGCCGGCCCTGCCTGGCCGAGGCCAGGGAGGAAGAGGAACCACCAAGTGTGACAGACGTAAAGATGCACTCATCTACCACCGGCGGCTCAAACAGTGCCTCCTCTCTCAACGGGTACCGCCTGCTAAGCTCTGGTAGATCGAAACGAGAGCGAGTACCCGAGAGGAGAGGATTAATCACTTCGGCAACCAGTGATGGGAGAATACGGAGTTAAGCCTCAGCCACTCGCGTAGGTCCGGAAGGCGCAAAAGCATCCCCCGGAAGGCGAAATTCCGAGGGGTCAGGCCCAAGCACAGGACCAGTAACCTGAGGCAGCGCTTGTGCAATGCGTTTGCGCACCTGCCTCAACTCTCTGTAAAGAGAGACGGCTCCGTGGGCACCGTTGACATAGAACACGAAGGGCTCAAGGAAGAGATCATAAGGTAGGAAGCAGGCCGCCCAGTGTGCCCAGCCAAGCCTCTGGGTGCTGAGGGACCTGGTTGCCCAGGTATGCTCAGGCGCCCATCGGCGGTAGACGAAGCCTGCGCCCGGGTCGGCACTAGGAACAGCAGACAGACCATCCCCCGAGCCGAGACTCGGGGTAGGTTGCTCAGGGATAGGTGCACTCACCGGGCCGCCGTCCCCAGCAGAGACACCTGGACCATCGAGATTTACACATTGCGAGCCGTTGGAAGATTTTTTCTTATGTGATCTCTTGGAAGGGGGGTCCTGACCCCAGATTTCACCCCCCGCCCGCATGAGATTGGAGAAAAACAAATAGTCGGCATGTCTCGACTTTTGGGTCTTGGGTGAAAACGCCTGGCAGGGAACACACCCCGACGAATCGTGCGACGCCTCCACTAGACATCTTAGACACGATGCATGACCATCCTTTACGGGGATAGATGACTTGCACGTAGCGCAGGTTTTAAACTGCAACAAACGGCAAGTCTGACAGAGAACGTATAAATTGTAACCACAATGGGCGATTAATAAATATAAATATTAACCATACTAGCATATAGACTGTACTTAAATAAGAACAAGTGCATGCTAGCCCAACTCCATAACATGGAGCCCATAAAGCAACATATATGACGTGAATACAACTATTTAGAGTAAATCACGTAATATAAATAATCCACCTGAAAAGAGATAAATATCTACAAATTCAGTAAGACATCACACAAACCTACACAAGAAAGCTACAGGCTAACCTGCAAAAGCAAGCGTGTATGCGCCTCCTGTCCGCCATCTTGACAAGCACATGGCAAGCCGACAGGGACTATGACTAAAGTTACAACAAATGATGAATGAAAACTTTCAAAAACATTTATCAATTATCGCCCATGCGAATAAGAGTAGCTTTACATACAGCAGCTGTTTCTGAAGAACTCATCTTGTCAGTCGAAAGGGAGAATCAACTTGTAAGCTGAAGGACACGTCGATACCGACGAACGACAGCATGGAAAGTGAGGTACGAGGTTAGCGCCTAGAGTTACCTGTTCTTGGCAGACGGGTCCATTCTTGGGTCCGTAGGGATGGTCGTACAAGACAAAAACGTTGTTTTTTGTTTTGTAAATATTTTATTCAAAATATAGTTATAACTGTCGTAGGGATTAAAAATGGACATTTTAATGCTTATATGTACCCCAAGGTGGATCTCTCATGGAAAAGAATGTTTGTTTGTTTTCAAACTGAGACATTGTGACTTTGTTATGGTATATTGATACTACGTATTCAGAAAGACAAACTGAAAAGAAACGCTGCTTTGGAAGTCCCAGTAATTTTCCAGTGATATCCTATTGGCATCTTAAACTGACATTTACCTGATATATTTCTAAATATGAAGCTCGGACGAGGTACTGTTGATTCTGTGAGCGGGAAATATGCTGGAATATGTGTTCAAAAGAGTTGGGGATCACACCTCGTAACTCTGGATCGTTCTTGACACCTGATTAAAACAAACAGCCTTAAGGACAGACTCGATGAAAAACCATTATTAGAACAAATAATAACAGTTCAATTATCCCAAGACAAGTCCCATTAAAGGGAAACCAACATATCTTGGGGATAATGTGAGTGAGTGAGCTAGGTTTAACACCACTCTGAACAGTATTCAAGGAATATCACGATGCATCAGCTTAATGTGGGAGGGAAGTCATGATATCACGTTGCCATGGTTTCTGACACGTACAACTTTGGTGAAACCCACGAGCACTGTTATGGTGCTGACAAGCCTTGAAACATAATCGGTATGAACTTGTATTCAAACTCGCAATCATTGGTTTCTGGTGTGCCCAGGGGATGCAACAGCCCAGCAACTGTGACAACTGGGCTACATTGAAGGGATTCATCTTTGAAAATGCAAATCAGTTGACCTTACATGCCCTGTGCCCTTTGTGACATTTGACAGGGCATGGAATTGGCTGGATCATGGCTTGTTAGAAAGTCCGATATGGACAAACTTTATGGACGAACAACTTCTTTATTCAGGAGATGTATGTTTCGATACAGATTCTTGTATTGTTGTCAAGCAAGTATTTTGATACGGATTCTTGTATGGTTGTCAAGCAAACATCACATCTCTTGATAAAGAAGTTGTTTATCCATAAAATTTGTCCTTATCTGACTCTCCAACTTCTAAAAATGCCACTTAAAGAGATGTTGGAAAGTTGTTTGCCCTACCTTGCATTGTGAATGTTTTCCCTGTTCCAGTTTGTCCATAGGCAAAGATTGTACCATTGAACCCCCTGCAGGACCGACTCCACCAGGTCATGGAACGTCTCATCATACAGATCTCTCTGCTTGGAACTGTAATCAACACAAAGCTGAGGGAGTCAGTTTGAGCTTCATGATGCTTTGTGTGAGTGAGTGAGAATGGTTTTACGCCACTTTTAGCAATATTCAGGCTTCACACATTGAACCCACTAGGGGAATCGAACCCGGGTCTTCAGCTTTACAAGCCCATACTTTAATCATTAGGCTACCCCATTGCACCCATGATCTATTGAACAGTATTCATACTATAGTGTCAGCATATTGTGGTAAGAAACACGTAGGTGCTGATACTACCGGAAACCATATATCGGTAACACTCATGTCAGCGCTATATACTATCAGAGATCACATATCGGTAACACTCATGTCAGCGCTATATACTATCAGAGATCATATATCGTTGTATATGGTCCCTGATACTATATAGCGCTAACATCCAAGAAACAACCAGAGAAAACCAGGATTCAAACCATGTTTTATACTTGTATACATATTCTCACAGGGGGCTTGAAATGCAAAAAAAAATAGCATCAAGGTATATATTGTCAATGAAGGGGTCTGAATTATTGTATATTGCCCAAAGACCAAATACATTGATGCCATTTTTGTGTGTTTCAAGCCGCCATGCTTATCCTGCATTACTCCTTAGTAGATTTACTGCACATATTTTGACAGAAAGAACAAAGCTGTAAGAAGTCCAGATGAAAAAGAAGTTGCTCCAGCTGATTATGATAAATGAGAATAGTTTTACGCTGCTTTTAGCAAGATTCCAGCAATATCGTGGTGTGGGACAGGTGAAATGGACTTCAAACATGGCACCCATGTGGGGAATCAAACCCAGGGCTTCGGTGTAAGATGCCAACATTTTAACCAATGGGCTACCCAACCATCCCCCTTCCCTAAACTGGTTCTAGGGCAGACCTCCTCACAGCCTTATGTGACTGGAAGGATGACATTACGCATCTTCAAACTACTGCTTGATGGGGAGGAAAGCCTGAGATGGGCGAGTCCTCAAACAAAGCAATGCAAGATTAAAAATATTCAGATTTTACCAAGTTATTTCATATTATTCCTGAATGCATTTGAATCAGACTGTAGGAGGTTGGCTGAGTAATGCAGGACAAGCCCAAAAATGGATGTAAAACTGTCACTTCTAAGTGATGCAGCTCTATACAGCCAATAGTAGCACCTTAACTGATCACCCCCTATACAAGTACAGGGAGAGAGAGGATGTGGCTATTAATGTCAGAAATGATTTAACCAAAAATTGGGAATAATTTTAGGAAACAAAATAAAAACCACATTTTCTTGCTGTTATATGCCACTGCCAGAAATATTCCAGCTATGTGACGGTCATCTGTGAATATATGAGTCTGAAACAACTAATCCGGTGTTCAAATTTTGTGAGCAGCGATCCATATCGTAAATTATCAATCAAGTCAGTGTCTGTCAACCTAAACCATTTGCCTGCCACTTATGACCAGCGTAGGGTGTAGGAAACCATTTCTGCCCAGAATCTGCATGTGTCAAAAGCTTCAAATAATAGAAAAATGTAGGGCTGGCTATGGACAGAGGTTAGGTGAAATTGGGTTTTACGTCGTGCTTGAGAATATTTCGCTCATATGACGACGTGCACTCGTGTGTATGTGTATGTGCGGCTGCTTGTACTACCCCAGACTGAAGCTGGTTTTATAGTGCTAGCCCACTGAGATACCATGCAGCAGTGAAGCATGAATACCCCACTCAACCACATTATTCTGACTCTGAGCCGACCAGTCCTTGTTGTACCCATTAATGCCGATCGCCAGGCAGGGACCAACAAGTACCATATTTTAACGTCTTTTGTTATGACGCGGTCGGGGATCGAACCCGCGACCTTCCGCTCTCTGTGCGGACGCTCTAACCACTACACCACGGAAGCAGAGATCATAGAGATACACAATCATTAACTGAATATCGATCAGATATCAGGGATGTGACTGAGCACAAATGCCAAACATGTCTGAAATAAATAAATGTACTTCACATCCATGGTCAGTGATGACATATTTGGGTTTGCATTACTAATAAAACACCGTCATGAACATAATTTGGAAGCACGAAATAAATAAGGACCGAACTTTGTGTATTGTCAGAGTAAATTAAAACTTTATGTCATCACAATAGTTTATGCATGACACAATATTCATATTTTCAATGATTAATAATTTCCCATCCACAATTTATCTGATTATCAACCTTTTTAGCCAGCCCTAGAAAAATGATACAACACAATAATACATGATTCATTAGCTTAATAGTAACCTGAGTGTTCCTCTGTGAAGGAAAGAATAGTCCAAAATTTGGAGGAAGGTGGAAATATATATTGCATTTGTACCCAATTAACTGTCCTTTTGGACAATGTTCCAGTGAACTTAGACTTACTTCCAGTCATACACGGAATCAAATGTAAAGGTTTTAGGTTGCTCTGTCGACGGGCCTTTGGAATTGTTGATGTCTATCACGCCTCTGTTCACATCCATTTTTACCACTCTGAAAACACAAAGTAACACCATATCTCATTTATCTGCTCCAGATCAACTAGGGTGTAAAAATAGTTTGGACAAATATGCTGGTCCACTTCAATTGCCATAAATCATAACATGTAAGTTTTAGTGAGTGAGTTTAGTTTTACGCCGCTTTTAGCAATATTCCAGCAATATCACGGCTGGGGACACCAGAAATGGGCTTAACACATTGTACCCGCGTGGGGAATCGAACCCGGGTCTTCGGCGTGACGAGCGAATGCTTTAACCACTAGGCAACCCCACCGCCCCACATGTAAGTTTTAAACTGAGCTGGCACAAGTGTTAAGTGAAACGTGTTTTCTCATTCCTCATAGAATGAAATGGAGCAAAGCCAGGCATCAGGGCTCACAATTCCTTGTATTAGAGCATGACTTAATCTTTATCATGATCATGACACACTTAATTTATTCTGTTGCCTGAACAAGATGAATGGAAATAAGTTTTACAAGAATACTTCGCGATGATGTTTATACTATGAAGCCAATGATAAATATACTTTGCACCAGCAGACTGAGTGGTAATTGTCTTGGGAATGAACATATGAACACATTTAATGTCCACTAGGAATTGTAAATGAACCTGACAATTCCTGAATTAATATTATCAATCTCAGCATGCACAAATAAATGAATAGGGCAACTTTCTAAACAATGTTCTTTGTTTGCTAAATGGTCAAGATGGATCAAACATATTTATTCTTGTCACACTAATATTCAAACTTGCAATTAGTTTTTCTTTTTAACATTGGTGATGTAAAGTTAGCATTAGAACTAAAAATGAGGATGGATTATTGCAAAAGGTAGCAAATAGAACTGGACTACTTCAGAATACAATCAGGAATTGACACATGGTTGGCCAATAATGTATTGCATCATAATGCATTACCATGTTTGCTAAAAGTTACGAAAATGGGTGCCAGTTAAAAAGTAGTTAAAAAAGAGTTGGACATTTCTTGGACTACTGTTTTTAGTCTTACATATGTAACAGCTAACTATGAGGTTAGTTGAACATGATGATTACAAATACTGACCTTGAAAACCCACTGGCCGTTTCTTTTTCATTCATTGGCCGACATCTCACCACCACCTTCACACATTCCCCACCTTTATTTGACTTGCTCTGAAAACAATGGTGACAAAATGATAGGGCTGTGCAATATAACCGGTTTACCGGTTCAGACATGAAAACGATACGTATTGCGATACGCTGATCGAAAACCGGTATTTTGACATGCATTCGGAAAACTTCGTAACGCTCGGAAATCTTCGAATATTTCCGTTTTTTTAATTGTTCTTTTCCCTGTTTCATTAGTGCCAAATGTTACTTAAATTTTTATTTTGTCATGATTAAGAGTTTTTATAAAAGGTTAATCAATCATAGTGATTTTGTTGTGTTTTTGCTTTATAATCAAGCATTAACTCGATTATAAGTAGTTTTTGTTAAAAAAATTATCCTTGCAATATATCGCAATATGAAAATTCTCTGCAATACCCACCCCTACAAAATGATAGTCAATCACAATGTCAACATCACTGCAAGATATATGATCCTGTGAAATGCAATCTACTTTGGTGCCAAGTATACAAATATCACATTAGTACCATTTTGTCTTTTTGATGTATCTGTCTTCCAAATGATCCTCAACACATGAAAATCAGCAGCATTTTCATCAGTTCTGAAAAGACAAATAAACATAATTATTTGAAAATGTTGTTGATTTACTTAGTTATAAATATTGTTAATGTCATCAACATTATTACAGCTTAGTTTTCCAGTGGGGCTGGGATGAGAACAAATTAACTGACAAGTTGTACCACACTCATCTGCTGAATGTACAAAATATCAGATTGAAAAACTGTTATGAAAGTCCTGGCAAAAGTTAATAAGCTATAAGTTAAAAATGATATGGTCATGCCCACAGCAAAGACGATAGAAGGTTGATCTTTAATTGAACATATAAAAGTCAAAAATGATACATCAGGGCTACAGATAAGGAGCGTACAGGCGTAATGTACGCCTCAAAATCAATTAAGTACGACACAATATAAGATTTCAAGCGTATCGTGTACGCACATAAATACCTTCGTACGTCTAACATTTAATTTCCGTGCGTATCGTGCAAATGGAAATCTATTTTGGATAAATACTTGTTAAGTTTCTTTTGCGAAACACGATTTGACACATAAGGAAACCCCGACAGTAGGAATCACTTGCGTTGCCATGCAACGATATGCGTCACTATTTTTCGATTGTCTAAAAACTAACTGTTCATATTTATATCCAGTCGGACCTGACATTTCGCGCATCACACAGTCGCTCAGTTATTTCTCTCGCATCCTCAAAAACAAATACATGTTTGGAAATAGTGATCGATGAATCGTCCACACAAACCACATCAACTCGCTCACACAAAAACATGTCAGTACTCCTTCAAAATTCTTAGTACACCTCCACTTGCAATATGATGTATAAGTACACTCACACCCCCAAAAGTTATCTGGAGCCCTGTACATGGATAGTCAGGCAGACATGCAAACATTAGCGACTTAAGAGAAACCATGCATATTTTTGTCTGTTACACAATATATCATGTGATCAACCATCAGAGGGGAGATAACTGTGGATATTGGCATCCCATACGGGAACGTCCTATCCTGAGTGTCTACATTACTAGGGCTGCAATGAATACACTATGAGGTGAATTTGATATATTTAACAAAGGGAATAGTAATGATTACAACATTATTCATGAATACTGTATGTTTAGTATCAAGAAATGACTGACTGAGTTTAGTTTTACGCCGCTTTTAGCAATATTCCAGCAATATCACGGCAGGGGACACCAGAAATGGGATCAAGAAATGAAAAGAATAAACATGTCATATAATTCCAAAAGTTGACACATTTCAGTGGTATTTTCTATAATGAAAAAAATGCAATATATTACAAATAATGCCCCTCATAGCCTAATGACAGTGTTCCCATAAGGAGCCCTGGCAGAACACAAGTTCCTTCACTGTGTGGCTTAGACATTCCATTTTGCATATCTCACGACAAAACAACAAACTAGTTCAAAGTTAAAACACTTTCTAAAAGATATTTGCAAATATTTGATTCTAGTGACCACAAATAATGACTTGAATTCATGAAGTGATATTGTTTAATTCACTGAATACTCAAGTGAATTGTAACAGGACTACACATTATTAACATCCTATCATGCAGTTTGAGAATAACCTACAAACAATTACCAGTTATAGATGATCTATCCTGAGTGAATTAACTTTGTAATGTTACCCTCAACATTGGTGTATTCTAAATGCTGGTAAGTTGTAATATTTTTCAGCACAATTCCTTTTCTGAGAAATTTTACATTTGATCAGTAAATAATCATCTGTAAAGAAACATGTACAGGAATGCCTGATAAAAAGAATACAATGGGCAATAAGAGTTTTACCTATACATGGGTTTACTTAAAACGACTATGTAAGTTTGTAACCATCTCCAAATCATCTGGTTTATAATAATGATATATTTTCATCATTTTACATGGCATAAAAAGTTTACCTGAAATCAGTTCGTCTTTCAGAAAGTAATGGCAGGAAGTTTGTGTTCTGCGAAACACTGCATCACATATGACATTCTGTGGAATGCCATGTTAAGATGAGTCACAACTAAGAATAGAAGAATTTCTGGAACTTGACCAAATTCACCCATATTCCAATATAGATACTGTATTTTGGTTTAGTGTTGCCTCTATTGTGTGTTACGTAACCTGACACAGCCTGGATGTATTTGGATTCCACCATAATAATGACTACTTTCCCACAAGTTTGTTGTTTTCATGAAATGACAGATAAACTATGATACATCAAAGCAAAGGATACATACCATCAGTATAGATCTATGTGTTGAAATGTGATTACTCAGTGTGTCTGTGTAAACGCCCAAATAAATAATATAATATACTTCTGATATGAGACACACTATCTTTTACCATCCATCTTCTGAATCAGTTTTCTACAAAACTGAAAAAGTGTATAGATACATCTCGATTCCAACGCTCGCTAATAATACGATTAGAATATCCATTCATAATGAGACTTGTTAAAATTTCAATGCACACATCCGCAGTTTACTGTTTAAGATGATTTGAGAAAATGAATACGAAAGAATTCGACTCCTTAATTACCATGCCGACTGTCAAAACATCACCGTCGCTGACTCTTGTCAAATCCATGCAGACCAAACACAAGTATTTGGCATGCGCTCTCACAACTTCCTGTTTATGCAAGGGACATAACTCCATTCTAATGGTCGGCTTTGAATGCGTAAAGCGTTCGTAAAATATTCCAAACGCTGACAAGAATAAGATTTATCCATCCACATGCCTTATTTTCTAGACCACAGGCCCCCACTGCGGGTCAGAAAATCGATAAACTAGTTGTAGTCGGGGGTGTTGATACTAAACCGGGACCTAGTTTATCGATCCTACTATATAATACATATGTATTATATAGTAGGGGGTGTTGATACTAAACCGGGGCCTAGTTTATCGATTTTCTGACCCGCAGTGGGGGCCTGTGTTCTAGACCAAACTCCTTCCCCGCTGCTGTGCTTTTTCGTTTGGGTGAGTTTTTCTTCTTCTTCTTTTCTTCTTCTTCATCTTTCTCTCTCAAGTTCACTTGTGACGTCACATCAAGCACGGCCGATCGATTTATTGACATAGTACATGAGACAATGAAATTCACTTGACATCAAGTCCATTGTTTTCACAGTTTATTATTTTTTAAAGGCGAAAGTGAAAGGGGTCGCCTTAAATATGCCGCATCTGCAGTTGGGTTGTCTGAAAGACAACTGAAACATTTATTTATTGAGGCAACTTGCAACAGAGTCAGGCACAACTGAGGGGGTCGTATCAAAATCTAGCTGTAATAAAGAATAGGTTCATTTACAGGTTACATTTGATAATATTACTAGTAGTAGTAGTAGTACTACTAGAAAAGAGTACTTTATGTTTGTGTTGTCATTAGCATACATAAAAACCGAGGCTTTTTAGGCCATTAGGGAATGCGACAAGTTAAAATCCATGGGTAGAATACTGTATTAATACTGTAGTGCATTTATCTTATCCGTTTATAGTGCTTCTCCAATACAGAGAGGGAATACATTCACAAAGCGATAAATATTACAGATGTCCGATAGTGGTATATCAATGTCTATGAAAGGTTAATACCATTGCGCCATTACCTGATACATTCCTAGTACTGTATCATGCAACATTGAAATAAATATCACATATGTCAAGTAGTGGTAGCAGGTATATCAAAGGTTATCAAAGGTCAATACAGTGATGGCTACCTGATAGATTTATAGTACTGTTCAAGTGCAGGAAAAGAAAGTCTGTCTACACTACTTCTTCGAGTGGCATTTCAGAAGTTGGGAAGTACAATATAGAACAAACTTTATGGATAACAACTTCTTTTATTCGTGAGTGCGACGTTTCGATACAGATTCTTGTGTGGTTGTCAAGCAGGAATGGAACATAAAGAGGGGGATGTATATATATTAGTGTTGGGAATTGGTTAAAATCTCATAATTGATGATTGGTTCATTACAACCGATCAATCATCGAAAATAATTGGTTAGCGTCATTTATGAAATCTGTTAATGCACACAAAAATAAGGAAAAAAACATGTAGTTCTTTGGTGATTTTTTTTGCAAAGTTTCACATCTTTAATGGATGACTATTATGGAGGAACATAAATTTCTTAGAGTCTTTAAGATAAATTCAATCATTACTTGGAACGAGCTTGTAGTGCTTATGAAATGTAACACACAAAACCAACCTAGTGAAAAATACTGTTGATGAAAACAAGTGTTCTAGAATTGTTTGTGTTCGATTATGAGAAAACAAGATCGATTGCTTGGTCGTTTAGTCACTGCAACCAATCTTCGATTATTTCAATTAATCGATCAACCACTAATATAAACTATCCCAAAAAAGTAGGGGATATTCCATTTCACATGCATTGTTCTAGTAAATACAAATAATTATCATGGAAAGTATTATTTTTCCTTTGAGAGTAATCATTTTGCGTAAAAATTATCTCCTAAACACAGCACTGACATGCCCACAATATGCACGTGCATAACTGTGATGATCATGGGGGTTGAACCTGACATTTGCACGACGTTAGATGTGACGTTTCTCGTCATTAACAGAGGAAATTGGAATGTGCAAACATCAATTTAGTTGCTTTAGAACTCTGTTAACAACTTTGAGACATGCGCATACTTTCTCGAGATGAAAGATTACGTGCCCTTGGCATGCTGCAGGTCCGCACAACACAGACCCTTGTGCCACGAAGTTTGAACGTTTCAGGCCGTCAGCCGTAAATTATGGTCCAGATACCGTGACACACAATCTGTCAACGACAGACAACGCTCAGGTAGACCAGGGGCGACAACTGCGGCTCAAAATAGATTTATCCATACCACAGCCTTAAGAAATCGTGTCACAACAGCCAATCAGATTAGAGATAGACTGCAAGCAGGTGCTGGCGCCGGCGGCAGTGTGAGTGACCAGACCATCAGATATCGACTGCACAGTTGTCAATTACACGCACGGCGTCCTCGTGTCATTCCCTGCTTGAGAGATGGTCACGTTAGGGCAAGACGTCTTTGGTGTTTAGAACGCCAACGCTGGGATTATCGACGGTGGAACAATGTAATGTTCTCTGATGAGTGCAGATTCGTGTTAGACTGCGTTGATAGACGTAACAGGGTTCGGCGTAGACGTAACGAACGTTTTCACGATGTCAACGTCATTAGGCATGATCGTTTTGGAGGGGGGTCTGTAATTGTGTGGGGTGCCATCACTGCAGCTGGAAGAACAGACTTACATGTTGTTGCTGGACGTGTCACAGGTCAGTACTACAGGGACAACATCCAGGCAGCCCACGTTGAGCCATTTGCTCGACGCCATGGCCGCCGTTTCATCTTCCAAGATAACAACGCCAGATGTCACAGGGCTAGGATTGTCACTGAATACCTCCAACAGCAGAATATCGCCAGGCTACCATGGCCAGCCTTAAGTCCAGACCTTTCGCCCATCGAGCATGTCTGGGACATCCTTGGACAGCGCTTACGGCAACGTCAACAACGGCCCACTACTCTCCAAGAACTTGCTGCTGCATTGCAAGAAGAGTGGAATAATGTCAATCAAAATGACTTGCAACGCCTCATAAGGAGTATGCCACGTCGGATCCGTGCTTGTTTGGCCAACAGAGGGGGATTTACCCATTATTGACTTGGTTTTTACCGTATGGTAAATTTGCAGATTGACCCTTGGTGCAGTTTGGCCCACACCACAGATTGTCCTTGTTTCTTTGGCATTATCAAATGTATGGAAAAAAATTCCATATGGTCCCTTAACAGTTCTTCATTATTTGTTCCGTGCTCGTTTTCACACGTTGCCTCACATCAGCCATCAAAGTCCGATATCCCCTACCTTTTTTGGATAGAATATATACTGAATGTAACAAAGAAAACAACATAATTAACATAATTGGCTAGGCAGTAAGATGATGAAGCGAGTTTGACAAAGGGAAGCCAATGGAAGCCAATGGTGTACAAGTTATGAGATGTATATACAGTAGAGTTTATAAGTAGAATTGGGCTTGGTGGAGGATAGCATCGTAAGCGGATGGAATGAAATATCCTTCGTCTCGGTTGATGATGGGCTTTTGGCGTTTGATCTGTCACCACGTCCGACAGCAAATCAGCAAATCTGACCACATCAAAGCAAGCCCCAATCATCAAATAGAGTGGTCTGACATCACCGTTCTCGCTAACAATCAAACAGACTTCACTGAACGCAAGCTCACCGAAGCCATCACATCAAACGCCAAGAGCCCACCATCAACCGAGACCGAGGATACTTCATGTACTTGAGTGTTTTCATAAAGAGTTAGTAAGAGATGCTATCAGAAGACTCTATAGCAAAAATAAATTCCTTTCCTTACGCATTTTGCAAAAACACATGGAGACAGAACTTTCTGTCCAAATATCAGTTATGGAACTTTTGCATAACTTTAAGTTTCGTTACAAAAAGGTAAGTGGGGAAAACAGGCGGGTGCTGTTCGCACAAGTCCGTAGGTTCGAGCAGGTCCGTAGGTTTGTGCACGGTGTCAGTAGATGAGAGGCTTCGCCGAGCCTTCGCTTCTTCCTCGAACCTCCGTTCCATCATAGCCATCATCTGGTTGGTGAATTGTCTCATAATTTCACCCAGATCAAGTTCTGCGTTGATTGAAGCTGCTGCGGTGTAGAAGAAGCGTTCGCGACCGCTGATGAGTTGTGTGCCTCAACTTCACTCCGTTGAGAAGTTGGTGGTTAGTCGTCAAACACCTGGCCTGCTGTGACCGTTGCAGGAGACGACCTAGTAGTCGTGGAAGTCGATTGCGTCGCCGATCTCAAAGGTACTTTGGGTAGAAGTAACGGGGGATCATCAAAAAACGTCTACTTCATGCGGAGGTAATATCTCTTCGTTGAACGATTTCTGATGCGTTGACTTACTAGGCCGCGTAGATTTACCCTCCGATCTGGTAACAGATGCTTTCTTCTGTGACGTAGAAGAAGACGTCGTCTTTTTCTTAGCTTGAGTCGGAGTCAACTGCGTTGTAGCCGATCTCTTCTTGGCCCCCGTACCAGCAGACTGCCCCTGCAACGTACTCATCATAGCACCAGTATTATGAATCTGCGCAGTAGCAATCAACACATGGTTTGCAGGCTGATCTCCTGTTTTATCAACCGTGACTTGACATGACTTCCTCACCCGATCCATGGCACGAATATAGATATAAGACAAATATTGATTAAATTGAAGATTTGATAAATCAACACAATAAGTACAGCGCAAGCTGGAAGAACATAGTTTTATGCATGAAGGCACTGGGGGTGAGTATCAGCCACGGATAACCTGTGCCTGCAAACACTGCAAGATTTCATTAAATGTAAACAAAGTTACATAACGATGAAATTATGACACACACACAAATAAGTTCTTTACATATAATACATAGTATTTATTGCCAAATCTATACACAGCGTAAATTTGAAGAATAGGACCTAAATAAAAAGGATATAATGCCGTATACGGGACTCCAGTGCTCGCCCAACCATCCGCTTGGGCGAAAAGGGACAGAGTGACAAGTAAGGCTGGTCACATGACTGTTTGCGCGGGAAAAGGGAGGTAACTCGTGGGTGAGTGTAT